AACAACTGAACAGATTTCAATGAAAGTTGATACACAGGTAGACCATATCTTAAATAAAGACGTAGGATACTGGTAATTTCAATTCAAATTCAAGACACGACTAACATATACATATATAAAAGAAAAACTAACTATCAGATCGAAGAACAGCCAAAACAGCTTGGTTTAGAAATATGAAACCGTGTTCCATACGTACCATAAATAAATACAACGACCTTTTATAAATTCCCACGGGAACGTGAGACAGCGAGTTCACGCGGGCGATGCTAGCGGAAACAGCTAATTTAACTTTTAGACTAGATTGATCACGTGCCATGCAGTATTTTTGCAGTCAGTAAGTGCAATGTTGTGCCAATATTAATTTTATCAAAACGCAATTTTTTTTCGAAATTAAATCTTAAAATTAAATTAATACATGCTTTTATTTTAGAGTACTTTCAGAGCTAAAAAAAAATTCAATTACGAGTATTATATACCTACAAGGTATTTCTGTAATTAAATAATATATATTATAACAGAAAATCCTTCGGTTTAAGATATACACATTTATACGAGTAATCAAATAGTTTATATTGACGAGGAAAAATATTTTATTAATATTTTATATTCTTTATTAAAATGTACATGATCGTATCTAGAATAAATTTTTAAATAACTTTTGACACGGTATTAATAAAAAAAATGGTTTTTATTATTATCTATTCTCGATAACATCTAAGTAATATTATTAATTATAAAGGTAACGTAAATCAGAATCAACTAAAAGTGATCTCTACCAAGCAACGTTTGAAAAATCAGGAATAGTAACTCATAAATAAATTAATACGATAACATTTCATATCTATTCTGCTGTAAATACAACAATTTTAAATAGATATATAATCATATATATATTTTATCTTACGAATATTATAAATACAAAATGTTTAAAGATATTAATATTAATATTTGCTATTTTATCACGCTTAATCAACTGATAGTTCAGATTTATTTATTCCAATTCATGTGTCTAGCCACGGGATACAAATTATTATTTGTATCTACTTATCGCTATGCACTATAAAAACAAATTAAAAAGGGGAAAAGGGATCTTAAATAGGAACTTTACACACCCGTAAATTTGAAGTTTCTATTTATCTTTAATTGGAAGATAAAGCTACATAAAATTTATTGTAATGTTTGCTTTTGTCAGCAATTACCCTTGGTTCGCAATATTAATATCACCATTTTACTTAAACGTATCTCAGACAATTTTAGTAGAAAACTATTTGGTAGTTTACCCGTGAAAACCCAACAAATGGACGACTTCTGCATTTCTTGTATAGGTATATGATAAAGTTAGTATATTTTTAAATGTCTCTTCCAAATAATTATTTATGCAACTTACAATACTTAATAAACAAGTTGACGACTTATATTTTTTAAGACATCTGATGTAAGTGATCATGAACGTCACAAAATACGCTGTAACGCCCATGACATCTTGAAACTACTATTACACCTCCGTACCCTATAATTTACTACTACATTGACCTTTAAACCGCAATTCTACTTTGTGAGCATTGCTGCTTGACAACAAGCATAGATAGGGTAGAATAGAAATACCCACGCAAACAATTTTCTTACAAATTTTCTCTCTATTAAAATACGAGTACCCCGAAAATTATACACTGATATATGACAGATATATGCGCACCATTCAATTTCATCGAATGAACACATTCTCTCATGGGATATACGTAGTCACAGAAACAATTTGGAATCACTTCTTAAGTAGTTGTATTGATCCATGCCCAGAGTTTGTTCAACCCGTTCCCAGATGTATCCATGTTTGTATTAGGTAAAGTCGCAGAGTTACAATGTCGCACGAATATAATTTCTTAACATACGATATAATTTCATATGCCACTTACTCTATTTGGAACTTTTCACTTACTGTATTAAAGTTACTTGTTCCTTCTATTTATTCACTTACTGTACACTAGTAATGGACTTAGGAGAGGCACGTTCAAACAGCATCTAAGACCGCTGAGCTCCAAGGGAGCGTCGGATATTCAAGAATAGCGTTGGAAATTCGAAATTGGTACTTTTGACAGGCATGCTTGTTCTGCCAACAGAATCTGTTTCTGTCAACTCGTCGATATCCTTAGTTCCAGAGTGACCTTTTTGTCGTCGGGGTACGTTGAAAAATTTTACCTAGGGGCGCAGGTAGGTTAAGGTCGGCTCTGCTATACAGACACATAACGCTTATACTTAATATTATCGCGTGGCTCCCATGTTGTATTTTAGACATGAACATTAAACACCTTATGGCAACCAACCATGTCGTCATGGAAATTCTTAAACATTAAAATAACATTCGTCACATTCACTTCAAATGTTTATCATCATTGAAATGTCTTTATATTTTCAATAACACTTGATTATACAAATAAGATATTATCATATTTATTATAATTTATATTATGAGTCAGTATGAAGCAAAGTTACAAACAAAATAAGTTTAGAAATATCTTCGTATTTAATTGAACAAATGTTTTTAAATGAAACATATAAAAGCACTTGATTAAACAAATGCAAAATAAAAGTATTATATTAAAAATACCAGTATGAAGCAGTTTTTAGCAAAATAAGAAAATTTAGGAAAACATCAGTAATGTAGATAAACTTTGTATGCATACTTATCTCAAAAATTCTATTCTACACTTACGGCACAATTTAGTTTTTATCATTTAGAAGACTGATTTGCAAGAAATGTGTGAGACCTTTTGTGGTTGATAGAAATTAAATGCGTAAGTTTAATTTTCAGTCAATCTTAAAAAGTCTCCATTTATTCTTTAAGTCTTCTTTTTTATTTTTTCAATGAATTCCAATTAATATCAATTGAACAATTTTTTTTTTGTTAGTAGGTTACGCGATATTTTCGTCAATTCATTATATTTGCGATAAATGTCGTCCTAAATATCCTAACTTAAACTAACATTAGTTTACGAGTATATTTGTTCTCATCCCTTATAAATTTTGTCAAAACTCCAGTCAGTATTCTTTGTAAAAATAAATAAATAGTTATTATTTTCTTTGCAAATAATATTTAAATTCCTTAATTTATGCAATTTAGAATAGAAAGATTCTTACAGCCTATCATGGGCATCACATAATATCAGACGCTTATGGTTCTTAAGCTTTGCTATTCTTGAAGACTATGGTATAACACCATAGTTTTATACCTTTGTACCCTAACATTTCACTGAATAAAATGAAATTAAAACATTGTTATTTAGGAAAAGAAAGATATTCGTTATTACACAGAATGTATGTTATTTAAATTTATTCTCGTACGTACGAGAAGGAAAGAAAGAAAAAAAGAAAAGAAAGAAGAAAGAAAAAAGGAGAGAAATAGAAACTTTTCATTTTGAAAGATTTAAAAATATCCAGACCACAATAGGAATGTATAAGTAAAATAGTCACGTCCTTGTCATGATATTTTCAATTCGAGCACAAAATGCGGAAAATGGCAGACTTGTCGCCGCCGCCGGTCGTCGGTGAATGGAATTGAGCCGGAGTATAATGGAACCATCTGGGTTGCGAACGTCATGTTCAAGATATCAAAGGTAGGAATTTGAAAAATAAAAGTATTTCCTACTGAGCCAGCGTGATTCTTTTTAGCAGCGTTCCGTTTTTTTGGTTATAAATCTACGTGTTTCTTTTATTTTACTGTTATAATTCTATAAGCAATAAACTTAAGATATTGTTCTAAAAAATCGGAGTTCAAACTAGAAGACATTAATAAAGACCAAACATGGCAGTATAAAGTTATAATCAAAATCAAAATTGATGATGGCATACAAAATATACATAGATTTAGAATCTCCTCCTTTATGAAATTGTTGCAATCATTGGGACTCCAGTTTCAATCATCATTCGTTATTTTAATACAATACTTAATTTAATACTGATTGATAACTAAATTAGTTATGTAGGAAACCACTCCAATTACATTTAAATTTTAAAGAAATTTAGATATTTTAACTTTTCTGATTTGGTAGTCATTCAAAAAGCTTATAATACAGGAAAAGATTCAAGATTGCCGAAGACCTGGGAGACGCTAAACCTCCTGGTTAAAAAATCAAAGACAATGGTTCAAAATGAGCACCAGGCTCCTTTTAGGATGGTGATAGACAATATAAAGGAAGCCATGTTGATTCCTAATTTTCGGTAGGAAATAGCACCTTAAGAAAAAGCTCCAAAAATTATTAATATCTGAATTAGTGTATAATATATTCATTAATAGTAAACCTATTTGGCGAATATTTTTTTTCCTTTTTTGTTTATAAATATAAAATATTATGTAAATTATAAAACTTCACATAGGTGCCTAGCTTCTAATATGAACATTTCTAGCAACTAGCGTGTATCGATTGTAGTAAATGTTCCTGCGTTATCGTGAACTAGTTGGCACCAAGGACTTTTGTACACCACGAATGCATTTTAGAATTTAAATAATATTTTACTACAACTTATTCTTTATACTTCAAAAATTCAAAAACTTTGCTTATTATATTTTTATTATCATGCAAGTTATTATTTTAATTAGTCTTACCGCAATAATCTTCATTGTCAGTTAAATTTAGATTTTGGTAAGCTGCAACTATTTAGTTACTTCCGGTAAAGTACATTAGGTACATTTTAATCATTAAACATTGCTGAATGTTTCCTTCAAAACGAACTTACAATCACTCTTTAATATTTATTTATTTAAATAAATTTATCGACCATATGAGAGTATGGTACAAAAGGGGGACATTTTCTATCAATTAACTTTGGGATATATAGTGAATTTCAAACGTAGTATTCGAAATTTTTTTAACATATTGGACCGATTTCAATAATATTTTTTAAACAAAATATTTTACTCCCTTATTGGTTTCAGATTCATTAAGTGCACATTAATGTTAATATTTTTTTTAAATAAAATAAAAAAATACTTCATTTTGTTACAGGCGCGGCTAGAGCGCTGATGCAGATGTTGCGCGCGCGCCGTCACTGGAAAGAGGAGCGCGTGCGGCCTGCGAGCGACGCGGCCACCAACCCGCGCGCCCTCTAGACAAACACCTACACACAGCCACTACATACGGTTAGTGGTCACCAATACCACAGATTATACTCGTATAATACTATTAGGCTATTTGAGTTCATCTTTACCAGTGTTATAAAAACTCACCTGAGTGTGAGGAATTGTTAGTAACGAAAATTAAAGGCCCTAGTGCTGGCAATATATCCTATCGGTATACACTCGCGGAGGACCAGTGAGAAAAATTATAGAAAACGCAGGTTTTCTCTATTTTTATGAGTCATATTGAAAAGCAATACTGATTGATTGACATATCGATCTTAACCAAACCGCATCATATACAATGATATTATTAATCACGGAGCAAATTGCTTAACACGTAAGTAATTTAGTTAAGTAGCTATTATGAGGTCTAGTAATTTACAATTGAATAGAATTACTTCTATATCTACCCATGCATTTGACATTAGCAAAAAAACCATTTGCTGTGGTACCACAGTTCCAGGACACGTCTCTTAACATCTCTAAAAGCATTGGGATCCTTAATGACAATATCTCTAGTGACGTACAGTTCCGTGGCCACCTCGAAGATAAAGTAAAGCTGGCATTAAAAAAACTCAGTGTGCTGAATACAGCAAAGCATTACTTCACGACGGATCAGCGATTATTGTTTTACAAATCGCAAATCCAGCCCCACATGGAGTATTGCTGTCACTTATGGGTGGGAGTACCTAAATACCAGCTTGAACCCTTCGACTCGGTGCAACGACAAGCTATGAGAATTGTCGATGATCCCAGGCTCATAAGCGGTATCGAACTCGAATGTCTTAGGAGAGATTTTGCCTAGCTCTCTTTTCTAACGCTTGTACAACGGGTTGTGCTCATAGGAATTGTTCAATATGATGCCCACGGCCACTTTCTACCATCGTAGGGCTCGCCATCGACAGGGAGTCCACCTAAATAGATAGTCTCATATCCTACAGTCTAAATGGTCGCGAACAACGCGGTTTTAGAGATGTTTTATCCCACTAACACTAAGGTTATGTAATGAGCTCTCTGCCGAGGTTTTCTTAAGAGACTACAGCATGGGGTTCTTCAAAAGGGGAGTAAAGAGGTTTCTTTAGGGTCGGCAACACGCGCGTAATACCCCTGGTATTGCAGACGTTCATAAGCTACTGTAACCACATACCATCAGGTGGACCGTATGCTTGTTTGCCATCTCAGTGGTATAAAAAAAATTTAGCAAATCCTTTTATTCATTTCAGGTCGGTCATGAAAAATCTTGCCCATTTGCTGGCTGTCCCGATCAGCGAACACGTGGTAACTTTCATCTCCTTGGTAGCCGCTGCCACACTGCTCACGTGGACGACAGGTACTTTACAATATCAAAATTCAAAAAAATTCAAAATTCAAAAATCATTTATTCATGTAGGACATTTTAGCCGCTTATGAACGTCAAATTTTTACATTATAATTTTATATTTTCCCTACCATCCAGTTCGGTATATAGATCCAATTGAGAAGAACTGGCAAGAAACTCAATTGAATTACTTTTTTTTTTAAAGCCAGTTTATTTACAATGTATATTTATATAGGTGTCTATGTCTAACATTAAATGAAAATTCAGTGCATGAACAACTATTGCCATGCACACTCGTCATTCAAGTAATCGTTTAGTGAGTAATAGGCTTTGCTCAGTAAATATGATTTAACAGATGTTTTGAATTTATTTAAGGGTAATTCCAACATATCCTTTGGTATCTTATTGTAAATTTTTATACCTATTCCCATAAAAGACCTATTAACTTTTTCTAAACGATACTTGGGGACAGCAAGTTTGTCTTTAAATCTAGTATTAATATTATGAATATTGCTGTTTTTTGGAAATAAGTCAAGATTTTTATGAACATATAGAATATTTGAATATATAAATTGAGAAGCAACGGTGAGAATATTTGCCTCTTTGAATTTCTCTCTTAATGAGTCACGACTCTTCATACAGTAGATCGCTCGAACGGCACGTTTTTGTAATATGAATATATTCTTAATATCTGCCGCTTTTCCCCATAGTAATATTCCATAAGAGAGTAAACTATGAAAATAACTAAAATAGACTAATCTAGCAGTATCAGTATCAGTGTACTGTCTAACTTTACGCACGGCAAAAGCTGCTGAACTTAGTTTCGCTGCAAGGCTTTGAATTTGTGCACCCCATTGTGTTTTATTATCTAGTGTGATTCCTAGAAAGACAGTAGATTCTATAAATTCGAGAGATTCGTCATTTAATTTAATATTGCAATTAGTATTAAAACTTTTAGATAGAGAGAAATTAACACATTTTGTTTTTTTAGCGTTTAACATAAGATTGTTAGTTGTAAACCAGTGTAGGAGACGCCGCAAAGCACTATTTACATCGTCATAATTATTAGTCATTCTATTAACTTTAAAAATCAATGAAGTATCGTCTGCAAACAATACTATGCCGCATCTATCCTGCATGGCATATGGGAGATCATTAATGTAAACTAGGAATAAGAATGGACCGAGAATAGATCCTTGAGGTACACCCATTTGCACAAGTGACCCGTCAGACGTAGCGTTGCTAATCTTCACTTTCTTTTATCATAAATATTAATTAATTAATTTGTAAATTATTCAATATATTCATTATATCGCACATAATATACGATTTATTAAAAAAAATATATTGAAACTTATCGTCAAATGAATTTAGACATAGCTATCTAGCTCTGTCTGTATGCATGTGCATATCTATCATTAGTGTAGTTCAATTGCGTAAAATAACTAGAATATATACAGAAATGTAACATCGAATTGGTCATGCAGAAGGGCGTTACGCCCGCTGGTGGTCGGCGGCGGGAGTTCGCGGGCGCAGAGCGTGCCGCGCGCGTTTCACCCACCACACACACCCGCCCATTCACTGTTAGCAGGTAAACTTGCGGTATTATAAGGTATATTACAACTGATTTCTTTCCATAAAACACAACCCACGTTGAGAGCAATGTCAAGCGAACGTGACTTTATTTAACTTAATTAGCGTACATCTAACTATGCGAGGTTAGAAAGTCTATGTAAACTAAATTATCTAAGATTTATGCTGAAAACTGATGATAATTGAAGTATGTAGTAAAAAGAGACCAGGCAGAGTATTACCTAGCTCAGATAATACAATTATTTCACTTAGCTGAGCTTTATAGTTCACAGTGGAAACTGTGTGACAACATAGCTCCCACATACTTTATTATGAAGTTTAATTTCAAGTCTTTTTGCGTTAGCCTACTAAAATTACGCTACCCGCTACATACAATATCCTGAAATTAAAAGAATTGGTGTCACACGTTCATAGTTCTTATCCCGTCATAATACACAAATTTTTTATATGAAAAAAATAAATGTCTTCCATGTACGAGTAGTCAATATTATATTACTCAAATATTCTTCAAAATTCATTGAAAATATTTTTTAAAATTAAACAATATTTAAGTAGGTATTTGTTGTTATTTTGTATTTGAAGTGCAAAGGAAAACCATGTAATAAGAAGAAGTTATAAGATCTTATATGTATATGTATGTAAGTATGTATGTTTTAATAACTATAAAAAGAACAAACATTATTTCTTAATGCTACATTACACTTCGGTTTTCTTACGACCAATAAAACCAATATAGCTTCAAAAAAGCGCTGCAAAAATTATATACAAACTGTTTCCGCAGAAGATTATAAGAACGCCCCACAAATGTGAACAGAAACCAGCAGCTAAACGCCATGGGGACGGAAATGTAGCATATAAATTTGAGAAAGGACCTCGACTCGACCTTGGCCTACTTTCTTTAGGACAAACATCATTTATTATATAAGTACAATTCTCTAAAAGAATTATTGGATTCTTGAAATAATTCTTGAGTTACTTCCAATTTACCAAGAGTTTCTTCATATTTATATTAAAGATAAGATTCAAAATTAATATATTTATATTTTTAAAAATTCAACATAGGTACATAAAACTTTGTTTGTATTGTACATCTTACAGTATACTTGTATATGAAGTCCCAGAAACTACTCCATAACGTAGTATAGTTACAGTATAAATATATACATATATAAATAATATACTATCCTATAATCTTACCACCTACTCGCTCTGAAATTCCTGAATTGACTTCACTTATTTAGCTATCAAACCATAAAATGCTGATACACACACTGATTGTAAGAATCATACTTTATTCACACAATGATTTGTTTTTTATTGTTTTGAAACATTTACAACAAAGGAATAAGAATATGACGTGTTACCACTTCTTTCATACCCAGGATAATGCACAGTGCATACATAGACCGAAACAAAATGAATATATTAAGTTACCTGGCCTGTCCAAGTATCTATGTAGAGATCTCTTTGCATTTTTAACAAATTACTCTGTGTATAAAATGCTTATAAATAAATATTAGGTTAAACTATTACATTATTTAGTTTATACTTATGGATTTTGCGTTACAATTATAGTAGTATACCGCTGGATATTCAGCGCAATACAATTATACAATATACATGTTTAAAGATGTTTTTCATTACATTACACCTACCTACATACCTAATCATATTGGCTAACTAGACTACGTCACTTTAATTTCTTATATTTTTTAATGTTAACAAAATATTACAAATAATCTTTTTATCTTCCCGTATTTAGTAGGCAGTTCACTCGGGGGGAGTTCGATAGACAATGTCCGAGGACTTGGACTCGATCAGCGAGGAAGAACGAAGCTTGTTCCGACCTTTCACACGAGAGTCACTGGCCGCTATCGAAGCCCGCATAGCTGAAGAGCATGCCAAGCAAAAGGAACTCGAGAAAAAACGAGCGGAAGGCGAGGTTAGTCAAATATCGTCTATAACACATTTGTGTGTATTTAATTGTGTATGTGTCTAGTATTGCAATACATCAATCTTATTAAAAGGGTACTTGTAGCTTTTACGCATATAACAATGTTTTGAAGCAAATGTAATGGTTTTAACACATTGACAGTATGAAAGAGTGATATGCACACTCAAGGAAATTCACTTTTACAACGACTCTGTGGCATCTCGAAATTTTATTAACATTTTACTGGTCTGACGGATAATTTTTAAACTATTACAGAACGATTTGGGGCGGACGAAAAAGAAAAAAGAAGTAAGATTGCTTGCTTGCCCCTTTTACCTTTTTACGGCTCATTTTTATTAGAGAAATATTGTTAAACAAGTTATCGCTGAAGTCAAAATTGATTTATATGAAGTCATTGTGACCTTCGTTATATATTGGCGCCACATAATACGCGATAACTTGTAGTGAATGCATTCTAATTTATACATATTGATCGCATTTAAAGCATTATTCCTTAAACACATCGCTTTATCGGCAAAGTATTTGTAACAACTGTGTTTACAAGCTTAGCTGTTATCTGAATTGAAATACATAAAGCAAATATCATAACAGCTAATCTTTGTAGCTAATTAAAAGAGAGCTTGTCATGTTTATTTGCATTTCGACGATGTAAATGATCTAACACCTGACATGCTGTAAGTAATAAACAAAGCAAAAAATAAAATAGAAAAACCGTTCAATTTGTAGTAAAAAATGAAACCACCCTTTGTCCTTCTCGTGAAATTTAGTAATTCATATTTTATCATCCTTGATTAGATATAAACCGTAAACTGATCCCAAATATATGATTAGCAAATAAAAAACCTTTAGTAAAGTTTCCTCCCAGTTGAGTATCCAAAATTCAGTAGTCAAAGTAATTGTTTTTAAACAGCAAACTACAATATGTATGTGGATCATAATATTTTAATTTCATGTTAAAAGTGAATAAACTATATCAATCTCCACAATGAACTAATTAAACACCTGTGATTTAGAGCTACATGGAAACGTTTATTCGAAGTACACCAGCACATTACATTCACCATTATCAAGCATTGCACAGGACTGGCTCATGTTCGCCACATCATCATTGACTGCTGTCATTTAGGTCTAGCATGGTGACGACACCTAGCTAGCATATATAGTGCATAATGGAAATATTAGTTGGAAGAAAATAAATTTGTGCATTAAGATCGAAATTAAGATAAATATCATACAATTTTATTGGTAATGAATCGTATTTTTGTAACATTTGTCTGGGCTTGCGCTAGTCACACGTCACACCTCCTATTTTGGAACCTATTTCGAATTAATATAACGTTATCATTAAACAAACAAATTAAGACTAATACAAATAAATATAATTCCCGTTAGGAGATCAGCGGTGCACATTTTATATTTTAAAACAATGGCATAATATATGCATTTCAGTATTGTTCAGTTCATAAAATATGTTATACTATATTAAATTAAATATCACTATAAATTTAAAATGATTAGTCATAAAGATAATAAAATTAAATAGAATGAAGTGCTCCATCAATCCGCCGCTCTCAATATTCGGAATGGTAACACAATAGCGAGGGACGATATACTCGAGCTTCTAGTTTGCCAGATGCGCATCACAGTCACACAGACAGCAGCACTACACCAAATTGGGTTAGCTTAAAATGCCAACATGCTACCACAACATTTGTAATAATACTAGCTATTTTCAAATTAACAGTATTGTTGCAATGTGCATTATGATATGCTCGTGATATGGACTTTTGGATTTAGGTTTATAGTAGGTTGGCTTGCTACACTAAAATCAATATTACTAATAAACTATCAACAGGTCCTTATATACATGAAGCGTAAGTAATTAAGTTATTATATTAATTGGCACTGCACAATTAAGTGGCAACTAAATAAAAATTTAAACATCCAAGGATTTGGATTTAATAAACAGAAGAATTACCTTTTATGTTTCTAAATTTGATAGCTTATTTAGCAGATAGATGCGCCTATATTCTAGAATTTAGTTGTATTAAAATAACGGTATTGTTTAGGTTCGCTATGATGACGAGGACGAAGATGAAGGTCCGCAACCTGACGCGACCCTCGAGCAGGGCTTGCCGTTGCCCGTGCGAATGCAGGGCTCCTTCCCTCTGGAGCTCGCCTCCACACCCCTCGAGGACATTGACCCTTTCTATCATAACCAGAGAGTGAGTTACAGCTCTTATTTAATACGTATAATTATATGGTTGTTATTTTCTCAATTTTCCGTTATTAATAATTATTTTTACTCAATATTTCGAAATCATTGAATAGATTTCATACAAATATTATCAAAAAGTTTAAATTTCTGCATTTAACGTATTAATTTTCTATACTTTTTGCAGACCTTCGTAGTCATAAGCAAGGGTAAAGACATCTTCAGATTTTCGGCAACGAAGGCTTTTTGGTTTTTAGACCCATTCAATCCAATAAGAAGAGTGGCGATATACATATTAGTGCATCCTTTGTTCTCTTTATTTATTATAACTACGATCTTAGTGAACTGCATTCTTATGATAATGCCTACAACGCCGACTGTCGAAAGTACTGAGTAAGTATTCCCTTGAAAGTTATTTAATGACAAATACTTTTTATTAGACCATAACATTCTACATACGTTCAATTTAATTATCATAAACCAAAATATATTTACTTCTTAGGATTTAGACCATTTCGTAGAGTGCACGTTAGTTTCAAAATTAATAGAAATACAGCTAGTATCTAATCGAATTTTATACATAGATAAATCAGAGTAATTTTTATATTTAGTACAAATATATATTTTTATATAGACAATATTATAAAATTAAATTAATCTAGAATAAATTATCATCCTATTAAATACCTATAAACTATTTATATGCATACTGTACCCTTGCTTGGAAAAATATTAGCAGTGGTATTTATTGACTGTGTTACATTTATTACATGCCAATGAAACTACATGGACATAAGTTTCAATAATATTATTAATAAAAACAAAAAAAAATCGCAATATATATAAATACTTATTCATCCGTTTAAATTTAGGGTGATTTAGAAGACATTACATTTCAAAATACACTTATCACCGACTTTCATCTGTATATATTTAGGAACTGTATATTTTCCTTTGTCACATAATAGATTTGAATAATATTTTACTACTTATGTATGTATTGTATTTGCTTAGACAGTTGGTCTTGAGATCTTGTTGATCCTTTTCCTTTCATCTATTTAACAACTCACCTAAACCAAGTATTCATTTACTAATCATTCCCTCAGATGTTTTGGATTAATTGATATGACATTATTATTTGTTTTGTTGAGTCGCATTCCTCAGTGGAGGTGAATTTTTGCAGAGTTATCTTTACCGGGATCTACACGTTTGAATCAGCGGTGAAAGTAATGGCCAGGGGTTTTATACTACAGCCATTCACCTACCTTAGAGATGCATGGAATTGGCTTGACTTCGTAGTTATAGCTTTAGCGTGAGTAGTAGACAATTTTAATGATATACGTAGATTTATTCCAAATCGTTGAATTGTAGATTTTATCGTTAATATGTCATTGATTAGTCATAGATGGAATTACTTTAGTGACGAGAAATTACTATGTGAATATGGAAAATTTGAAAGTTCGTCAACAAAATCCATGAAGGAAGACGTAGATAAAAGTCACAGTAGCCTTAGAGGTAGTGGTGTAGTTATATGTATTAATTTAGCTGTTGTGTTTGTGGGTGTCTGTTTGCAGTTATGTCACGATGGGCATAGATCTCGGCAACTTGGCCGCGCTCAGAACGTTCAGAGTACTGCGAGCGCTCAAGACTGTGGCCATCGTACCGGGTAAATTAATTTGTTCATTAATGTTTAGCAGGTACTTTAGATATTACTCTTTAGGATGTCTAGATATTATATCCATATAAATGTTTATTAGATGGAATAAATTTTTTAATATCTATAATTATAATCACTATATATTAGATTTTAAATACTTTTCGTAGTATATCCTAACCAAAACCACTTAGAAATAGAAAAAGAAACAAATTTTTCTTATAATATAATTCGTCGCAAATAATTAAGAACATACCATAAAAAGAAATCAATTAATAATTTTCCACACCAACACCAAGAACACTGCATAGAACATTGTGAATATAACCCAAATAAAATCTACATAAATACAATATTAAATTTGTATAAAATTTACAAAATACTATCCTTAATTAATGATTACACGGCCCATAACAGGTTTGAAAACCATCGTCGGAGCCGTAATAGAGTCAGTGAAGAATCTGCGGGATGTAATCATCCTGACGATGTTTTCACTGTCTGTGTTCGCGCTAATGGGCCTCCAGATTTATATGGGGGTACTGACTCAGAAATGCATCAAGGTGTTCCCCGAGGACGGCTCCTGGGGCAACCTAACCGATGAGAACTGGGAGAGATTCTGTCAAAACGAAAGTAAGATATATGTATTTATTTAGAAGTATTGTCATCTAGATAATAACCACAACTTCGTATTATAAATGTTTGATAACGTCACATCTTTAGACTTCAGACTATCACTTCATTAAATTTTATGAAATTGATTCACTTTAATAAATTTTGTAAAGTGATGACCTGAACTTTTGGTGATACGAGTATCATGCCCGATTTTAGTTACTGTTTATAAAAAAAAGTTTGGTTTACAATCAACATAAATGATTGTTAAATTAAGTTTGCCCACGATTACGCTTTATTTTTTGTTAATAGTTTTTTTTTATCACAATCACATATAAAAGCTGCTTATATTCCAATATAAATATTTACATCGGAATATATATATATATATATATATATATATATATATATATATATATATATATATATATATATATATATATATATATATATATATATATATATATATAAGTAGAGATAACTTTTATGTACAAATATGACAGACTAAATCACCTGCTGACTACTTGTATTATAGATAAATAAAAAGTTGAAAATTAATTCACAATGTTTTTTTAGCGAATTGGTACGGCGACGCTGGAGAGTATCCGTTATGTGGAAATTCATCGGGAGCCGGGTAAGTTCAATTATTAAAAAAAAAATTCTATACTGTACATTTATTTATAGTCATGGGGTAACATGATACTAATACAGTTATTATTTGTACAGGCAATGTGAACCAGGTTACATATGCTTGCAAGGTTACGGTCCAAATCCCAACTATGGATATACGAGTTTTGATACATTCGGTTGGGCTTTCTTATCAGCCTTTCGTCTAATGACACAAGATTACTGGGAAAATCTCTACCAATTGGTAAGTCATAGCAACTGAATTAAAAAATACTTAACTTTACCACTCAAATTCATAAATGTTTTTGAAAAATCTAATGGACAGTCAAATCGAATTCTACCTCGGAAATAATTGATTTAATACCTCTCTATGGCTATAAGACAACAGTTACATGTTTATTACATTTATATTTGTAACGCCAAAGTATTCAGTATTGAGATAAAATATAAACTGTCTGAAGTACTGACAATATAATAATACGTTATACTATACAAAGCTAAGGATCATTTTCTATAAATTCTGTGAACATACTACAAAACAGGATCTCTGTCTTGCAGGTGCTGAGGTCGGCCGGGTCATGGCATGTGTTGTTTTTTGTGGTGATAATTTTCTTGGGCTCATTCTATCTCGTGAATTTGATCTTGGCTATTGTCGCTATGTCGTATGATGAGTTGCAAAAGAAAGCCGAAGAAGAAGAACAAGCCGAAGAGGAAGCGCTACGAGTAAGAAAATTGCATAATGTTGACGCATTTTATGGGTATGCCAATTCTTACTTTATCTCTACAAATGTGTACATCATAACTTTAGGAAGCGGAACAAAAGGCAGCAGCTAGAGCGGACAAGCAAGAGGCACGTGAAGCGCACGCAAGGGCAGCCGCCGAGGCAGCTGCTTATGCCGAGGCTCACCCCACTAAATCTCCGAGCGACTTCTCGTGTCAGAGCTACGAGCTGTTCGTGAACCAGGAGCGAGGCAACCAGGACGATAATACTCGGGAGCGCATGTCCCTCCGAAGCGACCCCTTCGCGGACTCGGTGAGCACACAGCCCACGCACAAGCCCACCGCCACCGAACAGCACCACGACACGCGCCGGCCGAGGAAGGTCAGCATGGTGAGTATGCTGTGCTCTTCACGCATATATCTCGCTGACAATGATTCAACACCTTTTGACTGTCAACGATAATTATAAAAATACAATAATAACATTGAGTTTAGTAATAATCACTTGGATAATACAAATGACATGTTTTAGTAATAAATATTACGTAGATATAACTGTTGATTGACAGTCAAAAGGTAAAAGGTATGAGGAAGGATAGATCATGATTATAGAAAAATGGATTAGTCTAAAACGTATTTCAAATTGATTTAGATTTTGATAATATTTTAATTCAAATATATTTGAATAAGATAAAAATTACATATTTTCCGAATCAGAATTAGAAATTCAAGATATATTTTAAATCCAATTTCCAAACAAATATGAAAATTCTTTAATATGTCTATAAAGCATTGAATCTTATTAACCTACTTTCGATTAAGTTCTCCAACGTGTATTCGTCATAATGTATGTTTTGAAGATTACATCTGTTTTCAGATAAATAAGAAGGTATTCTCTATCATGTATGTGCTAGGTAATCTTTGAATCATTGACAGCTGAGTATTAATTGTCTTTTCAACTTGATCCAAAACAATATCACGCTGCTTCGATACACCTTGAATAATGAAATCAGCTTTTTGAATACTACCAATTTTTTGCAATCCAGAATTACACTTGATAAAGTACACCTGTTCATCTTCATACTAGCACAGTTCAAGTTGAGAAGAATAATTATATAAATACATTATTATGTGTTTACTGCTAAAAGCTTAAAGGTTTTTTCTGTGTTGATGTCCTACAATCTATTACAACCTATACAATCCTATACAAGTGCATTTATCATTTCTAACTAGTGTGTGATTATTTTTTAAATGTTTACATTTTTACAGATATTATCTGTAAATATATTTATTATCAATATACGAGTATGCATTTGTATTACCTTTTTTTAATTTTGTTATCGTCTGTCCTTAATTTCTTTATAGACTTACCTACTATACCTATAATCGGTCATAGATATGACTAATTTAGCCTGAAGGAATGTTAGATGTTTATATAACACCTGTGATGCTATGTGCCAGAAAATTGTTAAAACATCTATTCATTTACATTATAATTTTTTTATCAATGCTGTGCAATGTTTTCTTGTAGATATTATTTCCTCAATTAGATCTAGCTAGTATCCTTAATTCAGTTTACATATATGTGTAAGCACATCGATCATACTTCACATATTTTAATTCTCTATTAATTACTTCATAAACATAATTTCATTTTTTGAATTGAAAGTCTTTTATAAAGATTGCGCATACTGCATGAATAACTTGAAAATTAAAACAGTAGACATTTTACTCTGTTGACGTTCTCCAATAATATTTCTTCGATTGTTAGATATAAATGATATTGAAATGGAAAAAAGTTTCAGAATATTCAAGGGTATTTTAACTAAACTTTATACTGGGGTTACAAAATATAATTGTCAGCGTCAATAGAATATAAAATATTTTATAATACAAACTTTAAGGAATACTATTGGAGAGAAAGAATCTATTGTCATGGTAGATTGTTTCTTTTGCAATGTAAGTGTTTAAGAACGGGCCGGGCGAAACTGAACATATCAACGATGAAGAGGTAGGTTCAGTCAACTCTTATTATCCAGGAATGGTAATAATTATAAATAAAACGTTGACTCATTTTAACATACCTAATTTGAATATAGTTCCTCAATTTTGATTCATAATAATGCGGAGGCTTGGATATATGGATATAAAATGTACAAAAGAACAGTCTTCATGACTTTAGATGTAGTTAAAAAAAAATAGCTAAGTCTTAGAAGTATGCAGGTATGCATGTAATCTAACCCCATAATTACTTCATGTGTTTATAAACAAAGTTACCTGACTAACTTTTGCTTTGTTCACTCATTGCTAGTTTGTTTTTTGTTATTTGAATTTTACAATAAGAGTTTTAATACTACATCCTAATTTTTGAGTTTTCTAAAAATTCTAGAATAAGGGATGTAAACGTAAAAGTTCTTGTTGTATTTTTAATTCATAGATTAGTTTTTATTGCCATTTGCAGCTGGACTTTTATTTATATTTCATTAGATTTAATTGAAGTAATCACTATATTATTTAAAAGTAATTACTTTGTTGTATCATCACACTGATCGCTTTGAAAGTGCAATTAATATTTTTTTGTATGCCTGATTTTGTTTGATTTTTGTTTGTTAACTGTGTTTAAATGTTTCTCTCCATCCTTTCAATCCTATTTGGTGGTGTTTATATTGATCGATTTAAGCCATTTGAATTGATATAAATTCGAAATTTTGTTTGTATTGAAGGTTCCCCACCCTGATCGCATAAATAAATATCCAGGCCCGTTGTCATACGGGCCGCTGCGCGAGGGCTCACAGGTTTGTCCTTCTGTCCTCATTGATGTTTGTGATCCCCTTCCTCTTCCTATGACAATAAATCTAATACTATTTTATTTTATCTATATTTATTTAGCTATTGCTCATCTATATTCTTCTACTAATTACAAATTTCTTAATATCATATTGCAACAAATTTATAATATATTTAAATACATATACATTTGTTACAATATAATATCATTGTTATTGTTGCAGCATGATATTATCAAGCACTTCTCATTTACTTCTATATATTGTGTTATCTTCTTTAAACATTATCTCAACTTGTGTGTCTATTAGTTGTCAATTTTGTTTATTAGCACATGAAGGTAAATAATTATTACCAAATACAATTTAGAAGTTATAATAAGCCTCTGCAGTAGGTCTTTTAAATAGTGAACGATAAAGTAGATTTTTGAGAATTACAGACAGTATTCTACTACTCGATCTGAATTGAGGAAAATTAAAATAATATATAATTAATGATTTTTTATTAATTCCATTAAATATTAATGTCGACATAATTGCAAAGAAAATGTAAATCCTTCATAAACTACTATTTGCTATAATTATTATATTATATATATACCTAAGTCAAGTCGCTGAAACATAGATGTGACACTGCAGGCTTCATTATCCTTGCCGGGCTCACCGTTCAATTTACGACGAGGATCGAGAGGTTCCCACCAGATGGCTCTTAGGCCGAATGCGAGAGCACGCTATCCACCAGGAGCTGATCGGAAACCGCTAGTATTATCCACATATTTGGATGCACAAGAACATCTACCATATGCCGACGACTCTAACGCTGTCACGCCGATGTCAGAAGAAAATGGTGCTATAATCATCCCTGTCTATTACGCAAATTTAGGTAAGGGTCATCTCTGAACTTGATGTCTTGGATATTTATTGCCTTTACTTGCCTTTTATATTATATTAAAACTAAATAAATTTTAATTTATAAGTATTAATATTATTTTGATACTACAAATTTTTATGAATTTCTTTTATAATATTGTTTTAGTGTCTACTGTAAACATTTATATTTAAATTAATAATAACATACCTATTAAACGTTCAACACGGTCTTTTTATTTTAGTGGGATATTGTTTGAACTTACAAAGGTTTATTTATTTCAAGCCACATATATTTTATTTTTAGGACATGTCAATTTTCAATCCACAAACTTTTAAATTTCAATTTTAAACAGGCTCAAGGCATTCGTCATATACATCCCATCAATCAAGGTTGTCCTATACATCTCACGGAGACTTGCTTGGCGGAAAGGCTCAAACTAAAGAGGCCAGACTGCGTGGACGGTCAGCTTCGAGAAATCATAGCGTGACGTCACAACCACACGCCTACCCGTTACCGAGACAGGACTCGTCATTGGCCTCGAGGCCTCTTAGAGAATATGTACGTGTATTTATCACTAGTACAGTCATAAAATTACTAGAACTAATTCTATTACTACAAGAAATATTAACATAGAAGGCAACTCTTGTGTATTTTGTAGAATTCTACCAACGTCGGAATAATTATTCGTAAATATTGTCTTTTATATATACTTTGTCACAGTAATTGAATAAAATAAATTGAGATAAAGTGCCACAGTGTTTACACATAATTATAAGTGCCTTTGTATAGTATATACAATTAAAGCTTCTTCCTTTAGGCTAAAAACTTCTATCGGTACATTTTAGTATATAGTAGATTCTTGTGGCACATTTTTATACATAATCACCACGCAAAACAAATGCTAACCATAAACGAAACTGAAATTATATTTGTGAAAATTCAATTACTCGGTTTATGAGTTAAAGACCTTCAATCAAAATACAAAATTATTTAAAAGATCTTAAGCTTTTTACATAGAAATTGTCTAAATAAAAACAAATTGTGTACGTTAGAGCTGAATAGCAAAAAATAGTACGGCATGTAGGTCTTGTGACAATAAGTGATCGCTATGAAGTTTTATAATTTGCTTTTATATATGTCTAATAAATTATATGGAATTAAAAATATAAATGAAAATGGCCACATATACATCAACCCAAGTATATAAAATAAGAACTTTCACAGTTTATTAAATAACGGCTCGTTGCTATGTTTCAGGAAATGAGCACAACAGAATGTACAGACGAAGCTGGGAAAGTTTTGAAACCCTCCAATGACAACCCTTTCATAGAATCATCACAGCAACCCAACGTAGTGGATATGAGAGGTAAATATTGCACCTACTCTACAGATTTAAAAGGCGTATGAGATTGAAAATATATTGGTAGTAAAGTAGTGGTAGCGACTAAGGGAACTTAATAGTCAAGGGATGAACAACAGCGTCCCTCTTAAAACATCACCAAAGTTAAACTGCGGCTACCAACGCGTATCAAGGGTGGCAAACCCCGCCCCCTTCCTTATGGGGAAGGCTTATATTAGTAGTAGACAGATAACTTGTAATATAGTAAAATAATAAATATATGTTCTTTAACATATTGATATGTTAAAAAGGACTTTCTTTTCTAGAAGTTTTATATACCTCACAATTACTGTACCCATAATACTTGTAAATAGATATAATATAGTTGTTCTGAATAATTTCAATAAAATTTTAATTTTTTGGACTACATTTTTTTATTTTCCTTAAAGTATTTAGTTAATTAAATCATTAACATGATTATTATTATTTTATAGATTTATTTTATCTGTAATATTTTACAATAATATAAAACACGATTAAATTTAATAAAACTTACTTTTCGTGTACGTACTAAAATATCAAGATGAATTGAATTCAAATGAAATGCTATTTGGAACGTTATTGCTTCTCTAAATAAGTCATCTGACACGTCTATAAATATTGTCATATTTCTTCTATTATGTAGATAAGTGATAAATATACGGCTTCATGTTGTAACATCAAATTAAGAACTATCTGTTAATATTTCAGATGTAATGGTACTAAATGAGATCATCGAGCAAGCGGGTAGACAAAGTCGTGCGAGTGATCACAATGGTATGGAGTACTGAAAGTAATCTATAAATGTTGTTGGCTACATGTGACAACGCTGTTGTCTTGTTGCATTCTATAATTTATTATTTTCATATATATATTTATATGTCCTTTTACTTCAATGTGCTTATTAAATTTACTCAACAGACTTACTATTTTCCCCGTTTCTCTATACATTAATAAACCTTACGATAAACACAATGTCTAGGTACTTTATTATAACGTTACAATATCGATATGTGATGGACCAAGTGATTAAGATTGTTAATACAATCAAATAAAATTAATAATCAAATAACATTAATATTTTATCCGGACAGTAAGAACAATAACAAATTGAACACACGGTGAAATTGATATTTATTTAAAGTTTATTATTTGTCACTGTACATGCTTTTTTCGAATATTGAACATGATTTTTGCTCAATTTGGTAAATTTCAAGGATATTATGTTCCAATATAGGTACCAATATTTGAGCTTAATGCTAAATGTCCTTCGATTAAAATTATATCTACCGGGAATCTGAACTGCGCATTTACTAATGTCATAATTTCATTCATGAATCTATAATAAACTGTATCTAGTGTCGCAAAGTTTCTAACATCTAATATCTTTGTAGTGGACATTAGGCTACGACAGCCATACTTTTCCATACTGTTACATATTCATATAGTTCGGTCGTTTTCCACAAAAAATGTGCTTATGTTAGTTCAGATAAACCTCAGCCGTTTTATTGTAGATACAACATATCTTTTATTATCCTATCCGATAATTGAATAATAATAAGCTTGGTCAATTAAATTATTTCAATACGTACCTATTTTTAACCGACTTCAAATAATTAAAGATTATGTCCCACAAAACCGACTTCAATTGTGATAAAACCAATTAAACTACTAAATCCGTTTCTGATAAAATTTCTATGGGACGACGGATGACATCTGTAAGTATATCCTCTTAAGAAATAAAAATATTTTCCCAAACGGTTTACAACTAACGGAGTTATAAGGTAACAAACATAAAAAAATACAACCAAATTAAGAACTTTGTTCTTTTTGAAGTCCGTTGAAAAGAAAGAGGTTCTGGATTCAGTTGATTTTTTTTATATATTGCTCTTTAATAATGGGCATTCTTCATATTGTCCGGATATTAACAATAAAATTTTATTAATCACTTGATTCATAACATATGTAAAATAACACCCAACACTCACAATATAAAACATTCAACCCGGTATTTGCTCATTATGCAACGAATATAGCATAATTGGCAAAAATATAAGAGAAACTTACTAAGTGGATGTCATTTAATGTCGTTGAGAACATTATTTGTATTTTTACATACAGCTAAATAAATTATATTTTTCAAACTATTACAAGACAGATCGAAATACGAATAAATTATTTTGGTAGCAATATGATAAATATTTTTTATTGGAGCTGTAAGCGTGCCCATCCATAACGAGTAGTCACATAGTCTCTCACTTGTGTTGCACTTACACTATTAATTAGATGTAAACATCAAGATAACGCTTCTCACATTTTGTTCACATAATGTCTAAAACACTAGCATATCATTTATGTCTGTTATGTTTTATACAAGCTTAGATTATATATACAAATAAATGCGAAACGATACCTGAACACGATTTTTTCAAAAAATTGTCGAGTTATAATTAAAAACAAATTCTCGATTTTATGACAGTGTAAAATGTAATGTTTTATCATTTCTTACATCTGCAAGATGTGGTAGAAATCAACTTCTGGAACAAAGATACACAAATAAAGAAAGAAAATGGTAGAATACACATAAGGAAAACACGAAAATAAAAGGCTACATCACGACCCTTAACTGTCATGGTAACAGAATGCCGTTCTCTTTCTTTAAGAGAGACTCGTGCTCGGCAGAATGTTAAGAATTTATTATGGTTATGTTGTACGGAAAGTTCGTACTGCAACACTTCAAGAAATAAAATATTTTAGAAGCATTATATAAACGCCTATTTAAGGCGCGGTAAATGTCATGTTAACAAAAATAACTTTACAATTGAGAACAGTACAAATAGTCAAAGTTCATATCGTATCGTCCCCTAGCACTAACACCCAAATAAATGTACAAGCACACTAGTCATGATCCACAAGTAACTTATATTCATGTGTAAAGTGTACCTAACTATTTTTGTTCATTTCATTTGCTTTATGTGTGACCGTATTTGCATGGAGTGCTTAGTTTTCTAGTAATAATTTTGGCAATTAAAGAAGTATTTCTTCCCCAATTAATAAGTAAAAGTTCAGATCATCGTAATTTTAACTTTGATATATCAAGCAACAAGTCAAGTTTAACAAAGTAGCCACTGATCACTGTATTTTTAATTGAAGTAATGAAGATATTCATATTTTTTGGCTTTTTGAAACAATCTATTATGTTCTTTTAGAAACAGTTCAGATTCATTAATAGTTTCATAAGTAGTTGTGCAAAACTAGGCTTTTATGCAAAATTGAGGTTTATATTCGCCACTTAATTGCCAGTATTGGCTTATGTTTAATTTGCACGGTATTTATTACCAAGCACATGTTCGAGTAACCCAAGGTACACCCGTGTCTTTCTCTGCACCCGGATGTACCTACACCACCTGAATGCTGCAAATGCGCATTCATGTTTAAACATAAATGACAGCCAACATCACAAAAAATATGGATATTGCTATGTGTTTTGATGTAACGTAAAATTTTTGTTGAAAAAAGTATAAATGTGACTAAAGGACTCTTTAAACTAAATGGTCAAGTTCGTATAATGGAAGTTCTCGTTATAACTTTAAATAATGAGCGAATACTAACAAAATTATTTCTGTCTCTCTTTATACACACACACACGCACTCTGCTGGTAAACGGGACGCAACAGTGTCAGTGTACTACTTCCCAACAGCCGAAGACGATGAGGATGGACCTACGTTTAAGGAGAAGTTACTGGAGTGCTTCATGAAAGGAATAGACTTGTTCTGTGTGTGGGACTGCTGTTGGTTGTGGCTCGAGTTCCAGAAGTACGTCGCACTGCTGGTGTTCGACCCGTTCGTCGAGTTGTTCATCACGTTGTGTATCGTGGTCAACACATTATTTATGGCTATGGATCATCACGATATGGACATAGATATGGAAAAGGCACTTAAGAGTGGCAATTATGTTAGTATCATATTTCCTATACGATTAAAGTAAAATTATATATTTTTATACCTACATTGTGTCTTCATGTATGTAAATGTGTGTATATACGGTAGATTATAAATAACTAATATTCTCTTTCAGTTTTTCACCGCAACTTTTGGTATAGAAGCTACATTGAAACTAATAGCAATGAGTCCAAAGTATTATTTCCAAGAAGGTTGGAATATTTTTGACTTTATCATCGTGGCCTTATCACTTTTGGAATTGGGACTGGAAGGTGTTCAGGGTTTGTCTGTTTTGCGTTCGTTTCGTTTGGTAAGTTTCTGTTTTATGTCGTTAAATAGATAATAAAACACCATACGTAAGCTTAGAAAGGATATAAAAATTTAATTCTCTAAGTACATAACCATTGAAATAATTTTATGTAAAGTAATACAAGTTTTAAATACTTTCTTATATATAATTCTTCAATCGAAGGTTGCAATCACGGTCAATCTAGTTATTATGATTTAAAAACTAAATTACTAAACCGATTTTGATAAAATTATAATCTATAATAAATGATAACAAACAAAAAATTAGAACAGAATGGAAGGCTTTCTCCTTTTTTAAAGGCAAGTGAAAATTAGTAAACAGGTACTACAACATTGATATTAAATTCATCAAATGCAAAAAGAAATGTTAAATTATTAATATTAATTTTTTAATAGCATATGAAAGTACCGTTTTTATATACAACTGTAATAATAATAATAACATAAAAAAATTACACATTAATTAAAATGTCTTGGTAAATAGACAGATATTCTTCTTTTAAAAAAATATTCGATTTCAGTGAATTTATTTAGAATGATCTTCGTTCCGTTCAATACAGTTAAGAAGTATAGAGATACTCAGTGTTATCAAAATTCTGAGATAGATCTTTACCATTTTCCATATTCTAACCAAATAAATTATACTGATTGATTTTTTAGGTCGATATTTATGCCCATAAGGGCATAGGAATATACTCGGATAACTTACTGTATTATTACAGTAAATTATCTCCATATATTCCTAACCAAATTTGAATCCGAAGTCGAATTATTCTGTAACAGTTAACTTTAAATTTTCGCGTTATTTGCACATATTTTATATACACAATCGGGACTTAAGGCGATTTAAAAGTCTTTACACCGTGACGTGGTGCAATCCACGTCGAAATGTCATAATTAAGAAGCAGGTATGTAGATACGATTTATCCGTAAAGGCTTTTACATCCTGTTAAGTCCCGATTGTGTATGTAAAATATATCTCTCTCTTTACTGTTTCCTCCAAAAGATTACAATAGTAAACTTATATAAATATAAACAATTACAAAATATGATTTTGTAACGTTTCAAACTAGACGTTTGGTGTTGGGTAACGCCAATTTTATAAGCAAGGATCTAATATTGATTAAAAAAATATCAGTATAGCAACTATACGTAATACAGAACACATAGTATTTTATTAGATATTGAACGAAATTAAAATTTTATAGGACTGAACTGAAGTACTTTCTTCGACCAAAGGTTTTGACAAAATAATTAGATATCTGTCATGGATTGATTCCTGAAAAATTACAATTCAATGTCGTGCTATAACTACAAACTATATAACTTTCTATAACGTCTATGTAACATTTCAATAGTACAGTAAATTTTAAATCCTCTTGTGCTGTAAAATTTCTTTTATGCCAAATTTTAAAACTAGAACAAACAAAAAAAAGTACCTTGTAATTTTGGTTATGTGTAGGTACTGAGTTTTAGTATGGTCAGTGTACTACGGGAATGAGTGTTTAAAGCGTAGCATAGTCATTATTCATACATTTTGAACTAAGTATATAATAAGAACTTATTTAATGATAGTAAGCCTTAGTACTTGATATTATAATCTATATATTTATGTCTCTAAGCGACGCTTGCCACTTTCCATCAGGGGTTAAATATTTTTTTTTATACTTACAAGTACTTACATCCATTCTTTAATTTAATTAACGTATAACATTAATTTCAATTAGTAACATTGTTGTCTTTTTTATAAGAATAACGAAAGTCTTGCAACGATATGGTAACTTATGCCTACTTGTATGTCAAACCTATTATAACTTATATTTTTAGCATTATAATTGTTTATAATCTGATCTTTGCACATTATGTAACATGATATACATCACACGTACATCATACATCACAAAGAATTTCATTAAATATATAAATGTGATAAAATATTTTCAGCTGCGTGTATTTAAACTGGCTAAATCTTGGCCGGCGTTAAATCTTATTATATCCATAATGGGTAGGACAGTGGGAGCTTTAGGGAACTTGACCTTTGTACTTTGCATCATTATATTCATATTCGCTGTGATGGGAATGCAGTTATTTGGGAAGAATTATACAGGTTCAATATAAACGAAAATTTAGCATCTCTAACATAAGAATTAAGCTTCATTATTAATTCAGCTTCACACTCCCGAAATTTTTACACTGGGCTTGATTAAACATTACTTTCATGAGGACCCTGGGTCCGTCGCTGTGGCTTTATAACACGGAATGTGGCTCAAAAATACATGTGAGCCTTAAGACACGTTATAAAGCTATGCCACGCAGCTTTAAGATCATCAGTTAAGCTTTGCATCGAGTAATATAGATTTGACTTGCAGCTTTGCTTTTAAAAGGGTACTTTTATGCAGCAGGTCTTTTACTGATGGGATCTATGTCGATTATTGACAAATAGGCAATTAGACAAGAAGCAGAGTTAAAAAATATAAATATACCGATGCAAAATGATATTATTACCAAGAAAACAAACATATATCCCACTCATACAGATGAAAGTATGCACATTGTTAGGTAACTCAAGCACACATTTGCTAATTATAGTCAAAGTGATCCAGAATCACTCACGTCTCGAGTAAATTATTGAAAACAAAAGTTTCCTTCGGATACTGTGAGTGATTCGGGGTCTATGGAGAGATTCGCAGTAGCATAGGTGAAGCGCCGGTGAGCGAGCTTGTGTGACGCCTTGTTTCACAATTTGTAATTGCAGCTTCGAGTATTCAAATTGGCAAAGTCATGGCCGACACTTAATTTACTCATCTCTATAATGGGTAGGACAATGGGTGCCTTGGGCAACCTGACCTTCGTATTGTGCATCATTATTTTCATATTTGCCGTGATGGGTATGCAACTATTCGGAAAAAATTACGTGGGTAAGTTCATTGGTGGGAGTGTTGCATGATCATTGGTGTTTGAAGGTGTTGACTGTTGATGGTACGGCGGCGCCAGCTACATAATTTTTGATATAATAAATCTCTTTTTTCAAACAGAACTGAGCATTTATTCACTCTAATATCATAATAGTATATCATATATAAAGTATAATAGTACCCCAGTTCGGATTGAAAAAATGGATTAAAAATACCACCAGTGAATATATTTCGTTCGAAAGATACATTTCCAGTAAAACATAAACCTGTACTATAAAATCTGTAATCGAAGATATAAATATATGATCACTGCTGGTTCCAAATTTTATAGTGTGGAATACTGAGAATTTTAAAAAGCCTTTTTCCAAATTATACATAAAAAATATAAAAATACACATAAAAAAATAATAAATTTTGTATACATAATGGCTCTGTGTAAAAATTAATTTCAAAAAATTAATCAAAATGGTAAAAAATCTAATTGACTACCCCGTAAATATAATTTTTCGGTCAAAATTAATGTTCGACTCCATTATAACGTGACTATAATTCCACACTCTAAAGAAAGCTGGCTGCCCTGTTTGAATAGTAAGTATTGTGTTGATGTGCGTCACACTGTTGTGCTCAGTGTTATTAGACGATTGCAGATTTGACGTCCCTTACAAGTGAGCCTGTTACCCGAGAATGATTCTATGATTCCCTACAACTGAAACAGTCCTATTAAGGCGCCTCACTTGTGAAACAATCATCGCCTTGCTTTTCTTTGTTTCCTTCTTTCTATTTATAGCAGATCCTATTAGTTTCGACAACAGTATGTATCTATTGTTATTTTCTCTATTAGAGAATTCCTAAACTTTCAACGCGCTGTCTTATTTCCTTAATATTTATTATTGCGAGTAAGTATGCATGTTTCGTTTACGCTATAATTCCCTATTTACTGATAATTGTAGTACTATGCACGATTAGTGGTTATGTAATGTTATTTGCACTGTATGTATTTCATAAAACTAGTCTACTTAATAATAATTTACAAAAAAAAATTGCTATACTGTAAACTGTAAAGAAACATGAGCCATGGCTGAAAATACTAATTTTATTGTATGCTTTTCGCTAAGTTGGTTTAAAAGAAATAATATTTGAAATATTTTAAAAATAATAACAATAAACAAACATTTTCTCTGAAATATATGTAGCGTGATTGTGGTGTTAATGATATTATAACTATTTATACAGATTATGTGGATCGCTTTCCCGGCGGAGATTTACCAAGATGGAATTTCACAGACTTTATGCACAGCTTTATGATTGTATTCAGAGTACTATGCGGAGAATGGATAGAAAGTATGTGGGATTGCATGTTAGTAGGAGACGTTTCATGTATACCATTTTTCCTGGCCACTGTTGTTATTGGTAATCTTGTGGTTAGTATAATTATCTTTATAATTACCATGTAAGTAATACGTATAAGTACAATTACCTAATTGTAATGATCAATGATTAATGAATCGATCGATTAAGGAATTATTGTGTTTCTTTCTTATAAAATTTGCTAGTTTAATTTCAGACAACTTCAACTAATATCTGAAAATATGTATGCATATGTAGCCACCGTTCCACAGCCAAATTGCGTATTATTATAATTAGAAGTATAAGTCCAAAATTGCAATTAATATACTTTAAAGTTGCATAGTCTTCTTTTCATTTAAAATATTATCATAAAATAAATTATAAAATTATAATAAGAAGCAAAATAAACCAAACTAAATGTAAAAGAATTTCATAATAATTTATGTGTAAAAATACATAACCATAAATACCACATTAACCAAAAAATTTACAAAGACATATTTATAAATATAATTTGGTAGCACTCTCTTAGGATAGAGAATTGGCGGCTTTACTCTGACTCTATCGTGAATTATGATCTATAAGCTTGAGAAAAATAAGATACACATTTCACATTTCAGGTACTTAACCTCTTCTTAGCTCTGTTGCTCTCCAATTTCGGTTCATCGAGCTTATCAACTCCGACAGCTGACCAAGATACCAACAAAATAGCTGAAGCGTTTAATCGAATATCAAGGTTTATAGATTGGATAAAGCGTAACGTAGCCGACTTCATGAAGCTAGTGAAGAATAAACTAACTAATCAGATAGCTATTCATGCGCCCGGTAAGACCCGATCGCCAGTGTGTTGTAGCATGTATCTGAGTGTTCAGTGTACGAAAAATGTAGTCCTGCTCCTAAACGACAAACTGTATTTCAACTGCAATGGTTTTATGGTGTTCTATTTAGAACGTAGTAGAGTCTTGTTTGACTCTTCTATACATATACTAGATACTATCTTGTAAAATTCTTAATGTGTATTTTGTTAGTTTCGGTTTATATATAAATTAATTTAAATTATTGACTTAACATTAGTAATTTTTAGCAATGGCAACGCATGAGATCTATCGTGGATATTACAAAATAAGTATATGAAATTCATGGTGATATTAATGGCTATAAGCGACATTAAATTAATAATTTCTATCGGTATAATTCGTATTCATATAATATTAACATTTTGCTAATACAAAATATTGGTTGAACTTTAATATTATAAAAAAATAAGTATACCTAAACACGAATGGGAATATATCATGAACGAAGCATTTTAAATATTTACTCATCAGATCACCTCTAAGAACAGTAATAAAGGAAATATAATACTTAATACATTACCTGTTTACTTTTATTGGCATAATATAATCAAATTGATAAATAAAATAAACATTGCATCAAGAATAATAATTAATTTGAAATCAATAAGTCCGTTCTCAATTCCTCTTCGATGTTGTGGCATGGATGCTGTTGTACAAAATATAAATATATACTGGTACATTTAGCATGATATTTGTTTGTAATAAATTATTGCAAATTTCGTGTGTCTGTATTAATTTGTGAACACTGTGCGTTGCCTGCGCCCTAGATCCAAGTGTAGAAACGACCCCTTATAAACTTTATTGTCGTGTGTTAGATTTGAATCCTATACACAGTTTTCATGTTTTTATTCCTTTTAATTTAAACCATTCATCCTATATTTTGTACTTAAATTATTTTCATGCTTTGAATGTGTGGTCACTCGACTTATTTGTGTAGTTTATTGTTTCTGTGACTTCTGTGTGTGCATGTACACTTCATGTTGTATGTATATTGTTATTCATCTTTATTTTACGGCTATATGTATGTATTATTCAATACAAACTCTCTCACTAACAATTACATTGAGATTAATTCCAAAGCTTTAGGTATTACATTGAGAACAACTAGGTATTAATCTCTTTTTCACTTTGATCTTAAGTGATACCATCAACACATCTTATCTTACCTTTGTCATTAATATAGCACATACTTAATCAGTATATTGAAACATTACTTCAGTTATAATAAACAATATCAATTAGTTCATGAAATTATAAAACTCCAATTTTTATTTGTTTTGATATCATAACACAAAATCACCATATAACATTTGGATTTATCTCTAATTTTGACAAAAGAGTTTAATTAACCATATTTGGTACTGGTCTGATTTCTATGCTTGGTTGGTGGCGACGATGACGCACGGTGGATACGCAACACGTAGGCTTAAAAGCGGCTTTATGTGGCCGCTGTGTCTCCTCAGAACGAGTGGACAACGAGCTCGAACTGGGCACAGACCTCGAAGACGCTGTCCTGTACAAAGATAAGAAATTAAAGGATCAAGTAGAAGTAGCTATAGGAGACGGCATGGAATTTACGATACCAGGTAATATTTTTACACTTAGTATTATATAAAAATTTTTTATTTATATTACTGATTTTACGATTATTTTAAATAACATTCCAGGTGACAATAAATACAAGAAAGGAAAATTATTAATGAACAACATCAATGCTATAACCGACAACCATAGAGATAACCGATTAGACTGCGAATTAAACCACCATGGATATCCGATTCAGGTAAAAGAGTAATCCTTACTAATATCATAAATGTAAAAACAGTGCTGGCCCTGGGGTAGACAGAGAGGAGCGACACTCTAGGCGACAGACAGCAAGGGGCGCCAAAAATCGAATGCGAAAAAGAATTTTCAGCGAAAAATAAAACTTTGATAGCATCTTTTGAGAGGGGCAGGAGTAGTGTTGATATTTGTAATAAAAGTAGATTTTTATGAATTTGGAAACTACTATTTATTAAATATAAAATCTAAGTAGAATTTACGTAAAGTGAAAGCGTCGACCAAAGGACGCCAATAGACAATCTCTTTCTACCTTAATCAAGGACTGAGGCCGGCTCTGTAAGGAACCTTGTTTGTTTGTTACCACTTAGCGTCTTTTTATATTTTTGATTAAGAAATTTTAAATACATTTCATATATAGAATAAAAAAGTATATAGACTAATTTTTATATATTATTAATAAGTCCCATTAAACATTAATAATATTGTAGGACGATGACACAATAAGTCAAAAATCATATGGTAGTCACAAGATTAGGTCATTCAAAGATGAAAGTCATAAAGCATCGACAGATACAATAGACGGAGAAGAAAAAAAGGACGCCAGTAAAGAAGAATTAGGTTTAGAGGAAGGTATGAAACGTTGAATCAGATATTTTATGTTAGTATACTTTCTGTACCTAATGAAATATATTTAAAATTCGATTTTAATTTTTAGAAATGATTGAAGAAGAAGAGGAAGGAAAATTAGATGGTGGTTTAGGAAAAACAGATGTTGTCGTAGCTGCCGAAGAAGATCTGATTGACGATACGCCTGCCGATTGCTGTCCCGAACCTTGTTATCAGAAGTTCCCTTTCCTCGCTGGGGACGACGATTCACCATTCTGGCAAGGCTGGGGCATGCTACGATTAAAAACATTTAAACTTATTGAGAATACTTACTTTGAAACAGCTGTGATCACTATGATTTTACTCAGTAGTTTGGCTTTGGTGAGATATTATAAAATATTTCATTTGATTCGATTTATTAATAACCTTAAGGCATAAAATCAAACAATATTTTTTTGTACAGGCGTTAGAAGATGTACACTTACCACATCGACCGATTCTTCAAGATATACTGTATTATATGGATCGTATATTTACTGTGATCTTTTTCATCGAGATGTTAATCAAGTGGCTTGCTCTCGGCTTCCAGAAATACTTCACAAACGCTTGGTGTTGGCTCGATTTCATCATTGTTATGGTAAACTGTTTTTTCTATAACAACCATATATACTAAATTTATATACTAACAGTTCTTTTACAGGATCAGTACATACCATCTTTTGCCATTCGATCGAGTCAATTGTCAATGTTATGCGTAAGCTCAAGATGTTATATTCCGATAAATCAACGAAAAAGTATATTAAAATTATTAAAAATTGTAAATGAGGTAGTTATAAGTATTTAATTAAGTAATTGACGAGTAATGTCACGTCAGTTGTCCCTCGTAAACCACGGGGCGGTGATGGCGGGAGCAGATGACATCCCAGCGTTCCGTTCTATGCGAACATTACGCGCTCTGCGCCCGCTCCGAGCGGTCTCCAGATGGGAGGGCATGCGCGTGAGTACGCGCCGTCACCACCAACGCAATGACGCTATCGGTGTCGGTTGCATTACATTGCTCATTGACTAGCTCTTTAACAAAATTAAATAATCAATTTCCTCATTATCATTAATCATCTTAATATAGGTCGATGAGCAGTGTGGCTATGAAGCGTGTAGCTTTTTCTGTTTGATGTGTATCGGAACGAAGTCTTCCGACTGATCTCACTTCGCTGCCTTAAGCTCTCGATGTCGTGACAATGTTTGTCTGTGGATATTGCTTCTATATCTCTTTTACCCGTGACTCCTGCTAGTTAAAAGTTATTTAACTATACTACAACTGATTATACCCCTTTAGACAAAATTACCTGATCAAAACCAATAACTTCATATGCATGTGGCAATACAGTCTCTATCTTAGTGCTAAAACATTAGATGGTGCCGTTTTCAGATAATCGTTCTTTTTGTTATTCAATGTTACATTTAAATATACAAATGAAAATGGCACATAATCTATTTTGAATGCTGTTTATGTCCTACAAGAAATATTACTGCAGCTATGGTTCTGTTTTGATATCGGATTTGTAATAAATGGATCGGATTTGTAATAGTCATCAGAAAGTTGAAGATATCCTTTCAGAAGTTACTCGTATACATATGCACAACTTATATTCCATTTTTTCGAGGCACTTTCTTCGGAAGTTTTGAACTTATCTCATTTTTTGTCGAAACGGGGATCGTTCGCTTTCTTTAAAGTTGTATTATCAACAATAATCACTATTCTATAAATAATAGGTGACCAAATTTACTCCTACCATTGCAATAGAGGGCGTATGTCCTGAGTTTATAAAATATTTTACAGTGTTATTAACTACCTTTGTATCTTATTATCATTTATTATGTATCTCAAATGACAACCCTTGATTTCATCAGGTCTCGCTTATAAACTTCGTAGCGGCGCTTTGTGGCGCTGGTGGCATTCAGGCGTTCAAAACGATGAGAACGCTCCGCGCACTGCGACCGCTCAGAGCCATGAGCCGCATGCAGGGCATGAGGGTACGTACCGCCATGCCTCGCGAGCTCGGCCCTCTCGCTCACCTATTACACACCTTGCTCAACATTCTCACACTCACGAGTTTACATAACATCTTTAGTATATAACATCTTTATAGTCCCATCAAATGTAAAACATTGAAAATACTCATCTTTTCAATAGTCTACGCATCAATCATTTGGTCTTTTTACTTTATAAATTTATTAATTACTTTCCAAAGTTGTAACATGATCGTTATAATCATTGGCAGTAGTCGACTTATTGATTCACATTGTTAGAATTTCATTTTGAAGTCGTCAGTGGCACCCTTGAATGGCTTAGTATCATCACAAACCTTTACATCTTTTTTAGACTTTGGTAAAAGTGGAACTATGTCAGGATAGACATCCATTTGTCATGTTTTGGTACTTTTCTCTTGTCTTTTTTATTACTAGCTAGTTTAGCAATTGTATCTAGTATATTTGAAACGTTAATTTAGATTTTGCACTTTAGATTTTTCTTCTTCATCGCAAGGTCTCTTTTGGATCGCATGCGTTAGAACTTTCATATTGGATGGTTAAATAATTATGTTTAAAATGGTAAGTTACTTATTTAAGTAAACTGTTTTTGATTTACACCAATGTTTGATGTTGCTTTGTACCCATACGCTTATGCATGGTAGATAAACATTGTTTAGATTCATACATAAGTCATGTAATAATAAAGTTCTGTAGTTTCATTTAACAGTAATTAATATTGTAAATACTATATTTGAATATTAATATTGAATCATTTGCTTACTCATTTATTATTATTGCTCCTTAGGAGAGTTAAATTCTATTTATTTGAAATATACTGCAAGTTAGTATGCAATATCTTTTAAACATAAAATTATGTCCTCAGGTGGTAGTGAATGCACTGGTACAGGCCATTCCCTCTATCTTCAATGTGCTTCTCGTGTGCCTCATCTTCTGGCTCATATTTGCCATCATGGGCGTGCAGCTTTTTGCAGGCAAATACTTTAAGGTCGGTAATATTTTTATTTTATTGTAAAAAATATTTATAGGTAATATAAAACGAATATAATATTTAATATTAAGTACAATTCCACACACCATTACTAAACGTTATTAATTACTTCTTTAACTATTATGCTCTTTGTTATATTACAGTGCGTTGATCTTAACCACACAGCATTGAGTCATGAAATAATTCCGGACCGAAATGCTTGTACCTTGGAAAACTATACTTGGGAGAATTCACCGATGAATTTTGATCATGTAGGCAAGGCATACCTTTGTCTGTTTCAAGTGGCTACTTTCAAAGGATGGATACAGATCATGAATGATGCTATTGATTCCAGAGAGGTAAAATAATTTTAAATTTGTTATATTTGTGAAATATACATTGGAAGTGTGTTGATAATAATAACACTACACTCTTTTTCAGGTGGGAAGACAACCAATTAGAGAAACAAACATTTACATGTACTTATACTTTGTATTTTTCATCATCTTTGGTTCGTTCTTTACTCTTAACCTATTCATCGGTGTGATCATCGATAACTTCAACGAACAGAAAAAGAAAGCTGGTGGTAGTCTGGAAATGTTCATGACTGAAGATCAAAAGAAATATTACAATGCCATGAAGAAGATGGGTTCTAAGAAACCGCTGAAAGCCATACCAAGACCAAAGGTAGACAGTTGTTATTGAACCTGTTTATTAATTATTTTTCATTTTTAACAGTTATGATTTTTTTACCAATGTTTATGTATATGTATAACGAAACATTTTATTAACTACTACGTAATGTACCGTTTACGACAATTGTTTTGACTTCCGGCGAAAGTGTTCTTTAAGAAGAGTACAACGATTACGCGACACAGCGTCTCGTCTCGCATTGATAAATTTTAATGTTACTTAAATTCATAAAATTCCCTTTATACATATATATAGACATCCGATACATGTTTGATAAATTATATTTTGTTTAATGTTTAGCTGCTTAATAATATAGAAATGTTTATAAGTGCTTATATATTTGTCAAAAGTTGCTATGGTTTCAGAGCTAATTAAAGTAAATCGAATTAATACGTATATAATATCCTAAAATAGTTAATGTTCTTCCTTCTTATAATAATACAAGATTTGTTTTGTTACAGTGGCGGCCGCAAGCCATCGTCTTCGAAATTGTAACAGACAAGAAATTCGACATGATTATTATGTTGTTCATCGGTCTGAACATGTTGACTATGACGTTAGACCACTACCAGCAGTCGGACACGTTCAGCAATGTCCTTGACTACCTTAATATGATATTCATTGTAATATTCAGCTCTGAGTGCCTATTAAAAATATTCGCCTTACGATACCATTACTTCGTCGAGCCGTGGAATTTATTCGACTTTGTAGTAGTTATGTTTTCTATACTTAGTAAGTATTCTTTCTGATGTTTCAGCAAATATTATAGTAAAACTATTGATTAATGTGAATTTGTTTGTTCACAGGTTTGGTATTGAGTGATATTATAGAAAAGTATTTTGTATCACCAACGCTCTTGAGAGTGGTGAGAGTAGCAAAAGTCGGTCGAGTTCTTCGACTCGTCAAAGGCGCTAAAGGCATTCGGACATTACTGTTTGCATTAGCTATGTCACTGCCTGCTTTATTCAATATCTGTCTACTCTTGTTTCTGGTGATGTTTATCTTCGCTATATTCGGAATGTCATTCTTCATGCACGTCAAGGATAAAGGAGGTCTGGACGACGTTTACAATTTTAAAACTTTTGTCCAGAGTATGATCCTACTATTTCAGGTGAATATCAATAGATCACTTAATAAATAACTATAAATAGTAAATATAACAAATAATGATAATTTGAGTAATTAATTTATTTACAACAGATGTCAACGTCTGCCGGCTGGGACGGTGTACTGGATGGAATTATAAATGAAGAAGAATGTGACTTGCCTGACAATGAACGTGGTTATCCAGGCAACTGTGGGTCTGCGACGATAGGCATCACATACCTACTATCCTACCTTGTCATCTCCTTCCTTATCGTTATCAACATGTACATCGCCGTCATTCTCGAGAACTACTCACAGGTATACTTATGTTTAATTTGGCTTCAAGTACTTATTACCATTAACTACTTAAAAACTAATTATATTAATAATTTATTATTTTCTCTTTACAGGCGACTGAAGACGTACAAGAAGGTCTCACAGATGATGACTATGACATGTACTACGAAATCTGGCAGCGGTTCGATCCAGATGGTACTCAATATATTCGATACGATCAGCTATCTGACTTCCTCGACGTACTCGAACCGCCACTTCAGATACACAAGCCTAATAAGTACAAAATCATATCCATGGACATACCTATATGTCGCAACGACTTGATGTTCTGCGTGGACATTCTTGATGCACTCACGAAAGACTTTTTCGCACGGAAGGGTAACCCTATCGAGGACCCTGGAGATATAGAGGTCGGACGACCTGACGAGGTCGGTTACGAGCCGGTGTCGTCAACACTATGGCGACAACGTGAAGAGTACTGCGCGCGGCTAATACAGCACGCGTGGCGACGGCACCGGCGCGCCCACGACGGGCCGGGCGGGGAGGACAGCGCGGAGGGCGCGGGCGGCGCGGGCGGCGCGGGCGGCGGGGGCGGCGGGGGCGGCGAGGGCGGCGAGGCGGAGGCGGGCGCGGCGACGGCCGTGCTGCTGGACGCCGTGACGCCCAACGGGCACCGCGTGGTGCTGCAGGCGGCGGGGGCGGCGCCGCGCCCGCCGGAGCCCGCGCCGCCGCCCGCGCCCGTCTGACCCGCGCTGGCGCTCGCGCTGCTGCCCGCGCTGGTTGACGACGCGCCGCTGCCGCTGCCCGCACCGCTGCCCGAGCTCCTGAGCCCACCCAAGCGCACTTAATTATTTTTTACGCTAGACGTTTCGCATTGTATATAATGTAGTGTGTCGGCGGGCCGCGGGCGAGCGACGCGACGCGCGCCAGCGCGACTGCTGCGCGCCCGCGCCGTTTCCTTCGTGGACGTTATTCTTTCGCGTTTAGAGACGTTCGAGGTGATAACTGGAGTGTTTTATATTCGCGTGGCCGAGCTTTCAAGACTGTTTGTTTTGCGACCGACGTTCGCGCGCGTTCACCGTGTTTTATTGTTCAAATTCGTACCTTTTTAGTTGTCGCATTAGACCAGTCACCGGTGAAAAAGACTTATCGATCGGAGAGAATCGTTTTTGAGAGCGTGCCGTTTTTTTCGTCACTAGTGATTTAATATAAGGTATCTGATAAAAATGAGGAAACTGTAAAAGCTTATTTTTGTATTTGATAAATATCACTGTCTATCTGTAAATTCTAAATCAGAACTTTATAATAATGTGAAGATCGATGATCTGATAATTTATCGAATTGTAAGATATCATTTTCTTTCCCCGAAATGGTGTCGAACAATAGCACTATATTGATAGAAAAATATGAGTTTGCCGTAGGAACCTCTCGCTTACATTGTTTCTTTTTTAATGTTTAATTTCTGAACGTAATGTACCTCAATAAGAGATTACATTTAATTCAGAACTACATATATGAGGCATGTGGGCGAGCGACTCCTGCTTCGGTTCGATGTTGCGCCGGAGTGTGACACAAGTGACATTTGCTTAGTTATGTTTCGCTTCAGCGCCGTGCCGCTGAGCGCGGCTTCACAGCGCAGGCAAATCGATGTAGCACTCGACGTTTGGGAACCAGCGAGTTTATTTAACGTTACAAATGTCTTCAACACGTCCTTCGCATTCGGACGTTAGTATAATCGTATCTAATAAACGCTTAGAAAAGCAATGGCTACGCCGATTCATATCAATTTTGTCCGTATAGTTTTTTATAGTTCCAATTTATAAGCCTCTCACTGTACCGCAATGACTCTACGTCGTCGAATTCTATACGGGATCGGCACATCGTCGGGTTCCTCGAAGTTAAGAGCGTTTAGAAAATTTTTGCAAGTTATCTATGTAAGCTTAACAAATCAGCTGTGAAAACGGTACCAGAGTTCACTTCCGTCCTAATTCAGTACGCATCATAGGAATCGAGCCATTTTATGTAACGCGCACTTTCCACGTAACTAGTTAATGTAATTTTCCTTCCCCTGAATTACATTAGCTACCGGAGGCGAGGCGCGTGTTCGGTTATCCCCAACCGGCCGCGCGCTGCTCCTCCCCTCTACCGCTCTTAAAGAGGATCTGTAGTTCAACTTACGTTTATACCGCAGCTAGGTCTTTCTAATGCAATATTGACTTATTACGATTTATACTAAAATGCCAAAAACGCCTTAGCATATTTTCAATCTTACCATAGCAGTAGCACAATACTCGTAGGTAAAATTGTCATATATGTTATTAATAAATGGATTGATATTAACGCGACAAATATAATCTAAATGTTACAATACAAAATACCCAATAACTTTAGCTCTCGATTGTAACGATGCGTTTTGCGCCTACAAAATTAGAATTGCGTAGGCGCATCGTGTCACCCCATGTGTTGATAGATAGGTATATTTGAAATGTTTCGCTAGTCTGTACAATTATAGGTACTACTGCGTTAGTACTGTAGCACTATATGTTAGCATTGCAAGCAAGACCTGTTCGCAGCTACGTGTTAATCTAATGATCCTCTTTGAAGCGTGACAAAATATTATAAACCTTTATCTAATAATTGCGAGCGGGCTGGTACTGCTTCGATGAATATTGCTCTTGCAGATTATTACATTATAACGATGTTATAGCATTGTACAACCGATTCGGCTACATGAAAGAGATCACCGTAATTAGCAATAAGATTATTTATATACCTAAGAGATCGAACGTCCCTTACCGAGTAAGGTAGATTATTGAAGTATTTTTATTTTACAAATGACATCTCTCTAGATAGATGGAACTAGCGCAGTTATGATGTATTTAGGACGTACGCCGTTCGCAGCGTTGAACACTCGAGTGGCTCATAAGAGTTGAGTTTCGTGTCAGTATTGTCTTTTCTAGCACAACAAGTCATTAAATTTTGTAATTTAACTTTGGAAGTGGTCAATTTTCTACTGCTCTGTAAATATTGAGAGCTTATCGCCGGGTAGATCCCAAACCGCACGTCGCAACAAATAAATTAATCATATGTCTACTATCTATTGATATGAGCGAGTAACGCAGCGATACATAATAAGCTTGAAGCAATAAAGTTATCGTGTGCTCGAAGAAAAGTTATGCTTTTCATTATACGAAACATGTCACCAAATAATTGTGTCGGTTGTTTTCAAAATTCATTTTACCCGTATTAACGAAATGGGATACATTCTGAAGTGCAAGACAATCTAAGTGTTGCAAAATTTAAACAGTCAGTGTATCTAAACTAAAATGAGACCCTTACCGTTTTGCACATATTTTGCAATAATTATGGTTACAAATATGTAGATAATTTTATAAAGTGTGCCGTTGGGCGGGGTGTGTGCAAGCGACCTTCCCCATCGCTCGGACATTCCCCGCGGCAGTCTCGGACGCGCGCACGGGAGCGCCGCGTCTCTGTTTCATCGGATCTACGCTAAGTGGAGTACCAGGCATTTGCTGTTCATAAGAACCCCAAGTTTGAGACATACTTAAATCTATGGTCTTTTCTTTGCTTTTTATTATGCGACGAATCCTGTAATTTCATGTCGATCAACACATAAATTAACACATCTACCTAACTCTACTCAAATTTAATGAACAATTTAATCGCGTTCACAGATAACATCACGATTATTGTGAAGTTAAACCAAATGGTATGTTTAAATTACGCAAAAAAATTATAGTCGCCTTATATAACTCAAATGAAAGATCACGGATTCATAGTTCTCAGACTGAAGGCATGCCAAAGACCGGTGGTGTTAATTTTTATTTGGTCAAACCAAACGTTCTCCTTACTATTAGGCATATTTGCACAAAGAAGTTGTGTTTAATTAAGTTTAGACAATAAGTTATAATATCATTATATTGTTTCTTTAAACTATACTTATGACAAAAAAGTGAGTTCAGTTTGCTGAGTGATAGAGGTTTAATTGACTATTTATTATATATATATTGTTGAAGTTTGTACAAAATAAATTAAGTAAACGATAAAATATAGAACTTGACTGCTTTATATCGTAGTTTTCTTTCCATCTTAACAGCAAATGACGACGAAATTGTAATAGCTTCACACTGTGTGCATGTAAAATGTACTAGTATTTTATTTTTCCTGCAAATTAAATTAAAAAATGATGATGGTTAGCAAGTTAACAAGTGCTATATTATCTATGCCTGAACAAAGATATGTTATACTACAATTGATTCAACACAGTAAAAAGATAGTTCATTTAGAACTATTAAACACACTGCATTGACGTCATTAGCGCTGCGCTGTAGCTATAAGAACGATTCGCGCCTTTATTACGGCGAGTCTCAGGACAGCAATGGCACGTAGCGAGCTGAACTGATTTGAACAATCGTCACTTTATATACATATTAATGCCAAGTTTGTTCCTGAGTACCGACACATATATGTATATGTATGTATATTTCATCTCGTAAATTCGGAATATTTTTTTATTCCGACAGTTACACTGTCATTATTTCGATGTTACCTACATCTATTTCAGTTCATCCTTTTAATTTCTCTATACACTACTAACACGCAATTAAACATCATTATCTATTTTTATTTAGGTTTTTATTTATTATAAAAAAATTCTATACATTTTCATTCATTAAGTACAATGTTTCATGTAATAACCCTAACTAGTGGTATTAAAAGATTAATAGTCTTTACTCACTATACAATTTTTTAAGAACAATTACAAATAATAGGTATCCGATTGATAGCTCGCTGCAACCTGCGAACATATAAAACTCAAACTGTACTATATAATAATAAAATTACAAAACAATAATTTCATATTTCGATCCAGAAAAAAAAAATCGATTTCAATCGTGGCAAAAACCAATTGTTTTGATTTAAAAATTAAACTAATCAACTGTTTTTGATAACATTTCTATAAGACAGATCTGTAAGCATATTCTTTCAAGTAAAAAAATCCAAATTGGTTTATGAATGACGAAGTTACAAGGAAATAAATATTATAAAAAATACAACAGTATTGTAAACCTCCTCCTTTTATAATTTGATTAAAAATGAAAGACAAATATATATTCACAACTATAATCCCTGATGGGATAGAGACATTTGTTAATGACTAATGTTCTGAACAAACATACACATGACGTTAGAAGCCTGCGTGGCAAAGAGCGAATTTATTATGGCTTATTGACAGAGGGATCGATTTTGAAGCGCCAATTTTCAATTCCTATGTATCTCTAAAATTAAAATTTTATTTTGATATCACAGAGAAATCTTTATTGTAAAGACCAATATTACCTAATTTTGTAATAGATTTTAAGTTATACTTTTAGTTTATGACGATGCATAACAGTAATTTCGCGAAATTATCAAATTAAAATATTAGGTAAAGAAATTAGTTAGAGAAATGGCAACTCAGAATCGGCTCCAATGGATCTCTCCGCAAATTTTGCACCAGAAAGAGACTTTATATAAAAGTCATTCATAGTCCATATTACTGCGGTAAAGCAATTGTACTTGTGGCTGTTTTGCTTTATGTGGTGGGATATGGCAATGAAATTACAGGGTAGGGTATTATACAAAATCGCGATACACGAGCGTACACAGAGTACACTGTGATACCCATGATCTATTTTTATTTTTATGAATGATAATGTAATGGTAACCCCGCCTGCAGTTACGGTATACGCTGGCGGGGCACCAATGAGGAATAGGTGAGGATAAAAAGGCAGGTCAATTAGGCCATCGCCATGCATACACCTGAAATTCAGCAGGATGGTTTCCAGGGGGGACAACATGAGGTTCGAACTGCCAGGATATATTGCTAGCAATAGGACTGGAAGTTCGCGTTACTAACAATACCTTCCCACTCCTGATACTTGCTTTATATTATTGAAATATTCCTAAAGATTTCTTTTTTTTTTTTTTAATAATAAATAGCATGTTACTCGCTGATAATGTAACCTATTATAGCTGAAAGAATTTTTAGAAACGGTTGAACAGTTTTTGAATTTATCCATTACAGACATACAAAAATAAAATCTTACCTCTTTATGTTATTATTTAGCGTTGAAGGTATTTTTTTCTCCTATTCATCATCATAATCATCTTCCTACCCTTATTCCAATTAATTAAGATCGGCGTAATAAGTTTTTAACCGTATTACAAAAAGATTTGGCTTATAGTTTTACGACCGGCCCGGCCGCTTGCCTTACGTCAACCCTTTTTGGAATATTTTTATCATATTAATTTTATAAATGCAAAAGTTTGTAATAATGGATGGATAGATGTTTGTTACTCCTTCACGCAATAACTGCTAAACTGATTTGAATGTAATTTGGTATACGGGTAGGTTATATCCTAACGTAGCACAGGATATTTTATGTATAATTAACGCGGTCGAAATCGCTAATATTAAAAAAACGATCTACCGTGGTAATGTCTATTCAACTCGGTAAAAAGAAATTAATCATATTATGATTTCAATAAAGAAACTTTTTTAACCCCCAGCATAAATATCAGCTGATAAGATGCTAAATGACTTACTTTATACGTCCAAGCAGGCTCACAACTTACTAGGCTTTACTAGGCCTCGTAGGCGAAGGCGCCAGAGCGTCCCTGCGATTACGAAACTATTAATATTGGTAAAAATTCAAGTATCTAATAATATTATAAGATTACTTGGTGTAGTGCTTTCTGATGTTAAAATTATATAATGAATGAGTTTTAAAAAACCGCCTTCATTGTACTTTGTGAAGCACAAAGCAAATGGTAATATTTTCATGACAGAACCAAGCATTTAAAAAATATCAGAGATTAAATTCGATTATTGTTGACTCGTCTGATTGCAGAGTAATAACTAAAAAGCCAGATACTTTTATATATATATATATATATATATATATATATATATATATATATATATATATATATATATATATATATATACATATAAAGTAAAACTTAAAGGACGTGGTAGGACCGAGGGATTCAGGCACTATATTGCAAATAAGAAACGTTCATTCGATGTTACTATTTTTATTTCCGTCTTAAATTTAAGACATATGTGTCCTTAGCGTCGACACACATACAAGATGCTCCTCGGTAGGTACATAAGTATTGTAATTTATACATTACCCATATAAATATCTATACAGCATCTATATGTACAATGTGTATGTGTGTACTAAAAAGGCTCCCAATATCAACCTATGGATTTTTTGCGATCATCCTATAGATAGTAGGACCTTCCGCACTATGAAGTACCCTATGTAAGTCCACTATGTGGACACCGGTACAGCAAGCTTTATATTATTAAGACATTTACTGGCAGTGCAACCAACTTATGCACGATCGATACCACGATATTAATTTAATTATTATGTAATTAGTGACAGAGATATGTAGCGCGAGACATATATTACAAAAAGCTGAATTTTGCGACTTTAACATGTACAAAACAGTACTCTTTGTACGAACGGATTCTTTAACTATTTAGCTACACTCTCAAACTACATGCCCAAGTGTTATCTTAGCCACATATCACTATCATTGCCGCACTATTCTTAATTACAAACATTACAATACCAGTCGTTACTTTGATGATTTAATTTTAACACTCCAATATTTTAAAATGAGACAGCACGACGCGCCGGCTGCGAATCTGTTCAGCTTTAGTTCTACCAACACCGAGAATAGTTCAAGCCTTGGAGGCATTAAATTATAAATCGATCACAGAATAAAAAACACACTATATCCTGAACTAACAGCTTATTCATTATATTGATAAACAGTACTCTAATAACAAAAATAGGATTTTTGGTACAAATATTCTCGTTTCATTCTTAACCGCGATAATATTTAATTACTTATCTTGTGCCATTATTTTGATTCAAAGATTCGATACAAGCAAAATTAACAATAAGCAAAGTAAATCACTAACGTGAATATATACCACAATATTTTACATCAAGGGCTCATTACACTATCATACATATGTAACGTCATACATTACTCATATATTCATAAAGAATTGAAATGAAATTGTTCTCTCACTATAGTATTCCTAAGTTATATTATTTTATAAATTTTTGGTGATAATTAAAGTGCATCAATAGAAATTGATTAGGATAACGGTCCTTTATATTGGATAGTGTAAAAAGCACCTTATACAATGAAAATGAGGTCATACCAATACAAGAATCCAAATAAGCATTATAACGTTTATAATATTCACTACACTAAGCGATTTACACGACGCTACATTTAACATTAAAGTATCAAAATCAGCAAATATTAAAATTAGATCTAACATGTCACAGTCAAAAATATAAAGGCGGGTACTGACGGCGCCACTTGTCACACACAGATAGTCTTATTATATCCAGCAATTTGTACACCATATGTCACGAAACATGGTAGCAAAAGTTTGAAGAGTTCTAGTGGGGTGTAATTTTTTACATAATTATTTACCAACTAGCAAATTCATCAAATCATCATCAATAGGGGATTATAGTGAACAAATATTATTTCTAAAAAAAAAATTATGAAACATCATATTGTGTTTTATTTATATTACCATGGGTTGCCATATCTGATGATCGAGACTACAGTGCTAAAAACAAATAATTAAAAAAAATTATACCACGCTGGTAGATTAGTGTCAATCAAACATGACACACCAAAATTATATAAAAATAAATTTGTGTGTCAGTTTTAGAAGATGATTTTCTTTTTTTAATAGTGCTAGTTCAAGGCAACACTCGTTATCGTGCAGGTGAAGTGTTATAATATACTACTACAATAGCTAATGTAATAAACAACCTTATTATTTTTGTATTAAAGGAAAATTTACACCACTTTAAACACACGTACAGCATTACTGAGCACTAAGAAACTTGATGGAAACCCAATTATCATCTTGACATGACTAAGGTCAGTGCAAGATGGGTTCCAAGAATACTCACGCCACTTCAAAAAAGTGAGCGTGTCGAGTATTCTCGCCAGAACTCTCTTGAAAGAATAGGAAAGAAGTTATGGGCCGGATTGTTACTGGAGATGAAACCTGGGTTCACCACTATGAACCTGAGTCCTATGTACTACTGAGAACTATGAACCGAAGCAAGAGTCGATGCAATGGCATAAAAAAGGTACAACGCCTCCGAAGAAGTTTAAAGTGTCACAATCAGCCGGAATAATGGCGACTATTTTTTGGAAGGTATTTTGCTGATCGATTATAAAGATCGTGGTATGACTATAACGGTACTACGCTTCTTTACTGGATCTACTGAAAAAAGCTATCAAGGAAAAAAGAAGAGAAAAACTGTCAAAAGGTGTGCTTCTTTTGCACGACAACGCTTCCGTCTACACGTACCATGTTGCGACAGCTGCCATCCACCGATGCGAGTTTGAAAAATTAGACCACCCACCTTACAATACAGACTTGACAAAAAGGAGCTGCGTGGAAAAAATTTTGCGACGATGAAGAAGTCAACTCTGTAACTTCGGCCTATTTTGACAGCAAAGATAAACCTTTTTTTTTTTTCGATGGTATAAACAAATTATTTGAGAGATACGAAACATCTATTAAGGTTAAAGGAGAAAGGAGAATATTGAAAAGGAAAAATAGTTTCATGTTTAATTTCAACCCCCTTTCCCCTAATTCCGCGAACTTTTTGACCTCCCCCTATAGTTTTATTAAAATGTAAATGTACGAAGTCAGTATCCGCCAAAATGGACTGTTTAACTAATACTCTCTATTTAGGAGAATGTAAATATTTTACACACTGTAAAATGATATTAATTTTAACGGTTGAAGAACATCAACAGAACCAAAGGATGTTTGTATTAAATATACGATTTCCTTTCGGCGCCATAGAATTTCTGAAGTGTGAAATTAATTGGTAATTAGCTAAGCTACAAACTAACGAAAACAAAATATGTATCTATTCATTATTTATATTATAACCTATTATTAAAAAACCTATAAATTTTCCACTGACCAAAATTTGCAAATCATTAAAACGGTTATCTATGACAAATGATGGAGTGACGTTGAAATGTTGAGTTTGTTAAAATTTTACTATTAAATTAGAACAGTTTATATTGTCAATGTCATCACTCGTTCCACAGTTGACCAAATTAATACAACTGTCACAAAAAAAGGAACAAGCTGCCCATGTGATTTTGAAGACAAAAACAATGAACTCTGTTAGTTTCAACCACGAAAAATATTTTTAGTTAATATTTTATATTTAAAAATGATATTGCTATATAGTTATTTAATATTTGTTTATTTAAAAATATATTTTTATATATCTGAGATCCTACAGATGTAATTTATATTTTTGCAACTTGACTGTATTTCGATCAGAAATTTATTTATTATTGAACACGTGTGAATAAAAGCGAAATTAAAATATCGATACAAAATAAAAAAAAAAAAAACACGTTCAATTCCATTTTTATGACATTTTCTATTTCTATTTTTATTAATTGTCATGTATGGTGTAATAAGGCGACAATAACTAAATTATGCTTTTTTTTTCAGTATTTTCTTTTTTCACACTTTCATCAGAAACGTGACACACGAGCCTAACAAAAGAGAATCTTTCATTATTAGCTCAGTAATGTTCATACATAATTCTGTAATACATATATGTTGCATCAAAATCTTGTGACATATTATCTTAAATATAATAATATCAATAAAAAAATTATAAAAAAACGCTGAAATATTGACTCTGAATAATTAGGCTCGCTTATCATTAAATTTATTGCAACTAATCACTGTTTAATTGTTTTTTGTATTAAGTATGTATGAAGATGTTAAATAGAAAAAGGGGTCTGACTTTAATAATAATGAGGATTTTTGGGAAAGGTTTCACTCCCCTAGATTCCAGCTTTTTCAACCTTAGTGACACGAACCATCAAGGCGTGTAACAGCCTACTCACAAGGAGTAGTGTGAATCTGTTATGCTAGTGGTAGTTATGTCGGTAGAGAGATTGTTTACTCTGTATAATCCCAGCAATCCTTCTCGTAGCCCTCATGTACATGCTCGAGCAACACCTTACGCCGACTGTCGCAATATCTGCCAAAATGTAAAATATATAATTGGCTTACAAAATAATAAATCAATGAGCTGATAATAAGGTGCCAATCTCTAAACTTAAAATGTAAATTATAAATTAAATTTTGAATGTATTATTATTTTTTTTAATATAAAAATGGAATGGTTAACCTGTCTGAATTATTGGTAAATGCTAGAAATTATAGATTTGAATGAAATCAGATCAGTTGGCCCATCATGACATATGCACCAGTAATTAACTACGAATATTTCTTAAGCACATGGAAGTTACCACACACCAGGCGTTAAAGCTCTTAAAGTATAAATAAGTAAAAGTAAATAGAAACAAAAGGGCAACGGTATATTCAATATTAATTATAGATGAATTTGTCACGATACGCTCATCTATAAATCCCCACTAGTGCCCTGCCAGCGTATACCGAAAGCGCAGACGAGGTTATGATGATCATCATTAAAAAAAAACTTTGTCTTATAAAATCAAACCTATATGATACTAGAAACTTCCTTATCACTCAGTAACTCATCACCTCAGGTAATATTGTATAGGTACTAATGAATTTACCTGTATTTGTCCTGTACTTTCTGTTTGATGTCGGCCAAGTTTTCACTGGTAATATCGCGTTCGAGATACTCGGAGAGTGTTTCAGTGGCGGACTCAAGGTCGCGCTGGTTATCCTCGAAGATCACTGACTGGTTGTTCTTGCGGAGGTAGTACGCGAACACATATGTGTACATTAAAGTTTGTCTGCACTGGCATAGAATGTCTACTGCCTTCTTCAGGAATTGCACCTGTAATGTAAGATGCTTATATTTATATACTGTGTATTTATTTATTTAATAGTGTTCATATCGAAGTGTGGCATCATAGGAGTTATTACTCAATTCTTAAAAACATAGGCTTCCCCCTTTGGGAAGGTTGGCAAGCGGATAGACTATATTCCACAGTGGAAATATATATATATATATATGTATGTATATATATATATATATATATATATATATATATATATATATATATATATATATATATATATATATATATATATATATATATATATATATATATATATATATATATATATATATGTATGTATATAAAATGTTCTGATAGTATAGTATGATTATGTCATAGATGTCTGAGGATTAAGTTTTGTCCCAAATTAGTGAACGCCATCTTTTTATCTGTGACGGTGACGCGTATGCCTACAGTTCGCGCTCAGCAGGCCGAAGCGCACAGTGAGACTCGCACTTGGGTTATAGAGTTACCTAATAATACCTAACAATCCCGAGTGGTCCTAAAACTAGTCGAGCCTTCTTGACTAAAATACACATAAGTTAAACCGGTAGTTACTAATTACATTAAATATAATGTGTACTTATAAAACATTCAATAATAAAAATGAAGATCCAAGTAAAAATCCAGCCGACTTAGAAATTTTATCAGTAGACATTTATTTATTAATAATATTTTTCTTACAAATAAGACTTCATACCAGAAGTGTTCTCATAGTGTACCTCGATCCAGCTCATGTTGTGCTGTTGCATCTCTTCCATCTTCTCCTTGACGGAAGCGTAGAGCTTGGACTCGAAGCGCAGCGACTGCATGTGATTCATGTATCGGTTGCAGTAGAACAGGTAGCGCTGCAGCGCCGCGCGCGACCGCTCCTGCGCGTCGCGGGCCGCCTTCGCCTCGTCCTCGTCGTATCTGCACATGACACGCGTAAATAAATCGTAATGTTATTAAAAGAGTTTCTCCACCAAAGTTTACATTGCATATATATTATTTTTAATACATTACATATTATTCCATTTACTTTAAAACATACAGCTCATCTTATACCAACATATATTTTTTTATTCTTATATTCACAAATAGCTGAATCCAATGACTTTATACACGTAAATCAATATGTAAAGTATTTTGTGTTAAGTTAGGATATAATCTTCCGTGTACCAAATTTCATTCAAATCCGTTCAGCTGTTTAAACGTGATTGAGTAACAAACATATAGACATCCAAATAACCTTACCAACCTTTACATTATAATATTAATAAGATACTAGTTGTTTCCCGTAACTTTGTCTGCATAAAACTGAGTCTTATGTCCAGTACTTGAGTAACTATTAATTCCTCACACAAAACTTTATTCCCTACTTCAGCGCCTCAAAGTCCAATCTGTATACCAAAACTCATCAAAATTTATTTCGTGGTTTGTAGGTGGAAAAGTAACAGACAAAATTACTTTTGCCTTTATAATATTAGTATGAATGAATACAATGTGTGAACATTCCTTTTCGTCTCCAGGATATCGTAAGAGACGACTAAAGAAATTTCACAATACATCAAAATCCAAAATAAAATACTAAATGAAGACAGAATTATAACAATCCTTCATGATTAAATTATAACAACAACTGTACCTATTGCAATTGTACCAGCTGCTTCCATGTGGCTCCCAAGGTCCGAGACACACCCAGCAAAAGTCAGCCTTACAATTTTGGTTCTTGCACACCATGTGATTGCATCCGCCGTCCTTCTCTATGGTTACATTGCACTTCGGACACTCTTTAGTGTTAGCCGCTATCCAATTGGAAGTTTCCGAGTCGTCGTCGCATTTCTGCAATGGAATTTTATAATTAGACATTGGCGGCAGTTTAATTATATTTATTGTTTGTTTGTTTGTTTAACTCTTTATTGCACCATAAATAAAAATACACACAAGTGAGTAATTCAAATGAATTAATGTGTTGTTATGTTAAAATGTTGTTGGAAATTTGATGTTTAAGACTCATTACTGTCCATTCATAGAGTAACTTTAAATTTTTTTTTAGTAAAATATATATTAAAAAAGTGGGATCACAATATACTTAATAACAAAGAAATTAATTTAGGGCCCAACCATCGTACAATTATTATTATTATTTTTTTAAAAGCGGTCATGTGACATTGTCGCATTGGTATGTGTACCTTGATCCACTTGCGAAGTAGGCAGCAGCGTACCGGATCGTGCCAGTTCTCGCCGCACGCGAAGCAGAATGTATGCCCGCAGCGGCACGTAACGGGCGCTGCCTCCACGTACGCTACCTTGATGGCGTTACTGCAATCCGGCGACGGGCACCAGCGCAGTAGTCGGTTGCACTGCAAGCATACGGTCAGACAATGTTCGACTACATTACAGGAATTACAAAATTGAAACACAGTAATCCCTCTATTTTTTTATATTCATATATATTTATTTGGAACATTAATAAATTTTTGTCACTTGCTTCCTGCTCTGCATCAGCAAGTCAAAAGTTTTATTTGTGCCACAGATTTCAAACTTTTTCATGGAAATTAGATTTTTAAAGTCAACAACTAAAGTGGAATCAGAGGGAGGTTTTGCATACAGTCATCATGGGCTATCCCTCTCATATTTCTATCGGCAAACAACTGTCCTGCATAACTGTTTCAATTTGAGATAGGGAAGATACTGCAGTGCAACAATTGGACAAGCAAACATAACACTTTAGGCTTCAAAAATGGTAATGCATGGAGCAGCCCACCTGATGGAAATTGTACCCACACTTTATTACATACCTCAACAAAGCTGTTTGTGATGATATGCTGATACTTCAATTTGACTCTGGGGTCTCGTACCAATCTCATCACGGTCGCGTCGTCCACCAAAATGTCGCACTCATGAGCAGCGCATGCTATTGTTTGACCCTATAATAATAATTTAGTATCACTATTCTTTCCTTTTCGACCAATGTTTAAATTAAAATGTCCAATTGTGAAGAGCCAATCTACAGTGTGAGACCAGATTTGACAGTTTTTGATAAATTACCTACTGACTATTACACAAGAAAAGGCTAAAATCAAAATAAAAAACAAAACATCAAAGACCTCGACGAAGTCTCAAATTATGGATATTGTTTACATCGATTTGTACTGAAAATTATTTTACATTTAAAAAATCTGAGCGTTACAGTACTTCGTACTTACGCGATAGATAGACCTGAGCGATAACCGCGTAAGTCGACTTCGCGTAAGTTGGGGCATAATTGCTTAAGCTTATGCATTTATTTCATGGGGCATGTTTGAATATGCACATTAGTTTAAAAATAGTGTAGGAGGAGTGAGTTATTTAAAATTGTTTGGTATTCAAACAATCAAATCGACGAGATTTGAAAATCGCGTGACTCCGGATTCACGTAAATCAGTATTAATTTTTATTGCACCTGTATGTTGCAAAATATTAATTAAATTCGATATGTATAGCACACGTAATATAATACAGAATCAATATATTAGAACAAATTAATAAAAAAAAAAAAATACTTACTAAGCCCTCTTCCATGATTTTAGTTGTTAAATATTCACACCAACATTGTGTGCAAAATCTGTGACCGCATTCCAGTCCCGTCATCATCTGTAATTGTACAAATCGGTTGTCCTCGTTTCATTATAAATAAAATATTCATATCATAAATAAATTCGCACCATATCCATACTTTAAAGGATATCAATGGTTTTGTTAAAAAATAAATAGTTGACGCTTACAAATAAATAGTTTCAAAAGTCTATCACATATTTCTTTCCTGTCTGAATAATAAATATTATAAAAGCTAGACATCATAATAAATGAGATAATTAAAATATTATGGACAAATGGGCAATTGATACTAGCATCTTAAGCAGAATATATCTCTCATATAAAATTCTATTTACCGTTAATGGTAGCACTGAAAAACATATTTCACATTCTTCTGTCCCTGACGTGGATATCCGTCTAGGTAGCTGCAACAGTATAAATATACTCAAAATATTTACACTAGAAATATTAATAAACCATATTGAAATAGTTTTAAACTGTCACGTTGTTTACACATGTTTAACTATGGGACTCAACGCAATGTAAAAGGCCTTACACCATGACGTGGTGCAATCTACGTTGAACCGTCGGCAATAAAGAAGGTAGAATACGCAGGTACTATTTACCTGTAAAGGCATTTACATCGCGTTAAGTCCCAATTGTGTATTTAAAACATTAAAGTGCACTAAAATTCATACTTATAATATTTTTGTGTATACATCAATTGCCTAAAGCCTGGGTAAAAATAATAATTTTCAAAAATTTCGTCTGTCTGTTTGAATATTTGTTCCCGTATCACACAAAAACTATTGCAACAAATTGAATTTTATTCACTATTGTGGTTTTCACTATAGTGTTCCTGAAGGTCTAACTTAAAAACTGGTGTATGTTTTATTTTAATGCAACATTTAGAAGTGGAACATCTATTTTATTGGTTTTCATACTTCTTGAATTTGTGTGTATGAAGTAGTAGGCAAAAATCCAGTATTTAATATTTTTGTATGTAGTAAAGGTGCCTGAATGAATCTCAAAGTAATCATCTCCCATTTTTTGTATTATCTAATTGATTAATAAACAGTAAGGTCTCATTCCAATTGTTCTCAGCAGAAAGTTTCCACAGTTGATAGGTTGATAGATAAAAAAATATGTGTTGTTAAGTCTACAAAATATATTACCTAGTTTTTTTTTTTTTTTTATAGCTGTCTATATCCAGCAGTAGAAATGATGAAATGATATTAATGATAACAGTTTCATATTACCTTTGGCCTTTGTATGACTGGTTTTCGAAATGGATTAATGACCCTAGCTTCGGAGAACAACTGATCTTGGTCCCCATCATAGAATCTTTCCATAAGCTTCTCTTTATCCCATTTGAAATGATTTAATAGTATTCGAGTTGTTGTTGCTGGTATCTAAAAAATAAGAGTTTAATTTTAATATATGAATAAAGAAACATTCCAGAACAGAAGTACTAGAATGTTTTCTATAACTGGAATCATCAATTTTTATTAAATAAGGAGTATTTATTAAAAATTGATGACATTATACTTTGTCTTACATTTTACAACATATTGAAGATGAATAATTCTGTCAAAAAATTTATGTATAAAAAGGTTAATATAATTCAATTTAGACCATAATAATTATAACAAAAATATAAATAAATATTAAACTATAAAAATTTAAAGTTATCCCATAAATCAGAGCATAATGAATAACATTTAGAAAAAAGCACACACTAATTATGACATAGACAGACTAAAATCTTTTAGTACATTTTATACCAATTGACATTTTAAAAAACAAAATGGACAAAAGATATCAAGTAAATTATTTTATTTTCTAAGTATCAGATTCATCACAACAGTAATAACAATTGCATAAAGTACCTACATTTCTATCTAGATAAGACTCATCTGGCAATATCAATAGATTTGAGATAAATTTTGATAGCTCAAAGTGCTGAGGAGTAGAAAATAGGAATTCTTTTTTTTAAGCGACTTAGAATGGCCAACAAGCTGGTAAAAAGTTGTAATTATTGCCTATAGACAAACAGTACCATAGACATAACAGAGTATCACCCATGTCCTATACTGTAGCCCTAATGCATTGCCATTCCTGAGAACTAAGGTGTTACAACAAAATCTTATATTAAGATTTTATACAATAATATCTAATAATTTTTTTTTATTTATTTGGTTTGGTTTATTATGGAAACTTTACTGATTTATATTATGGTTGTGTATACTATTTTATATGTCTCGGGTATTGTATGTTTCCCTTTTAAAGTAAAATAAAAAAAATAAAAATTACTAATGTAATATAATATAATTGTAATTGGATGATGTCTGTATATAAGAGACATTTAATAAAAATGAATAAGAGAAATCTTAATAGGAGATATAGAAGCCTAGTTAATATTTTTTAAAAATTTAGTCTGTATCTGTATGTTTGTTCTGGCATCACACAAATTTCTTTTTGGTTGATAAATTGGTTTATCACTTGTATTCCTGAAGGTGTTTCTTAAAATCTGGTATGTTTTATCTTGATTCACCATCGAGAAATAGACTATTTCATGGTTTTCCTACTTCTGAAATATATGCATACAAGCATATATACGTAGCAGAGAAAAAGCTAGTTAACAATAAACTCATGAAACTCTGCCCTGAAACTTTTTTGGACATCTCTAGCAACAACATAATATATTTAAAAATATTTTAAATATACTCAGTATTTATTAATAAATAGGTTGAAAAAATACCTTCTGATAACTAAATCTGAAGCAAATGTTATGAAGGTAGGTTTGAATCCCATTGGTGTCAACAGAAAATACTTTTTTCAATCTGTTAATAATTTAACTTATATTTGGAGCATAGCATTATATAGGTGTGAAACACAGACAATGATTCAAAAGGAAAAAAAGATGCTCGAGGCATTTAAAAAATGGACATGGAGGAGAATGGAAAGGATAAGCTGGACAGAAAAACTAATGAATGAGGAAGTCCTGAAAAGAGTGAATGAGAAAAGAACATTAATTAACATAATAGTGAATAGAAGAGGCAAAATGCTGGGTCATCTTATACGACATGAAGATTTTTCAAGAGCATAGTAGAGGGAAAAATAGAGGACAAAAGAGGAAGAGGAAGACCAAGGAATAACTACATGGGACAGACAAAAGAAACACTAGGTGTCATGTATAGGGAGATCAAGGATATGGCTTGGGATAGAACTGGCTGGAAGAAGATGTATGAATTAGTTGCACCAACAAGAGGAAACTCTTAAATAAAAAGAGAGAATAATTTAACAACATAATGTGTATACAAAGAGTACAAAATAGTATTTTGCATAAAATATCATAGGGCATAGTTATTGAGAAATTATGACATTATAATTATTATGATACTTGTAAATATTGTGATGCATGAGATATGTAAAAAGATTATTTCTTCATAAAAATCTTATAGCAATAAACCTAAACCTTCTCAAACAGTGAAGAAGCTGAAAAAATATTAGCATATATATTAAAGGGAATGTTTTTTAAAAGAACAGAAGAGTAACTGGCCTCTCAGCATTTAAGAAAATCAACATATCAGTTTATAATCTTACAACTGATCGCTATAATTGAAAATTATAATATTTACATACAAAAGAAAGAAAAAGTTACAATCTATATGTATAATATAAAAGACACTTAAATGTGAAAAATAAATAATATCTTGTCTTGTTATATTTACAAATTGAAAAATATAATAATATATCATAATACCTACATACCTATACTAAAAATAAAATGTAAGACTAATTATGACTCACTTTAAATAGAAATAAATATAAATAAAAACAATATAAACTTACACTTACAGTAAATAGTACTAAATAATATTTATTTATAATATGTTAATTATTATATATTGTGAGTTATTTAAAACTAATTGTCTGTAAAATATTATTTTAGATTATACCTTAACTTCTGAGATTTATCAAATATAAAGCATCTTTTATAAAAATAAAAATAATATAATTAACTACTTCTTATTTATTCAATGACATCAGCCCACAATATATTTATTGCTTGTCATGAACAAAAGAATCAGGTTTCTAGGCCATCATCTTCAATGTTCAATATGATGGCATAATCTAATAATCTCAAGGTCCACACAAGTAAAGTTCAAGTAGAAAATTGTCGTTGCAAGCTACGACGAAATAGAAGTGATATACAAAAGATTGTATAAAAGTATTTTAGTATACAAATAACCTCGTTCAATTAGTTCATTGTTTACTATTAAAACACTGACCTCCACAACAGTGTTCACGTCTTTGATACAATCCACCATGTGCTGAACAATTTCTTCCGTGGATAACACTTCGTATGGATATTCCTCAAGCTCCGTTTGTCGTTCCCTTGTACTATGTGTTTCAACGTCCATTGCAAAGTCGACATCGTCTCCACTGGACTCATTCCCAGAATCCACATCATCCTTTGTGTCATCTTCAGAGTCCATATTCGAGATTTTGACAAAATATATATGTATTTTTGGTAATAAGAGTAAAGCTAGTAAACGTCTAATAATGAAATAATTACACCTAAGATTTAGGAAAGGTCAACAAAGAAGAAAATAGTTCACCTACGGGCTGCCAAAACCTCTGACGTATGGATGGCAGTGTCGCCAGTGTCTATGACGTCAAACTCTTGTCGTACATTATGGTCACAGAGTATTTAGATACCTAGTAAATTCGTAGAAGGAGAATACCAGTATCCAACAGTATTTAATAATCATAACATAGATTAATAATAATATTTGCGGCTTGAAATTTTTTTTTTTTTTCTATAATTTGGCAATGTCGTTAATGTTTCCGTATAGTATTTCCCAATAAGCTGCTTACAATAAAACAACTGAACAAATACACCAACAACAATAAATAAACAGAATCAGACACATCACATTTCTTTTAGGTTCTAAGGAATGTTTTTTTAATAGATGATAATGGATTGATATCCCCGCCTGCGCTAACGGTATATACTGGCAGGGTACCAGTGAGGGATGATAGACGATAAAGTAAAAGCACATAAACTTAGTGATTACGTATTCTGTACTTATTACGTATCTTAAAATGGAATGTACAAAATTCATTAGGTAAATAGAAATAGTCGTGGTAAAGATTTTTAATCAGAATTTCTAGATATTGATAAAAAAAAATTAAAAATATAATTCATTTGAAAGATAAATAATTTAAAAATTTTTTATACAACTGAGGTGGCAAACAAGCGTATGATTCGCCTGATGGTAAGTGGTTACCGCAGCCTATGAACGTCTATAATACCAGGGGTGTTGCGCGCGCTAAGCCGACCCTGAAGAAACTTCTTTACCCCTTTTTTGAAGAACCTCATGCTGTGCTCTTTTGGGAAAACCTCGGCAGGGAGGTCATTCCATAACCTGAGTGTTCATGGGGCAAAACATTTCTGAAACCGCGTTGTACGCGACCATTTAAACTGTAGGGTATGAGGGTGAACTCCCTGTCGATGGCGAGCCGTACGATGGTAGAAAGTGGTCGTGGGCATAATATTGAACAATTCCTTTAATCACAATCCGTTGTACAAACAGTAAACCACACAAAGTAAAGCAAAATCCCCCCTAAGACTTAAGGGTTCGATACCGCTTGTAAGCCGTGAAGAGATTTTTTTTTAAATATATCCTCAGTGATCCAGTTATTTCATAATAATCCCATTAAACTTTAATTTCAATATTTGTATATGGAATCACACTTGTATGGAATTGTACTTGAGAATTGAACCCATTGTTATCAATTATCAAATTAGGTAATTGATTACAACAATGACCAGTTCATGCAATATATAACAATTTTATTATCTGGACTAAAATATGACCTAGATCAAGGGTTATTAAATTTTTAAAATAACGGAACACCCACCAAATACCTTTTACTTTATGGAACACCATATCAAACAATTACAAATCAAAAACACTATTTTAAATAATAAAAAGGTTTTATTAGAAATATTTTAAAAGTATAACACTTTATAGTTTCCTTTAATGTGAAGAATGAAATTGTTTCACTGCACAAATATTTCCGTGGAATCCTGGTAATTTTTTTATGGAACTCCTAGGTACTGTTGAACCCACTTTAGAAATCGCTGACCTAGACAATTGGTATATGTGGAAGAATGAATACTTAGATTTTCAAATACAAAGCTACACACTTGTGATATTTATAGAATTAATTGAATATTACTGAGCTAGGGATCTTATTACATTTTATACAATTTGTAATGAAAAAAATATGGGCTCTTATTCCATAATATTTTGTCATAATAAATTATAAATCATCTAAATTCAAATTTAATAAGTCCAACAGAAAGTACTTTATATAATATATAAATAACTTTATATTTAAGCAAAAATATCAACAATCAGATTAATTATAAAATGTATCTAATTATTGATGTTTCCTGAGCCTTAAATATTTGACAATTTTATTTATTTTTAATTTTATATTTTAGTTTCATATGTTATTTTTAAAATAGTGACAGCACACTTTAAATCAAATTATCTAATTCATTTTGAATAGATTCAAGTTGTAAGAACATTGAATAAAGTTCAGAATGTGTAAATTCAATTTCTGTATCTGTTTTTATTCCTGATAATGATATGTAAGATTTTGGTACCTTACATTTTTTACGATAACCAGAGCTTAGCTCAACATTAAGTTTCCATGAAAAATTTATTGCATCTTCATTACAATCAATTGATTCTGAACCCAGATTAGTCAAAGTTGTTCTAGTATCAGAAGACCAAACTTTCACAATAATGTCTGCTTTTTCATTACTTAATCCAATTGAAGTTAAATTGGTCTTTAAATTAATTGGCATAAAAATATACTTTAACATTTTCTTATATATGTACAAAATGGATTTAATAGCAAGAAATAAGTTCTCTTCGTTAACATTAAATATCTTTTCTAATTTTTGTCTTTCATCTTCAGTAAATATTTCTGTGTCCTGAAGTTTAAATTTTGCAACAATTCTACGGAGAAATTGCTCAAATTTTATTTCTTCAAACTTGTTAATAATGTTGATACCTTTATTTAAGCTGCAATGTAAAAAGAAAACATACAATAATGATGTTAAGAAATTATTAAGTTAAAGTAAAATGTAGCAGAATACCTACCTTGGTGGTGACTTTAACCATTGGACATCCATAATTTTTAATTTTACATCTATATAAAGAAAATGATAAAAAATGATAGTGTATTAAAAAAAGAGTTCTTTCGATACAGCTATTTTACTTTGAACACAGATCAATTAATGACTACATTTGATTATGACAATGAAATGTAAATACAGCAAAAATTAGGAGATAATACAGATTAGAGCACAAGTTAGAGAGACTATGAATATTGGATAGATGTAGATAGTTTTCTACTGTAATTTATTGAGTAAACACCCATCGTCACTAAGAACAAGAAATTTGTAGTTCTTATCCAAAGTAGCATAAATAGCAATAAAAATTATAGTCCACTACAACATCACACGTACCAGGTAAATATCCATTTAATCAAAGACCCTTAAGTGTAATTAGTAAATTCATCATCATCATATCAGCCCTTAACCGTCCACTGCTGAACATAAGCCTCCCCCTTGGGGGGGTCTATTGCCAGTAGTTGCCACGCTTGGTAGACGGATTTTTTTTTTATTGGTGAAAATGGTATGGTAACTCCGCCTGCGCTAAAGGGATATGCTGGCGGAGCACCAGTGAAGGGTGATAGATAAGAAGAAAACAGTTAGCCCATCATGATGGATGGAGGAACTAACCATGATAGTTTCCAGGGAGAACCACGAAGAGGTCGATCTGGTTGGGTATATTGCTAGCAATGGGATTCTCAGTCCCCATTACTAACAATCCCTTTCCCCCCTGGCAGACGGATTGGTAACTGCAGTCAGGCTTTAGATGTTTTAAGAGGGATGCTGCTGCCCATCCCTCGCCATCCCTTTAGTTGACTCATAGCACACTCACGGGAAAGGAAGAGGTGACCTATTCTATGCACACCTATTCACACATAACATCTTCCTTCTTTTTTCTCTATCCAAATGAAATCTAATGTCTGTACAGTCGTGTCAATGTCAAGCTAGATTGTCAAAATAGCTAATCATTCTTTAATCAGTTCTCCAGTCTCCAAGTTGTCAGCTTATTTGCCGCGTGGATGGAAATCGTGAGCAATTAGATAATCATGGATTAAAATTAGAAATAAATAATAAAAAAAGCCCTCTATACAAACTTAACCATGTCACTTAAAGTAGAACGAGTTCCAGAAAATATAGATTTTCCTAAGGAAGAAGAAAAAGTACTGAAGTTTTGGAAGGATATAGATGCTTTTCAAACTTCTCTGAAACAATCGAGAAATAAACCAAGGTGAGGTTATCCGGTAGGACAGTTCAATATGTTTTAATTAATAATCAACTAATGACTTTTATTACCCGCTATTAGACATAAGAAATACATTGTCATGTGCAATAGATCAAGTAAACTAAATGTGTAGTCTTGATCGTATATTGCATCATTTCTGCTTTTCATTTTGCTCTTTGATAATAAGAATTTGTAGTTATATTATGATAGTGATTAAACACATTTACCTGATAGTAATATTTCTATTAATTTTTAAACATGTAAATATTTACTCTTGTCAATGTAGCCTAGACATGATACAATTAATTTAAATATGGTCATGGACATTCACAACTTCATTTGTAATAACATTTAAACTGCATGTGTGAATAGCATACACACATTAAAATTTTATTTTTAGCAAAATTGTATGATCATTTGTTGTTTATCTTGTTGTTAGCAATAAATTTCTATACTATAAATGTGATCCTGGTTATAGCTTCATTTTTTATCTCTGCTAACCATTAAAATTCAAAATGTAAAATAATTCATATCTTAGTTATTAGTGAAACTGTGTACATATATATTGTATATACAGTGGATTTCATTTATTACAACCTTGGTTGTAGTGACCATTTGCCTATAGCGACGTTAAATCGAAGTCCCTTGAGTTGAAAACATACTTTAGTACACAATTCTTGTGGCTATAACAACTTTGGATGTAACACTGAGTTCGGGTGTAGCAACTCTTTTTAATGAATCATTTATAACAAATTCCTAGAAATCCTATGCAGATATTGTGACCAAAGTTGGCCACTAAAGAGACACCAAGATTTCTTTCTTTCACAAACATTTCTAACCTTTTGTTTACATCCACACAGATGGTCAGCAAGTATGGAGACCTTTACCTATTGTTTATAGATATCAGCTAAGTAGGTAGGGAAGTGTGTACATTTTGGAGTTGAATTTATGGTTCAGTTACAAAGTGATATTCTGAGTATCAACTGAGTTTAGTAAACTTTTGTATAAGTATAACTGCCTCGACACACATTCACTGTTAAAGAAAAGGCGGAAAACATTTCAAAATTTAAAAACAGTGAAAACAATGCTGATTTGTGCAAACAAAAAACTATAAATGTGTATATGTTTTTATCTCTTTACCTTTGCCTGTAATGACTTCCAGATATAACGATGAAAATAGAATGATCCCTTCATTGTCGTTATACCTGAAATCCACTGTATATATATATATATATATATATATATATAGAAAAATACTTATGAAGTCCTTAGGAATGACATGTAAGTCATAATGGACATTACAGCATATTCTGTGTATTGTGTTCATGGAACTGTTATTTTTTTTTTCTTCTAAGAGACAATATTATGAATTTAGTTTTTAGACTATAATTTTGAATAGATTTTAATCTTGATCTTCGTTACATATTACAATGAAGACTTGATTAACCATAGTAATAGTTATCATAAAGTATTCAGATCATAAAAAATTTGGATAATTGAATATATAGAGAAAAGTTATTATTGTATAGTATTGTATTATATTAAGTGTAAAAGTAAGTTAATAAATCTGTTTATTCAAAAGTATAGAATAGAAAACAAATGAAACTTATTAACATAAGAAATCAAATATACATTTTCATTAATTACAAATATACTTATGTAATAGGAATAGTGGGTATCTAACTATAAAAATGTTAAACAAGTTATTTGATCACTGTTGACAATCTGGATAAACATGAATTGTACACCTTAAAAAGGTCAGTCTGTAATAAATATAACTAAAGTAAGGATAGTAATTGAAAATGTTAATTTTTGCAGATACTCATTTTATGATGGACCACCATTTGCTACTGGACTACCACATTATGGACACATCCTTGCTGGAACTATTAAGGATGTTGTAACACGTTATGCCCACCAACAGGTATTAAATATTACATGTATTAGGTTTGTTATGCTCTAATGAAATAAATTCTTAACAATAAATAAAAAAAAATGAAGAATTTATTTAAAAATAAATTTTTATTTAAGTTATAATTAAATATGTAATAAAGTACATAATTTTTAGGGTTTCCATGTAGAAAGACGTTTTGGCTGGGACTGTCATGGACTTCCTGTAGAATTTGAAATTGATAAGACTTTAGGTATCAAGGGCCCTGAGGATGTAGAAAAAATGGGTATTGATAAATATAATGCCAAATGTCGTGAAATAGTAATGAAGTATTCTAATGACTGGGAAATGATCATCACTAGAATGGGACGTTGGATTGGTAAGCTAATAATAATTATGTATGTATGACTATTTTTTTCGATTTAAATCACTGATCAAGTGTATTGATGTGTTAATATTGTACTTTCAATGCAGAATTTTCTCTAAAAAAATGCAGATTGTATGAAACATACTATAATAATAAAATTATATTATAACCAATTTTATTGATGTACTTAGTTTATAATTATTATAAATTAATATGTTTCAGACTTCAAAAATGATTACAAAACACTTTACCCCTGGTTCATGGAGTCCATTTGGTGGGTATTTAAAGAACTTTACAATAAGGGTTTGGTATACCAAGGTGTGAAAGTTATGCCCTACTCTACTGCTTGTTCAACACCACTTTCTAATTTTGAATCTGGACAAAACTATAAAGATGTAGTTGATCCAGCTGTTGTAGTTTCATTTCCTACAAATGAAGGCTTTACATTATTAGCCTGGACAACTACTCCATGGACATTGCCTAGTAATTTAGCTCTCTGTGTCAATCCTAAACTGACATATTTGAAAATACAAGAAAAATCAACTGGCACAATATATGTACTTCAAGAAGCAAGGTTCCCAGTTATTTTTAAGAATGTGGAAGATTTTCTTATACTTGAAAAATTTCTTGGTGAAAAATTAAAGGGTGTTAAGTACACTCCTATATTTGACTATTTTGTTGACTGCTGTCCTAAAGCTTATCAGGTATTGACAGATACTTATGTCACAGATGATTCTGGTACTGGTATTGTACACCAAGCCCCTTACTTTGGAGAAGACGATTTCAGAGTTTGTCTTGCTGCAGGAATTATTACAAAAGATCAGGATATAATTTGCCCAGTAGATTCAAGTGGAAAATTTACTGAACCAGTTAAAGATTTCTTGGGACAACACGTTAAAGATGCCGACAAAAATATTATAGCAAATTTAAAAGCACGCAATAGGCTAATACAAGCTGGTCAGGTTAAACATAGTTACCCTTTTTGTTGGCGGTCAGAGACACCACTAATATACAAAGCTGTACCATCTTGGTTTATTCGAGTTGAACAAATGAACCAAGATCTTCTGAAATCTAGTGAGGCTACATATTGGGTTCCAGAATATGTCAAAGAAAAGAGATTTGGTAACTGGCTTAAAGATGCTAGAGACTGGGCTATTAGTAGAAACCGTTATTGGGGCACTCCTATACCTCTGTGGATTTCTAGTGACAAACAAGAAGTTGTCTGCATTGGAAGCATTGCTGAATTACAAGCTCTCACTGGAAAAGAAGTCAGTGATCTTCATAGGGAAAATATTGATCATTTAGAGATACCCTCATCACGCCCTGGACACCCGCCACTGAAACGAGTTCCTGAAGTATTTGATTGTTGGTTTGAGTCTGGTTCAATGCCATATGCACAATTTCATTATCCCTTTGAGAATAAAAAAGAATTTGAAGACATATTCCCAGCAAATTTTATTGGTGAAGGTATCGATCAAACAAGGGGCTGGTTTTATACTCTTATTGTCTTATCAACAGCTTTGTTCAACAAGCCGCCTTTTAAAAATCTGATTGCTAATGGACTTATTTTAGCTGCTGACGGACAAAAAATGTCAAAGCGAAAGAAAAATTATCCTGATCCATTAGAAATCGTCAATAAATATGGCGCTGATGCCTTACGACTTTACCTTGTTAATTCTCCTGTTGTAAAAGCAGAAAATCTTCGTTTTAAAGAAGAAGGTGTTAGAGATGTTATCAAAGATGTTTTTCTACCGTGGTATAATGCTTTCCGTTTTCTAATGCAAAATGTTGAAAGAATTGTTCAAGAAGATAAAATAAATTACAAGTTCAATGCAAAAGCAAATAGAGAAAATGTTATGGACAAGTGGATAACCTCATTTACACAATCTTTGATTAATTTTGTGAAAAAGGAAATGGCTACTTACAGATTGTACACTGTGGTACCCAGACTAACAAAGTTTATAGATCATCTTACCAATTGGTACGTTAGAATGAATAGAAAGAGGCTAAAGGGCGAAAATGGCGTAGAAGACTGCCAGGTGGCTTTAGACACTTTATTTGGCGTTTTATTTGATATGATAAGGGTGATGGCTCCATTTACTCCTTTTTTGACAGAATTAATGTATAAGGTTTTACGTCAATTACTTCCTGGAGAATCACTCGAAAGTTTGCATTTCAACATGATCCCTGAACCGAGGCTGGATTTAGTAGACACAAACATAGAAAGAGCCGTGCAAAGAATGCAAATTGTAATTGAACTAGGCAGAGTTCTAAGAGATCGCAAAACTATCCCTATCAAGTATCCATTACCTGAAATGATTGTAATTCATCGTGATCAGACTTATCTAAATGATGTAAAATCCTTGGAGACATATGTTTTGGAAGAAATGAATGTAAAGAAGGTGCAATTAACTAGTGACAAAGAAAAATATGGCATCACATTAAGAGCTGAACCAGATCATAAAGTTCTTGGTGTGCGTTTAAAGGGTAATTTTAAAGCCATAACTCAAGCTTTAAAAGATCTCAACAATGAACAATGTGAAAAGCTTGTTGCTAATGGATCCATCGAATTGCTGGGACAGCATATTGATGTTTCTGAAGTTAGACTCATATTTCAGGCAAAAGGTAATGATCAATTTGAAGCTCATAGTGATAACGATGTATTAGTTCTATTAAATGTAACTCCTGATCAAGACATGTTGGACGAAGGGTTTGCAAGGGAAATCATAAACAGGGTTCAAAAATTGAGGAAAAAGGCACATTTAGTACCTACTGATGAAGTAGATGTTTATTATTCTGTTGGAAAAACCAGTGATATTGTACGTATATTGAATGTGCATAGAGATTTTATCGAGACAACGGTAAAAGCTCCACTTATTCCTATAGAAAAATTGTCGTCTTCTAAAACAGTGATTATTGAAGAAACTCAGGAACTTAAAGGTTCTCAACTAAAATTGGTAATAACATGGCGAAAGGAGGTAGAACTACCTACAAAACCTTGGGCTAATATTCTTTTACAGGGTTATAATCCTCGATTAGGTGTGTCAGCCAATAAGGCTAGCATCATTCTAAAAAATGTAGATGACAGCTACATTACTCTGGACAATCTTTACAAGGAGGTTCAAATCTTGTTTGGTCTTTATGGAATAAAGTTTACATTATGGTGCGATGGTGTTGAAGTACATGATACAAGAAACTTGAATTCTAAAACTATAGTTGTATCATCATCGAAGCCAAAAGATTTAGAAAAACAGAGCACACCATTCTGCAAGTTTGTTAACATTGCAAATGGAACCAAAAAGGCAACATTGTTCTTGGAGAATCCATTGGGCAAAGCGACACTCGCCAAGAAACAAGCTATACAATTCGTGTCAGACTGTTTAGGCATTAAGATTACAGACCTTGATAATAAACTATTTCAGTAAGATTATGAATCGTCGAAGATAATGATAAAAGTATTGGTTTTCTGTAGTAATGCTTATTATTTTATTAAATTATTTGCTTATATTAAATACCTTACTGGTCATTTTATTTAAATTATTCTACATTATCTAAAAATGTACAAAATAAGAAATAAAAACCATAATATTGAGTTAACCTTTATTTCATATGTTTCTTCATAAATAAAACGAATTTAAGTTCCAAATATGAACTATATCGACAAATTAATTACCATATATTAACATAATGCAATGTAGTTTTTATGTTAAATTATTACAAATTTTCATTACAATATTTTTTTTATTTGTTGAATACAATAAAGAGTATGTTGCACATGTAAATTATAATTATCTATATCCCTTTTTTATTAATTGCTAGCATATTTATACCTTCAATACTTTTTAGTAAGATTTTAAATTAAAACCTTATTTATTATCAAGAAAAGTTAACAAAATATAGAGTAATAAATTACATCATACATCCATGAAAAATTTGAATACAATTAGCGTAAGGTGACAATTTTTTTATAGTTCTATTGACTTTTTTATATGAAAATTGTAAAATATTGTTTGATTTTTTGAAAAAGTTTTATCTTTGATTTCCTGGAAAAAGATTTTAAGATTTTTAAAAATCATGACATTCATGTCACTTCACACATATTAAAAACTAACAAATACTAAAAAAGAGATATGTTTGCCCAACCGGATGGTTGTACCACTGTTTGCAGGTTTTAGTAACATTAAAAACAATTATCAGAATTAAACTTACAAGTACATCACAGCTACATACCTCAAAAAGATGTGTAATGTGTTAAGCAGAAAAAATACAGCTATTCAAAACTATAAAACTAAGAACATCAAGACAAATTAAAAAGATCTATACTAGTCGCTATAGAAATATTGTAAAGGAAATGTAGTTCTGATTAAGGAAAGCAAATACGTCTGACATCTAATTGATTTTTACCTTCGAGGCGATTTTAAAGAAATTAGCAATAACTTTTATCATTATTTGTAATTGATTAGGCTGATTAAATTTTTTTATTTGCTTTCCGTGCTGCTATTATGCAATTTAAATTATAAGCCTAAATTTTGGTAACTTGATAAATTTACATTTGAGGTTTACTAAACTATTTGTTGAAACGTCATATCGTTATGATTTTAACTTTGGTGAACAATAATAACCTAAAAAAACATTAAAAATAGTCAACCAAACAAAAAACAATGAAAACCAATGTCTTTTAATGAACAAGGAAGATAGTATAAAATATATAATATAAAGAAAAGGAACTAGTTAAATGTAAATATTTTGCAAATTGTGTCGACTTGCTACTATACATATAATTGAGAAACTAAGTTAGTAATAAAGCAACAGCACAGATAATGTATTACATGTAAGCTCATTTTTAATGATATATTTTGTAGACCAAATATAATCTAATGGATCATGATGGAATTTTCTAATATTTGGTCAGAACACATCAAGTACAGTTACTAATAAATATTTATCAAATAAATATAATTTAGTTATTGGAATAAAATGTCAGACACATCTGAACATTCAGTATATCACAAGCACATTCGTTATTATCTCTGTTACACATGTAATGTAGTAACATAACATTAACATAGCTTTTGATTAATTTTTAAAAATGATCATCGCAGCCTTTATTTGATTTAATACTGGTGCAAAAAAAAAAGAATGGCGATAGTAGTAAATGTATTGTTCAGAGAATGCTCGCATCATTCAATAAAAAAAAACGGTAATCTCAAGTACACCATATAGAGAAATAGCTTAGATCTAATAGAACGAGGTGTGCGATATTTAGTATAATTATGTAACATTCAAATACAATATAGACGAAATGTTATTGTGTGAATCGCATAAAATGACGCGTCGTGGTTGTTACAGTAATAGGTATAGAAGTTATTTAAATATCATTAGCAATACGCGTAAGCCATCAAAGATTTACACACCTTAATTGATATAATAATGCTCAATTAAATTATACATTATGCGTCAACAAGATACATTGTAATATATGCAACCATAAGCTAAATACAGTACACAGTTTAAAAGTCTAAAATCTGTTATCTAGTTAAAGGCTTCGACGACGTCAGCAGTCGGATTCATAAGTTAGCAAACGTGTTAGAATTATTGCACTTTATCAGTACTAAAAATACATTCCACGTCGTATATAATGATACATTAAAATATCATCTACCATATAGTTTGTATATATAATTTAGGCCAGCCACGGCCGTGGGACCGGTTACGTCTACTAACAGCGAGTGCAAATAAATAAATTATATTTTTAATTTTTCTACAAGTTTATGATAAAAATAGCATATATTTCACGCTAGAAAAATAACTAAAGATTCAATAACATTTTAAATACAATATAAGATACAACATCGCCTATCCAGTGACTAGTCTAACAGTATAATTATCATCATACTCATAAATTGAATAGCAACAACAATCAATAAATCACAAGGGGACATAAGTTTGGAGGCGGTTCCCCGCCGCCGAATGTGCGCTCCTGTCCGCTACCGCCTCGTCTACGTAAAACCTTTGTTCTCTTATGAACATAAACACATAAATGTGTTAGATTGATTTTAAATAATTTGAAATATATTAAAAAAATATTCTATCCTTTATAAAGGATTTGGCGACGGCTAGTGATCGAACAGGCTACAATTTTATTAAATAATACGAATTCAATACTGGTGGTGATGTAACGACGGCGTGTCTCTCTCCGGCAGCTTGCGTACTTTCATAGTGCCGTCGGCACCGCACGAAAACAGGCGACCAGCATTATCTGTAAAAATTATATTATTAAAATGCATTGTTAAAATTACTAAGAATCAAAACTGTGAACAGGTTATCATACCAATATGTATTTGCGTGACTCCTTGTCCAATGTGTTTGAAGAACGAACTTCGTGCGTGTTCACCAGCGAAAGTGTGAAGCAATTGATGGGTGGCCAATGAGAAGACCTGGATATCAATACAATAATGTAGTAAAATTAAGAATATAGTGACATGGTGGTAAATTTTCGAAAAAGCTCGATTTCAAGGGCATTTCTTTGCGATATATCCATATATATATATATATATATATATATATATATATATATATATATATATATATATATATATATATATATATATATATATATATATATATATATATTTTTTTTTTAATTTGTCTTTTTTTTTAAAGAAAGTCTTTAATTATTGTCATTTGGGAATTAAAGATAATTTGTGGGTAAAGCCATTAAAGTTTTCATTACATTAAAGTATTCATCTAACAATCGGTTAATAAAGTAGCCGTGAGTGCAATAATATCCTTACACGGTGTAATTATATTGTTTAAGTGTTAGATAAACTTAACAATGACATGCAATAATAAGTTTGAGTTACAGGTATTGGTATAGTTAGGAGCGTTTCCTAAAGAGATAGTCAATATTAATCCAATACTTGCGAATTTTTATATTATAAATCTGATATGAGTATAAAATGAATACATTTCCCGATAGACAGCAGTGTGTATGTTTATAAATAATAATACAGTTCTACTAATTACTCGGTTCTTACATTAGGATACCCTGAGGGAGATCACATGATGAACATTTAAATAATCTAAAACACATCTTAAACATAAACGTGTGCACTATGCACAACGCAAATGGTTTTTTTAATGAATGCTAATGGAATGATAATTCGCCTGCGCTATTTGTATATACTGGCAGGGCAATAGTGAATAGTAAATGAGGATGAAGTCAAGTCGGCTGGCTCGTAGTGAATTCATCAGAAATTAACCACGATAGTTTCCATAGAAGTAACTTAATAGGGTATAATATTGTCAGCAATCAGGCCACTGGTTCTGGTTACCAAAGGTTTTTTTTTATGGACGATAATGAAATTGTAACATAGCCTGCACTATCGCTATACACTAGCGGGGCACCTGTTAAAGAAGACTGATGAGGATGAAAACAGATCAGTTCGCCCATCGTGAAGAATTTCATGAGAAATAACTACGATGGTTTGAAGGGGTAACCGCATGGAGGTCGACCTAATAGGGTACATTGCTAGCAATGGGACTGTCAAACTCGCGTGGGTCACCTTGATGTCCCCGTCGGCGGCGCCGACGGCGTAGAGGTCCTCGCGGGGCGAGAGCGCGAGGCACTTGAGCGGCGCGTGGTGCGCGTGCAGCTTGTGGCGCGGCGCGCGCGCGCGCAGGTCCCACACCAGCACGTCGCCGCGCCGCCCGCACGACACCAGCGCGCCGCCCGCCCACGCCACGCACGCCGCGCCGCCCTCGTGGCACGTCCACGCTGCGCCACGAGCGACACTCGTCTTAGGCTACTACTACCTACTACTACTACTACTACTACTACTACTACTACTACTACTACTACTACTACTACTACTAGTACACCCTATTAGAAACCGCCACACAAAGTACTGTACCAAATTGCAACCCGTATTCTCTTCATTATCATTTCAGCCATTATCCGTCCACTGCTGGACATAAGCCTCCCCCATAGACTACCATAAAGAATGGTCCTGAGCCACCTGCATCCACTGACTCCCTGCAACGCATTTCAAGTCGTAACTCTATCATGTAGGGGTCGTCCTACCCTGCGTTTACCCGTATGTGGTCGCCACTCAAGAACCTTACCTCTCCATCGGTTGTCGGTTCCTCGTACTCTATTATCACTTAATTGCAAATTTATCGATTCATTATTGTACCGAAACCGTTCCAAAAATTTATGAAACCTGCACGGGTCCAGTCAATGCACTATTTTAAATATCATATTATAAAAATCGCTGTTGGCGTCTATCTGCTTCTTCTCTTATTTCGTTAAATTAAACCAGTTATCAGGTAATAAAGATCTCGCTGTCATTTTAATATTTAAAGAAAAATTTTTACAAATACAGTCTAATTAAATATTTGTATAATATAAATATATAAATGCACTAATGCTTTTCAACCATCTAATCATATTTTCCCCAAGTTCTGCATTAAGTATATTCAGTTTCTTATAAAATATTTTCATTTGAAGTAAAATATACTCACAAACTACTAATGCTTTCTTAGTTGGCATCAAAGTGTCCCATATAGCTACATTCTTGCTCTCCGAACTGTGACCAGCTGTAAATAAACAGTTTAATTGTTATATTTAACAGATTTATATATAAAAAATGATTATAATTAATTAAACTACAATTCAATATTTACCTGTAGCTACTAAACTGCACGAGCCTAGGAATACAAAATCGCTTATTCCTTTACTATGACATTGGTGGGTCTGAAATTATACGAAAATTTATAAGTAAATTAACTACATAATTATGATATGTAGAGAAGAACAAGAGTGATCTACAACATAAGTGATAAAGGACCATTCACATAACTTACTTACACAGCGCACAAGAAAAAAACTTCAATTATAGCAAAACTAGTTATTTTAATTCAAAAATTAATTGTAGTTTAATTTAAAAATTAAACTACAAAAATTGATTTTGATAAAATTTATTTTTATTTATTTATTTATTAAATACAAAAAATTTACAACAGCGAGTACATTGGACCCCGCACTAGGAGAACTTGTATCGCGGGAGTCCATATGAAATTACCAAGACACGGTGGTTTACAAATATAAATTAAAATACTAAGCCAGTTTTATGGGTCCAATTTGTATATAAATCCTTTCATATAAAAAAGAACTTTTCATTCAATTTGTATATATATCCTTATAGATAAAAAAATAAGGTAACAAACAAACACAACGGAATTGAGAATCTCCTTTTTGAAGTCAGTTAAAAAGAAAGAGAAAGAAACACTAGCGTATAGGAAAAGATATCTTCCATTTACAGGAAGAGACCTTTGCTCAGCAAAGGAACATTCATAGCTTGTCAAGGAGTACTAACAAAGAAAGGCCTCGCGGAGGCCTGCGATTGGTGCGGCTGGTGCTGCTGATGGGAGGTGGCGGCGGCGGGCGGCGCGGGCTGCGCCGAGGGCTGCAGCTGCCACATGGCGAGGTTGCCGTCGGCGTCGGAGGCGGCGAACTTGTTGCCGTAGTCGGAGAACCGGACGCGGGTCACCTTGGCGAAGGCGCCGGGCGCGCGCGGTGACCACACGCACGACGTGTGCCCCCACTCCCACAGCTGCACCGACCCGTCCGCGCCGCCCGTCAGGTCTGCCCGACATAATAATAACAATCTACTTAATACAGTGAACACTCTATATCTCTCTAAAAATAGTTTCTTATTGGGAAAAGTCGCTTATAGGAAAAAAAAGGAGTATATAAATACTTACCGTCTGAAAAATATTTTTACTTATTTCTTTTACTAACTAAGCCGAGTAGAATAAATAAAATATAAATAATGTTGCATATAAAGAGGTTGCTTAAATAGAGCATTCACTGTAATATGCTTCTTAGACACCATATAAGTTTTTACTTTATAATTTCGTATAGTATCTGGGGGGGGGGGGGGATTAGGATAGCGCCATGTTACTAATTAGGTCGACGTCCACGTAGATCCTCTTTATCACTTAACACAATTTTTTATTTGGATAATTTCGTGAAATTACTAATTTATAGATCATCATACACTAAAAATTATAATAATTTTGACTTTATTATAAAATTAGTTCATATTAGTTCCTACAATATAGTAAAGCTAAATTGTTTCCTTTCCCTTTTATGTCATTACTAGACTTAATTATGGACATTATTTGAAATTCAGTAATAAACATAACTTACACAACGGCTGTGAGGGATGTGCTGCCATCCGTTTGATATTGTCTATTTTATGTTTCAGCACCTATTAAAAATTATAACATTATATAGATTGCACTGAAGGACTTAATATAACAGAACACATACATATTAAAACTCACAATAAAATTAAAAATATATAACCTTAAACTAGACAATAAACATAACATGCTCCACATAATAAACTCAACAAGCAAGACACTACATTATAGCAACTTGACCACAACAGCGTAGTAATAATAAAGTTCGGATAATTGGACTTATATACAATTTAAATAAAAAAAGACTGTCAACAAAAGTTTCGGTAACTACGAGTGAGTGAGTGAAGTCGTAACAAGAAAAAAAAGTCAAAGAAACAGATGAAAAGAATTGATGAAGAGATCAACCAAAATTGGTATATAATTTAGACGCCTGGTGAAATTATAATGGTTCGTGTCTATATCAGAAAAAAAAAACAAAGAAAATAAATAGAAGACTGCAAAAATCCAAATAAAAAATTGACATCGAGCAGAAATAATAGTGTGCAAATCACTGGCTCGGAGGTGTTGTGTATTGGACTAGGGTTGTCACTGACCGGTTTCATGAGAAGCTTCGAGCGGTGCAGCACCAGGCGACAGTATTTCGGGTCGTGGCAACCCGGGAACTGCAGGCCCTTCACCTGTGGCCAACACTCGGTTATGTCGCGCACGCATTCATACACACATTCACTATCATACATAATTTGTTGAAGAGACCAATATGGACCTACATTGACATTGTAATGATTTAGTTAGCTTAATGTGTTTTGACCGATCTACCGACCCAATATATATTTGCATTTGTCTACAATTTTTAATAGTTAAGAGTGAAGTATAGAAAAGCTCGAGCGAAGCGCTGCGAGAGGCGACTAACGCAAACACGAGACAAGTACACAATACCCACACCATTAGTTGCCCGGTTGTTATTAAAGGAATAAATGTTTTGAAAATAATCGAAACTATTAAGTAATGTTATATCACTCTAACAGTGTACACGATTTTGTTTCATCAATTCAATTATAAGAACTATTTTCAAACCGTATACACGTATTAGAAGAAAACTGAAGAAGGGTCATTTAACAATATATAAAATCTGTTTTATAATTCAGTGTAGTTAATTATTACTTACAATTTGCTGTTAATTGACAATACATTCGAAATAAAAATATTCCTTGTCATATAAAATATAGTGACCATTGTATCTGTGATACATAGTGACACTAAATATTTACTGACGTTGAGTGAAAATAGTACGGAACATGACATTTATTCGTTCAATAACAAGTAGTGAGTGCATTAGTTAACATCGTCCACGTACTGTAACAATTAACGCTTCGTGACCGGTCGGTACTGAGCTTGTCCGCCGCTCCTGCTGTGGATGTTAGGGTCCAAGGTAATCAGTTAGTTCCCTTTGTTAATATAATTTAAAATCACGTTGTCTTTAGTGGTGTTAGTAACTCCACCTTTCGATTGTATTATTTACTAAAATCCCTACTATATAAAGTAATAATTAAAAATATCTGATATTAATAACATAATAAATTATACATAAAATTACATATTATTACAAAAAATATCAGTAGATAATACAATATATTCAGATAAATATATGTTAGTTGTATATTAGAAAACAATGTAGGATATATTAGTTACATTTCAGCAACATCCAAAAATAAAAATCTATATTGTACAATAATTTATATTTCAATAATATCTTATTAATTCATAGATAAATAAATATAAAAAAATAAAATAAAAAATAAATCCCATATAATAAAATCGAATTTAAAAACAAATGTCCTGACTGATCTATGTACTATCTGTCATCACGTCAAGTCCTTAAGCTTAAGTTCTTTAAGGGGTAAACATAACTTTTAGGTCATTTACTTTCTGAACATATCTCATGCAAACACGCCAACTCTAGAGACTATAGGCGGCTCACTTAGTCAGCACACTGTCTAGTTGATATTAAGGAGCAGTCTGGGTTTTTCACGTCACTTGCATCCTTCCACCTTCGCATATACATATATTAGTTTCGTTTTTACATATATGTAATGATAAATACTGTTAAACGTTTGTAATTATTTTTTTAAATCTGCTGCTGCTACTTACCAGTAGGTAATTACTAATAATAATTTATTCGTTCATTCATTCATCAATCTTTATCTATCGCTTGAAATTATTCCAGAAGAAAGGAACGATTTTTTTTAACTAATATATAGCTTAAATAGATCAATCAGGCTCAAAACATTTGTAATTATACAATATATGAACAAAATATTTGAAATCATAATAAAAATGTTTAATTACCTGAGCACATACTAATTTGACGCTTTAGACAATATTTTGTATGTTAGAATTACGTATATATATTGAATACTTGATGAGTAATATATGTACTTACAACGCTAGCGCCACGTCCGGTCTGGCTGGCCATACCAATTGGAACTTGCGGCGCATTGGTGTTCAATGGGGAGGTGTTTCCTGTTCCCGGCACGGAACCATTGTTTGGCCTGTTGTATCACATTCATATAATAAAAATTAATTATATCCTATAGTTTGATCGTGTGAAAATATTTTATGACTTAGCCTAGAAAATATTGAGATTATGTAGAAAGCCAGGGGAAAATAATTTTATCAGTAATTGGGTCCAACGTCTTCATTGCTAGCAATATCATATAGGGTATATCAGGTCGACTTCCACAAAATTTCCTCTAAAAACGCCATAGTTAGTTCCTGGTTGAATTTATCACGATGGATCAAGTAATCTGACTTCATCCTCACCTATCGTCCCTCACATATCGCAGCATATACTAAATTCCCCAATGAGGTTACAATTTCATTTTCATCTGATGACCAAAGGCGTCGGTGTATTTTGTTATATTCATAATGGTACAGTATTCATAGCTAGAGCCAACGTTTGTGATCGTCGTTGGCTTGTTTGCTGTATATAAAACAAGTCAGTGGCGAGTACCGGTCCTGGTGCTGTATGAGCAGGAAGCCGGTGTCGGGCAGGGCGGCGGGGTCGGCGGAGAGCCCCATGAGATCAACGTCGCATTCGTCCTCGGCCCAGCTGACGTCGCCGCGCAACAGCAGCGATACGTCCATCTCCTGTACCTCGCGCGCCGTCGCCACCGCCAACAAGCCGCCACCCACCTGCACACAATAAAATATGACACAATGACAAATTTTATGTTAAATAGTATTTTATTTTTATAATTTTATAAAGCTTATATAATATATACCGAGAAGTATGGGCGAGAAACTTGGGCACTTTTCAAACAAAACATTAACATAAATATTAGATTATATCGGCGACTTCGTCTACGTGACTGGTATAAATCGTTTAACCGCTATAAATTCTTTTTTGTACTCTATCTTCTCCATCCCATATAGTATGTGTTTATCAAAGTTGATAACAATTGATCGAGTAGTGAAGAAGTCAAGAGGTAACAAACGAACTTATATACACATTTTAATATGAAAAACTTTACCATAAATAAATAATAACTTTTTTTCTTTTCCTAAATTTTAGGACCTAAAATATCTTTTGACAGGGGTCCATGAAATAATACTATCTAATGGATGCTATATTAGGCAAATAAATTTGTACGTTTACCCTATTGAGACAGAATGCGGCGATGGAGTCTTGTTCCTTATGTATGATGCGGACGGGGCTTTGCAGACTATCGTCGCGGCGCGGGTGCGGCACGCAACCGCTGCCGCCGCTACCGCCGCCGCCGCCGGCGGCACCGTCGCTTTGCGACGTCGACACCGCTCGCCGTCGCGAGAACACCGCGCGGATGAACAACTCCTGTAAAAAGTAGCCACAATCAATACCATGTACCATAACATTTGGTTATTACTAAATTTACAGTCCATTTATAAATCTAGGAAAATAATACCTCAAAGTTGACCAAGAAGTGGTAAGGATGTTGCGGGATGAATTGATACAACGATATACATATTAAACCTCCTTATTAATAAATTGTTTTCTTTCTGCACTGCATAGGTATAACCCCCATATGGATAAACATATATCTATCGTAACTTTGAACAAGGCGTACGACAAGAAAAAATCACCTATTACAACATTATTTATTTAATAAACTTTAATACACCTAGAAAGTGTAAATGGCAGACATAACACCATATGGCGTTACCAGTCAACTGTATACAGGAATAACAGAAAATGTAATGGACGGTTACATTACTACAGTAACAGGACAAGTTGTCGTCGTCGTCGTCCTATCAGCCGTTAACTATCCATTGCTGTACATAGGCCTCTCCCATAAAGGGAATTTTTGCCAGTAGTTGCCACTCTTGGCAGGCGGGTTGGCAGTTTGGATTAAGGACGCTGCAGCCCATCTCTTGACCATTAAGTTCCCTTAATTGCCTCTTACCACACCCATGGGAAAGGAAAGAGTGGTCCACTTTATGTCGGGACCACAAGGCGACGATATAACTATAGCAGTAATATAGTAGTTAAGTGAGGCAGTTTTTTTTTTTATTATAGATATTAATTGGGTGTTAAATGTTACAAGATACTATTAAAATACTTTTTACTGAAATGGTAAGGTGCTGTCAGCACCTTACCATTATTTTCATAAATTGATTTGACATAATGGCTGCTTAACAGTTTTTTTTTAGTTCAATGAATCACACCATTTTACAGAAATTATTCAGAAAATTCACACATACCTGGACGGGTTCTTGTCGCACAAGATAACTCCACAATCGTCTCGCCGGTGCTGTACTAAACAAAGCCGAATTGAATGGTGTATTATGTTTTTCTAGTAGACATCTGAAACAAATAAATAACAATTAAAGAAAAATATTTCTAAAAACAGATCTCGTCATTTTTCAGCGGGTTTAGTTCTGATCAAAGTAGCTTTTTTTTTTTTTAAATACACTTTATCATTATTACATACTGTCGAGTGGTACGTACCTGTATTTATTAATAGGCGGTCCAGACGTCTGCTGTTCAGGGAAGCAACCAGGGATAAAATCTGGTGGAGGTGGTCGTGATTCAAGTGTTTCCGTGAGCTGTTGCTGCCACTGGTCCACTCGCCGCAGAGCTGCGTGCACTGTCGGACTTGTTGTTGCGAGTTCTTGAAACAAACAATGTTTAATATATAAATAAACTGTGATATTACACTATTTTCATAGAATCTTAACTATTACACTAATTACTTGGTACCAATTTATCATACAAATTCCTTTACAAATTTATCATAATGTGACTAATTATAAAATTGAACATAATAACGTATAGAATATAATTTTATGATTGATATTACATAGTATTTAATACAAATAAAGAAATCTACACTAACATTATAAAGAAGAAATTTTTGACTGTTTGTTTATAATGGGTGAATTAAAAAAATAATTATTTAAAATTAATTTAGAAATCTTTCACCTATAGAAATATATATATAATTTAAATAAAAATTAGACATTTTCAAGAAAATTACATTAATTGCTTGATATTTTGTCACAAACCAAATCAGAGCACCTCATCTATATTTGGTCACACATATTAAAGGAAGGACATGCCATGTTAATGTAGACAATCTTTACCAATTTAAAATACTATCTTTTTATTAGTCTATCCATGCGAAGTCAGGGCGGATCGCAATTCGTTAGTTATTTATATAAACAGGTAGAGTTATAAAACAGATATCATTAGATAGCAATAATAGAGCATACCTGACATCTCGATGCCGCAAAGTTGCAGAAAGTGTTGCAGCTTCTGTTGCGCGAGCCGCAGCACGGCGACGCGCATTACATACCACGAGTATGAGTCAGGATCAGAGTGTTCGAAGTTAGCGCCCTTACGACGCTTCTCACTCCTAATAAAATAGTTCGGTTTTAAAAAATCTGTATACATATATATCCCTATAAAAAGGTTAAATATGTATATACTTGATTGGATTATACCATTGGAGTGTGTGACTTAAATTAAAAATTTAAAAGCAAGTGATGCAACATTTAAGGTTCTTATAAATAAGGAAGTATATCTCAAAATCAAATGCAAATATTAAAAATCTAACTAATGACTAAATGCGTGCCACTATGGATAGATACAAATTGAAGAGAAGAGAATAATTAAATTTTACAGAAAATATTGAAATTATATTCAAAAACTATAAATCCAATTTTAAGGTACAAGTAATTTATACTTCTATACTAATATTGTAAAGAGGAAACATTTGATTTTTATATATTTATTTGTAATGAATAAAGTTAGAAACTACTCAAGCGATTTAAAAAACAATCTTTCACCTACGTGAGAAGAGAAAGTAAATAATATAAAAAAACAGTTCCTATGAAAATTACTATAATATAACATAGAGTAAAAATAATATAACATATACTAATTTATCGTTCTCTCTATGTACTCGTGTGAAGCCCGGGCGAATTACTAGTAGATAATAATAAAAGTATACATGACATAGCTGGTGACAGGAGTTGAATATTTATAATATTCTCGTCAGACACAATATAATTTTAGAGCAGTACTGATAGAAGTTATATTAAATCAAGGTCACAATGACCATACTTACTTAGTAGTGGTATTGGTATTAAAGATGTCATCGTCGTCGACGTCACTGTCGCTCTCGTCCGCGTCCTCCGCACCGGATTCCGCCGAGTCGTAGTCGTAATTTTCAGGGTCTTGTTCTGCTGTTGGCTACAGTCGTATCACAAAATTAGAATAATGGATGTGATTGAGAAGCTTTAGTTTTTATCAAAATCAGGTCCAAGACTACCTTTGAATATTTTCCGTTATTTCTTATAGTTTAATATGTGCTGTTAAAAATTTAAACAAATCACCCTAAATATAATGGTCAATGGTAGACAAATGAACAGAAAAATATATTTTATTAGTAATTTCCTTTTTTATTCTTTATTGTACACAAAATATAATGTTAACCACAATTCATTTGAAACATACTGTACAAAGGCGAGCTTATCTCTAATAAGAGATTTCTTCCAGCAAAACTTTTTCATGTAAATTGTATTATATGTTATTTACCTTTGTTAGTAGATACGTAAGTATACTGCACTGCGGTGGGACGAACTGCTCCCGGTACGTGGGTCTGCCTTCTTGAATATTCTTGTGTGGTGCTGTGGGGCCCAGTCCTAATATTCTCATATTTAGGAGGTTTCGTTTATCGCGAAGCGACGACCAAACTGATGTGCCTTCCGTGCGTTCAATAAGTTTAGGCTGTTAAAAGTAATTTAAATATGATTTTTCATTTGATAATCACATAATTCCTTTAAAATACTTGACGTCAGTCATGTTATGTTTATCTATTATATTATCTCGTACAAATTATGCAATACTTTTAGTGAAATTTAATAATAAGAATTGAAATAAATGGATGACAGAATAGATGAATCAACTGCAATATATTTTACTATTTTTTTAATGGGTAATAATAAAATGGTAACTCTGCCTGTGCTATCTGTATATAATAATAATAATATTCTTTATTATCAGGTACTTAACCCATAGAGGTACAATTGTATTACAACTTATATGTAGGCGGAGCCCTAATGATTGTATTGTTAGTAAGTGTAGCATTTAATATAATTAATGAGGCTTAACAGGCCCATTGATAGCGATATACCCCATCAGACCGATCTCCACGCGGTTCTCCCTGGAAACAATCTTACTTAATTTTTATGACTTCATCACAACTTGGGCTAACTGTCCTGCTTTCATCTTCACGTATCATCTGTCAGCGTGTATGGATAGCGCAGACGGGGTTGCCATTCCATTTTCTAGCCATTAGTGTACGGAGAGGAGCGAGCGGAAGGAGTAGCGACCTGCGCGGGCGCGGGCGCGGGCGCGGTGGTGAGCAGGCGCCGCACGCCGCCGCCGAAGAGGCGCGCGTGCGCCCTGGCGTCGGGCTCGTGCGCCGCCAGCCGGTACAGCAGGTGCGCGTCGCGCGCCGCCAGCGCCCAGCCCAGCAGCGCCAGGTACGCGGCGCAGAACGCCTCCGCCAGCAGCACGGCCAGCCGCGGCGAGTCCTCCTCCTCCGCCGCGCGCAGCGCCAGCCCGCGCAGCGCCGACACGCCTGCGCTCATACATACCGCTTACAATGACAGCGGCCACCATCGACTTTTACAAGTAGACATCGTTAGTATCGATAACTCTGTTATCATTGTCGAGTACACCTCCACACGGTCCACCAAAACTAATGTGAATCTATCAAGTTAGATCTATGGAGCTCATTTCTTCTTCATTTATCAATATCGCGTAGTAAGCGCACGCGAAGTTACTATTTGATAATTTTATGTCTTTTATTTAAAAGCATGTTTTATATAGAGTATACAGCACCATAGGTATCATAGAATGTAACTCCTGCTTCATGCGTAACCATTCCCGAGTATAAGAAGCCATAAACTTCACATATTTGTAAGAACACCAGAGCTACCAAAAACCATTAAGTAAACATGTAAGACTTATAAAATTATGATTTTCAAACATAGGTAAAATATATTGTAATGTTTCTCAAATTATTATTCAGCACCCACCTGGCCATTTGCTAGGAATTGTAGTAACTACGAGTTCTTCTGTTGAATGACGTCTCTGTCGTGCGAGTAAGTTGCTAGTACCAGGAGTTTCAGCAATAATACTGCAAGTACAAAAATAAACTGTATAATAAAGAAATGTTAATGAGATCCGTAATAGAATTTAGTAAATATAATGTGAATAAAATCATAAACCAAAATGTAATGTGATGAATGCTGCTTTCAATAAATACATTATTTAGGTACACTATAAAACTAGGCAATAGTAGTTTGTTATATCTGTGTTATGTATAAGTATGTTACAATTATGTAATAAATAAATAAAATAAGTAACTGACTTCAAAACGGGCGAGGTTCTTAAATCGACTGTATTATTTATATGCATACCTTATTTTCGTAATTTGTGAATTGGTTTTACCGACTTTTTAAAATCTAAAGAATTGCCTTTTTTATTAACCCTCTAGGAGAACTGGAATGTCATAATTGGAATTAATTTATTTTTTGGAAAAAAGGTTCAATTATTAAACACACTCAGTCACTCGTCAGCAGAGAATCATCATACCAATCAGAAATTGGACAAATAGTGGGATTAAACATGAGATAAACAGCAGAACATAGTCACCTGTCGTGATGCGGCGAGTGCTTGACACTGAAGGTGTCGGAGTCGCATAGACTCTGATAAATGCAGGCAGAGAGAGCGACCGATAGTTCCCTGAGCGTGTGCAGCAGCCGAGTGGCCGAGCCGCCGGGGATGCCCAGCTCTCCTGTCGTCGCGAGCATGTCGTGTGCCATCGACTGGAAATCAATTGATAATATATAATCGATCACTGTAAAGAACTAATGATAGTCAATGGGAAAGAAAGAAGTGGATAAGCGAATGCAGTGTAAGGCTACCGACATTATGAAATTATTTTAAATCGATACAAAGCTGTAGTTTTTATAGAAACGGACAGACAAGTAAACTTAAAAAAAAATAATGAAGTAGTTCTGAATTCAGTTGTATCTTTCTCGTGTGGGAATTGTAAATTAGTCTCGTCAATTCTAAATAAAGTTTTATATTTTTAATGTAATTGCCACATATCTCATCCGTGTTGGTCCCAGATCAGTTTTGTCACAAATAAAGTCATAGAAAAAAATATAACATTTTTTTCATTTAGTGTCAACAAAATGTATTTTTATCAAAATAACACGGTAAACTGCACTACACCAAGATTGTTAACAAAATATTTCAAGTAAGAAAAACATTAAAATAGCCATAATCTATAACTGACCTGTAAATGTCTGACCGGGTCAGCGACCACTGTGTTGTTGGTCGCCACGGCGGCAGCTAACAGCGGAAGTGTAGTTGGGAATGGTAAAGGCGACAGCAACTGTTGGTGCTGTTTATCCTGCCCTAATTCTTGTAACAGCAGTATTAACTCCATCCGGACTGAGGCTAGCCCGCCGCCGCCCGCGCCGTGTAACGAACAGTATGATAGTAGCGTCCGGAGAAGGGTTTCGTTAGCTACAAAATTAAATAAGTATGTTTAGTATATCTACTTTCAGGCTACGTCTATTACATACGTTATATTACTGTCTTCAACATTGACACGTCAATTTGATCCAAAGTCGTTTACGTCCCCACGCTAATTTAAAAGTCACTAGCAAGTCAGTGATAAATCTGTCACAACTACCTGGACCGTATCTGAGAACAGATAAATAAGAATAAGCTACTAACCTTTGAGCCACTTCTTGCGCCTGACGGCGCGCTGCACTTTAGCCTCGAAGTCGGCTTTCTCGCGCATCAGCAGTTGGTGTAGTGTGGGCCGCTCGGGCAGCGGCGGCGGCTCAGCGTCAGCACATACTAGCTCGGCGCCCGAAGCGATGGCGCCGCCGGCCGCGCCGCCCGCCACGCCGCCCGCGCCGCCGGCGCTGTACCCGCACAGCCGCCGCAGCGCCTCCACCTCGCGCTCCAGCCAGATGTACAGCTGGTACCGGAGGTGCCCACCTGCGTATCGCACATCACACATATTTTGACAACTTGCAATGATAGACAAGCAAAAGGTTGAAGAAATCGAAAGTGGTCTCCATCGCCTATAGACATTTTCCTCGTCATGAACAATATACTCCATAGAGTTAGTATAATCTAAATACTTACGTACTGACAGACAGACAAAATGCAATCAATAAAATGAAATCTGAAAATAGTTACATCAGTAAGTGTATAATGTAAAAGCATGCAGGTAACAGTTCTGAATTAATTACTTGTTTACCATTCTCTGTTACAAAAAAATTCAGTAAGTTTAAAAATATATTGATATAATTGTGACTTTATTATGTTTCCATTAATTTCCAAACGACGTAAGAGATTCGATCTTCATTTTTATAACTCGTCTCATCATGTATGATGTAAACAAACATGTGTGATGGATTACATTCCAGAATAATATATATAATATCAGTAATGATTTACATACCATCAACTTCAAATCCCGTAGCCAAAGTGCTCAATTCCTCCATGAGAATCTTCAGACAGGCCACAAATTTGAGTTGCTGCGCCATTATATCAACAGAAACGGTTTCTTCAGATTCCTTCTCTTTCTCGACTTCTCCATTTATTAATGGTTCTTCCTTCTTGTCCATCTTCATTTCTAACGGTGGAGTAGAAGCGCCAGAACCACCGGAACTGTCCAAAACATTAATAAATGTGTTCACTTATAATTACACTACCAAGGAATAAAACTATCAAGTAATATAAGTTTACAAGGTACAGAGGTATAATACTTTAGTCCTCAGGAATGGCAACGCATGGGGGGTATCATGGGCGAAACAGTATACTCTGTTATGTCCATGGTACTATTCATGTCTATATGCGATGGTTACTACTTTCCATCAGGTGGGCCGTCAGTTTGTTTGCCATTCTAAGTTGTATAAAAAAAATTATAACAACTGATAACAGTAAAAAGAGAGACAAGCATATTGTAAAATCTGAGCATTGTACTAAGAAAATGAAATAGTCATATTTGAAATAGTGTCAAATGAATAACAATAAACAAGCAAGTTAGATAATCAAACCAGTTGACACATGTTAATTAGACCTCATTACCAACTAAATAAATAAGATCTTGATTTGATATTGATCTTTGATCGACATTTGGTAGTATAATCGCAGAATTACGAAAAAATAAATTATGACATCAAAAGCCTAATATTATCCTCACCCCTTATCATCTTCATCGTCCCAGCTAAGAACCAACTCGTCATTTTTCGTAGAACTAACGGGGGCTCCCCAGTCTACATCAGCGGCAGATGAGCCCCAATCCAGAGATTCTTCCTCCTCTGTAGGTAAAAAAAATAATTTCTATCAGTTACTACCAAAGTTTTATCTGAAAACATTTAATAAGGATGATGTCGGTTGAAAAGAGATATAAAGATTGCAATCCTTAAAAAACCGATATGCTAAAATGTTGATGGAAATAACATAAAAATATAAAAAAATATTGTGTAAGAATTGTTAATTACATTGGTTATAACAACATAAGATAAAAATTATTATATCTATATTAAAGCAAACAAAACAACACAACAAAATAAAGCACATAGACGTACAAACGGACGTGAATGAGTCGTACTTTTGACTGATTGTTCGACCAGTTGTCCTGTATGTATGATGGTTTCATCCACCGACGGTACGGAGACCGGATGTCGAGGTTTCTCGTCGCGAATACGAGCCGGCAACTTCGATAGCACTTCCAGAGCGAGCGCCGGACACCCCGCCTTGAAATGTCCGTGTGCCGTTTGGAAGTATAGACGACGTTCCAAACGAGTTATGCCTTCTTCTGTCTCTTGTTGCAGCAGCGCTAACGTTCCACCCTACATAAATAAAATACGTGTCAAAAAGTACATTAAAAATAAGTTGAAAATAGGTTATGATAAAGACATATGATCACTCTATTCCTCTCCCAATTAATCTGTTTGGTGATGCAGTAAAGTGAGTAACTGATGACGCTTGTGATACTCCTTTTATACTTAGAGTAATGTCATCTTACTTTAACCACTTTTCACTTCACTCAGAGTAAAAACAATTTAGTCTTAATTATAATTAATTTTACTAGCCTTCAGTGCCTCAGTTACACGACTCACTTACCTGACTAGGCAAATTATGTCGCTTAAGCCGTGGATGCGTGCGCAGGTACACGTAGAAGTTGAACACGCTGGGCGTTGGTTCATTGTCTCTAGCGGCGTGTAGACGGCCGGCCGGGTTTAGAAGCGTGTCCAATGCTTCACCGTACCGTTTCAGCTCCCAGAGAGCCATAGATCGCACAAACGGGTCTGGGTGAGCGCGCTCAAGTATTATTTCGCCATCTTCTGTCTCCCCGCTACAAGTGTCATTATTATTAAAAAATATATGAGGTAATTATTGGTCATAATTCTAACAAGAAGCGTCGTACAATTTTATTTTATTAATCTCTTAATCGTAGGAAAATACCAAATGCCTAATGTTTATTATTTTAAGGTTTAATTTATTATTGGTTAACCCGATTTTGTTCTATTTGTATCCACCATCACGTATTCACTTAACACTGAATAAGACTATGGTTAAATTAACTCGAATTTTATATTAAAAAAATCTATACTAAAACCAGCCAAAAAATAGTAGAATTGCAACTTTATAAAATATAATAATAAAATATTTCAATTTTAATTTCATAACATTCATAACCATAATTAAAATTCATTGTCATACCCCAAAATCTCATCCATGAGTAATTTCTTCAAACTTGGTGGTAAAATGCTGTCTGATTCATAGAGTCGTGCAACAACCATTGCTAATTGTAAGTCGCCTAATCGCGTAATCAACACCTACAACCGATTAAAATATATTAGAAATTATCTAATGTAAATAATTAAAACTTGAACAAAACGAAACGAACCTCTAAAGCATCTTTCAGAGCACCACCTAGGAGGAAAAATGCAGCGGCATGCTCAAATCGTTGTTTTCCAAGAAGAACATAAGCATTCGTCAGCGCAGCTTTACGCCAACGATCTTCAGTGAAGTCATTTGCAAAGAACTGTGACATTTTAGTTTTAATTATAATTATTGTCAAATCATATTTTACAATCTCTATTACAGGCGGATGAAGGAATTGTTAGTAATACAGACTACTAGTCCCATTACTAGCAATATACCATGTCAGGTCGACCTCCACGTGGCCCACCCTAGAAACTATTGTGCTAAATTCCATATACATAACACATAAAAATCATTGGATGCATTTTGATGTGATGATAGTACATAATACAAACATCCTTTTTAAAATAAGAAAAGGTATAAAAAATAATAAAAAAAAATATATAAAAAACAGTATGAAACATGTATACCTATATTTAAATGAAACTTGGATGTCAATAGTTAGATAATCTGGCTCGGTAATATGTTGAAATAATTCATGAGAATAAGAAGTTCAATAAGAGTATTTTACTTTTTAATGGATTATAATTACACCATCTTTATAATTAAAAAAATAAATCGGTTTTAATATATAGTCATACCGCGGTCATCCTTTCATCTCGGTGTGACCTAAACAGGCCCCACAAGAGCATCCTCTTCTTCATAGCCAGGTAGTACAGAGCCGCGTCGAGAGGATCTTGTTTCTGTTTGTACGCTGCACAAGCCAGGCGCTCCATACAGGTTCGAAGTAGATCGCCTCTAACCCACCAACCGACGCCTTTGGAATTAATATTAAAAGTATTTGTTTTAGAACAATATTATGGTATTGGCATTGGCATTGGCAGAATTATTATTTCATCGTCTTTAATTTATTTTTAATCAACGGACTTTCTTTGTGAATGGAAATAATTTTCATTAAAATAGACTTATTTTCAAGTTCTTTTAAATTATCAATTATTAATAATTTTATAGTTAGGTTTAGAATGTAGTAATAATAACTCTCCTTTAACTCTCATATAAAAAATGGTCTCAATGCTAATCTATTCAGTATTACAAGTGATTCACAATAATATTCAGTTCATCAATATTGTTTCTTACCAAGTTCTCTCATAGTGCTCCACTTAGGTTGTCCCTTAGCATAGCCTGGTACCAAAGCGAGCAATTGTTCGTGTGTCTCAGAATGGAATGCCCACACAAGGTTGCAAGTGCCCACTCCCGTCCGCTGTAAAGCAGCGCGCTGCGCGATAGGCAAGCATCGCAGTAAATAACCGTAATGTTTCATGGCTAGGAGGAATCGGAGGCCGCAGTCGTCCAAAGAATCTAAAATATATAATTACTTCTTACAAAAAGATCCGTAATAAAATATGCATAGAAATCTCAGGATAGTTATATTGCATAGTCAACTACGATACATCAATTGTAAAGTCTTACCAGGCAATATTTCCTGTCCAGAGCTGTGAGCGACATCGACTTTGGCGTTAGTCGCGAAGCGTTCAGCGAAATCGGCATCGCATGTAGACACAGTGTCCGCCAACGCAAGTAAATGCATCTGATCCAGTGAACTTAACCCGGGGAGGTGTGTGTGCGTTAATAACCGTGAGAGAATGCGACCTAAATGACAAGGAAAAATAATTTTAACCCATAAGTATTTATATATACATATAAATTTACCTTTTTAAGTACTACAGAAACATGAAATTTTTAATAACACTAGGTAATTATATTAAAACAAAATTATAAGTTCTGCAGAAATGCAGTTTGTAATAGTTATTACAAATAATAATATATTATTATTAAATTACTATAACTAGCATATAACAAAATTATATAAAAATAAGCACAGTGGAAGCAAAACATTAATTTTTAGAATTTTTATCGGTTTGTCTATTCCATATGTTTGTTCCACCATCATGTAAAAATTACTGCATCAAAGTGGATGTTGTTTTTAAAGTTTTATTCCTAAAAGACAAACTTAAAATATGATGTATATTTTATACTGATACGCCATCTAAGTGAAAAAAATGAATTTCATTGGTTCTTCTACTTCTAAAGTGTAAAGTCCACGTGTAGAAGTATCAGTTTAATCACAATTTTATAACCCTCGTTATATCTTCATCTTCACGTTTATATTTCTTTGTTGTACAAATTTCTTAAGCTCCCTCTACACACTATAATATGTTTCATCATCATATTAGCTTTTAACTGTCCACTGCTGAACATAAGCTTCCCTCTTATAGGATTTGACCAGTAGTTACCACGCTTGGCACGATTGGCAACCATACTAGGCTTTAGAGGTGTTTTAAGAGGGACGTTATTGCCTATCTCTCGCCCTCCCTTGGTTTCCTCTTAAAACACCCACGGAAACGGAAGTGAGTGGCCTATTCTATGCGGGAACCACACGGCCATATTTTCCATATGACTCTATATATCCTAACATCTTTCAGCATAGAAGCAAGTAACGATTTAAAAGTAATATTGCGTAAAATAGCAAGTGATAATATTGTGATTTTATTTACCCTGCCTCGGTCCAAAATGTGAAAGTGGTTGCCTTTCTGGCATCGACGGTCGCCGATCAACTCCCTCCTCTTCGCCAAGGAGTAAAGCGTCCAAATCATCGTCTGTGTCCATGGTCCCATCAAATAAATCATTATAATCCTGCGAATAATCATTAATTAGACAGTCGACTAATGCTAGCACAATATCGTTTAAATAATAACAATGTAATAAAAACTTTCCATAATTACTCAAATTTTTTAAACTATAAGAGAAAAATCTACAGCACAGTATAGTAAATTAAAACATAACGAATCATAACACACGACAGATTTGTATCACTTCGGTCAAAACTACTATAGATTAATCGATATGATATCGATAGTCTATTGTAGACTACTAGACGTACTTTTAGAGTTCAGATTGTAAAAGATAATTAATGAAATAATTTACCTTAGCCTCTTGTACAGTGGACGGATGATGTGGTGACTCTTTATCAGCAACCAACAATGTCCAGAGAGGGAGCGGCGGCACCGAGGTTAACTCCGCATAATCTAACTGGACATCTTCTGTAATCTAGATTGTTAAATATTATTATATTCTTTGTAAGTAATAAAAAGTCATAAAATAAAAAAAAAAATTAAATCTATAAAATCTAGAAAAATGAAATAGCATACTTCAAATAAAATTATATTTTGTAACGGTTTTCAAATCATATATCATCATATAAATAGTCAAGTCGTCTTCATGACTTAGAAACTCGTAAAAACTATTTTTTTTTGCTGTCTGAGCCATCTGCTTTAAGAAACATTTTTTTCTTTTACAATTTCTATTATCAGTCGCAGCATTATCTACTTACTTACGGTTATATTTTGTACAAAAATAACAGTTCAAAGCAAATAATAGACCAAAAGCATTACTTGAATTGTAAAATATTAATGAACGTAAAATAGTAAAAATTATTATTGTCGGTAAATTATAGTGAGGAGGAATAATATTCGAAACAATATACAATTAAATACAGAATACAATTAATTTCAGTTCACCAGATTTTGTGTAGTGCATTAATACAGAGAAGAGCATGTAAGTGTAAAAGGCCATTTATAGATAATAGCGTGGTTTTTTTTGTCTCAGATCATATAACTTTCATTTTCTTTATTTTTTTTTTATGCAAATTGTGTCGGTTGTAGACATGAATAGAGCCACATAAATACCGCATAATACAATGTAGTGCCCATTGTAAATCTCACAGGTTAACATTCCTAATGACAAATTGTTATGCTTTTATGCCCTGTAATTTCACTGTCAAATTCCATCCATCAAACAGAATTACAGCCATGCAAGCACATCTGTTACGCGACAGGAAAATGAGTGAGACAGAGGGCAATCGTGTTTCTGCTGCAGTAGACGACTTGTATAAACAAGTTGTCTGTAGTTGTGTATGTATAATACCGTATGATTCTCGTATATGAATACAGTCTTAAGCAGTTAGTCACTTGATGGCATGAATGCGTGGTGTGAATTGTTACCTGTGTGACGCCATCTAGCGGTGAGCCGGCGCCAGCAGCGAAAGATACGGACAGCGTGCGTGAGCGCGACCAGCCGCGCTGTAACACACGTGCAACATGCTCTAGCGATGCGACTTGCGACCCATGAACGATCGCTGATGCTACGTGATGGACGTCACTGACGCCATGCATGTGATATTTGAATATTTGATGATAAATTTGTCCTGAATGTAATTTCCTACTTGAATGCGGACTTAATTTACTACAAGTTTGTTCGGTTTAAATCAGCTGACAAAAAGTACATTCATGGTCATTTCGTAAGTGAACACTGTTGTCAGTACAATTTATACAAGAGTACAATTGGCATACTTCTTAAAAAGTATTTCATTATGAAATTGACATATTACATTATGAACAAAGAGTTTATTTTTGTTTGTTTGTTACCATTTAAAGAGTTAAAAAATTTGTCATTAAATTTGCCAAGTATTTGGGATAGATAATGACATAAGCTACTTTTTGTCCCGTTTAATATATATTCAGGTCACGCGAGCAAATTCGTGGGTAAGCACTAGTTCTTCTATAATAAAAGTGAACAATCACAATGATGTGGATAAAGCAACACAAAAGTTGTACACACTGACTTTTAGACTATATTGTTAAAAAACTAATTTCATCCTTTTATGATAATGACATTATTACTAGAAGGTTAAAATTTTCAACTATTTTTGAATTGAAAAATATTGTGCATGAATTATGATCCATCATCATTTGCAATATTTAGTATTAAATATGTAATTCATATTAATTTAAATGGAGTAAATTCAATAATATATAAATGTTTTTTCATAATACTTACCTGTCTAGATAAGCTGTCTTCGTCGCCTTGCGAATTTCTACCTGTATACGAGCCGCCGATACATCTGATTGAAAATAAAAGTATATTTTAGCATTATATTATCATTATCATCTTCTTGCTCTTATTTCAAGTATTACTTGGGGTCGGAGTAATGTCTTTCTATTTTATTCTTTTCTATTCGTAGTCATTTCCGCATTCATTCCTATTCGGCCATATCATCTTTTATACAGTCCATCCACGTACTTTTAGATCTTCCTGTATCTGTAAAGCCCTTCACATTCATACTTATACCTAGCATTACATCAATACATACTATCAACTTGCTCACGCTTATAACCCATTGATATAAATATGCAAACTCCTCCACAGTCAATATATCTCAGTGTGCAGACCATTCTGAGCGAGCACAGAGACAATATGGTCCATTAATACGATCAACCGAAAAGAGAATGATTTGCTCTTAACAGTTAACCGCACTATGCCGGTTCACTAAGTGTTTTTTCATGCTACGTTTGAAGGATGCAAGGTGTTAGGATGAAGGAAACATGTCTCTGGAATGGCTTTTCCATATTGTTATGATACGATTTACGGTGTATGGATATAACCGCTGGGTAGCGGGGGGAAAGGGATTGTTAGTAACAGGGTCAAATAGCCCCATTACTAGCAATATACCCTGTCAGGTTGACGTTCACGTGGTTCCCCCTGGAAATCATCGTGGTTAGTTCTAGTTGAATTCGCCAGAGTGGGCTAACTGAACTGCTTTCATCCTTATCTATCATCTCGCATTGGTGCCCCGCCAGTTAATACCGATAGCGCAGGCGGGGTACCATATCATTATCACTCATTAAAAGGAACCGTTGGGTAGCATCTATTGAAATGTCCACTTATTCATACTTAATATATCTTTTTAGTAATTCTTCTTTTATTTACTTGTACCTATATTTTTCTAATGTGTTCGGTACACATGTGTATAGTATAATTTACATTTATAGTAGTAATTCTTAATCAATCATAGGACGTGTGAGAGGAAAAATATCCCATGTAGTTGTATGTAGTCTGACGCACCTGACAAGATGCGCGAGTATGGCCTTGACCCATCTGATCTTGCCACTGTTGAGCAATTCCATCAACTGTTTAGGGTGATATTGCGGCAGTACCGGACATGCCATTTGCGACGCCTCGAACAGGCCGTAGTCCGGCATATAATCAAGGAGTGGCTGGATAAGGAAATATATTAATAGATAATAAATATTTGCACAATAAAAACCTATATAAAATTTATTCAGTTTTTAAACAAAAAGGAGAATATATTTGTCCTGCGATATTAGTCTATCTGAAATATATACCTGTGGTTGATCGGGCTGAGTTTTGTTACGTCTCCTAGCATCGCGTTCGAGCAATTGTAAGTTGATGGACGAGACGCGTTGCAGGTGGGGAGCGGACACACGCAGATCAGAATCACGTAGTGCCCGAGATTCACCACCTTCTTCCTGTTCCTAGATCGCGTGAAGTAAAGAAATATTAGTATTTTAAAATGTTGAGTACTCAATGTTAAGGAATATTTAATTTATTTTTATTGAAAATTATGGCATTTTTATGTAAGACTGGCCCTATAAAAGTTATACATTTATAACTATTGTATACTGGGGGGGTGGAGGGTGGGTTGTTAGTAATGCGAACTACCAATCCCATTGCTAGCAATATATCCTGTCAGGTCGACGTCTATGTGGGTCCCCTGGAAATCATCTTGCTGAATTCCTGGCGTATTCATTATGGTGGGCTAACTGATCCACCTATCATCGCCTATGAATACCACTCTCGTTTAGACGGCGTATTGGATGATGTTATTATGTTTACCACATTAGTTGCCTCTGACAATATCATAGTATGAAAAGAAATAACAATACATTTAATATTGACTTATAAAACAGAGAACAGATCTTTAAAAAATGTATCTAATTAAGACGCAAGAATAATTAATATTAGTAAATATAATTAACCTGTGCACCAAACTGCCCAGATGATGACTGCGGGTTCTCGGGTTTCCACTGTGAATAAACATGCATTTCCGAGTCCATCCCGACTACGAGTATTCCGTCGCGGACCCATGAAATCTGCATAGGCAGGGGAGGCAATCCATCTGCAGTCTTTAATTCGATTCTCCGTAGCTGCATCCAACGAATTTCCTCAATGAACAGTGGTGCAGCGAGCGAAGACGCCTTGCGGAGTATTGGACGGTTGTTGTTTATGGATTCTTTCATTGCCTGTCAAGATCATTACATACATGGCTTTAATCAATATAGGGTTAACAAGAATTTATTTAAAAAATATATTCTGACTCTGATATACTAACTTCCATACAAATTATACCATAGATACTGGGAAACTAGTACAATAAGAAATTTCATGATATTATCATTTTCATGTCAGTATGTTTTTATATTACTTTTATTTAACACTTTATTACATTGATTGCTAGAGGATTTTCAATTAGTATAGAATAGTATAAGAGGTGATCTTATTACTAAGTAATCACTTCCAGACAATCTTTGTGTAGAGGGAATTGTATTACGTTATTGTATTAATTAGGGTAATAAGTACAAGTACCTATCTGCTTATTTTGTTATTTTTGTCAAGTAAAAACATCTGTCATAACAAGCAAAAAAATTGAAAGCATTCAATTTGACATTTTTTTAATGTTATATCAAAAATATTGTAGATTGCATGCTCGATTGAAACAGTCAGCACAAAAAGTTGTAATGTATCAAAAAGTATTGAATTTCATTAGATTATACCTTAAAATTATAACGGTACCTTTAAATTGGCTTGCGCAAGGTCACTGGAGACTGGTGTAAACAGCAGTACTCTAGAACCGACAGCGACCGTAAGTATATGTGAACCATCTTCCTTAGACACCCAATCGAGTTGCACAAGATGCTTCTGCGTCAGGGGGCATGTGTTCCCATTCTCCATAATACTTTTTCGCAAGGACTGTAGTGTGCTAAACGACGGCACCGCGAGAAGACCCGCAGATTTGCCCGTATCTCCCTCCCCGTTACGGTTATTACTTCGTTCCTCGGACGAAAATGTTTGCAGAACCTAAATGTTATATAAAAAATTAATATTTTATTTAAGTCTTTTTAAGTCATTTTAAGTCCTTTCTCAGTATTTCAATAAATTATTATTAATCTGATTTTTAAAGTAAGATAATTTGTCATTTTTATTTTCATTACAATATTATCAATTTATACATGTAAAGTAAACAGTTTATGTCTTATACAAACTTAAGTTGTAGTCAATTAATAATCCATGTCTCGATCTCGATCAGTCTTAACAGCTACTGGGTGTTCAAAACAATGATAACTTGAAGCCAAATAAATATACAAAGTATAATCCTAAAATATATAATATGTGGACAATTAGTTCACTAACCTGGGTTAACCTCTGTTTTTTCTGCATAAAAGAAGTATCGTGCAAATACGACAGATCAATTTGCGTATCAGTGCATACGCCGACTCTAGGCAGACTAACATTCCTCAGTGGTATCGTATCTTCCAGTAACCACTCAGCGCCTCCAGTGCTCTCGCACTCATAAACGCAAACACACAAGTTTACGAAACGGGCATCGTTAGGATTACTGTTCGTAGTAGTGTTGTTTCCTTTTGGTCGGGTAAAAGATTTCCCGCATTTATACGCGCATGCTATTCGACCAGAGTATGCGGCACTTATATGCAGAGGTTGACCTAAAAATTTATTAATAAAATTATTTTTAATAAGTAAAAGAAAAAACGAATCTACGTCAAAATGCGAAGAAATACGAACCAGGTGTGTCTATTGTGGATTCCTGATCTTTATTCATCATTTCCCATTCTTTCCATGTATAATCAAATTCTCCATTATCTTTTTTCATAACATGGCATTTCCAAAATCTAGAAAAGAGATAAAATTACAATTAGAAAAACAAATATGTAAAATTTGATTTCACGATGTAAGTACATTGAGCTATGCTAACGCTATATACCTTACCTTAGTGTGTTGTCAGAGCAAGCAGTTGCAAGCGTGTACGGCGCTAGGCAGGCCGGATAGATCGAGGCGGAACTCAAGTGACCGGCCGCCGGTGTTGCGTGAATTACATCCACTGCATCCGGCAGCGACAGCGGGCATTCGCACACCTATAGCAAAGTTAAGCTGTTGTATATGCCACTCTCGTATTACGTGACTTTTATGTATAAAGATCGAGATTTTTACTACATACTTTACAAACATTCTGAATTTGAAAAGTAGAACACAAAAGTAGGTAATATAATAAACATAATAATATCATTATAATTATATTAAATATATATAATTCTTTTACGCAAATATTAGCATATAAAGAGGAATTACAATATCATATATGTAGAATCATATATAGATCAATTCATAAAGCTAGCGACGTATTTTTATTGACAGTAATAAATTTTACAATAATGTTATAAGGCATAAATGAGTGAGGTTACTTATTAATGGGATAGTATATTGGATAACTGCAAAGCTCACCCAGTTAATAAATAAATAAATTATATCTACCCTACATTTCAGGATCATAAAATCAATTCTAAATCTATATAATTAACTAATAGGTTATATGTTTATATTTCAAATTTGAATCATGTATTTTTAATTTGAAGAAGGATCGAATGTTATATGATGATACCTTTTTTGTAGTTATTGAGAGATACGAGTGCGGCGGAGGCGGTACAGGCGCTCGATCTTGGTCCATCGAGACAGAGTTCTTTCGAGATTCTCCCTCCTCTTCTTGGACGAGGGCGCTGTCCGGTACATACATCATGCTGTTCGTGAAGTCCTCTGTATAACAAGTAATGTAGAAATAAAAAAGTAATGTTTTAAACTATCAAACTGCATGGACAAGTGAGCACTTGTCACACGGCTAGGAATATGAAAATAATTTTTTAATCAAGTGATTTCAAAAATTATTTTCATAATCCTAGCTGTGTTCTTCAAGAAAAATGAACGAATACTATCACAGGGTTTCGGATTAATTATGCATGTTGTAATTATATAATGAAATTTAAAAATTACCTGCAGGATCTGCCTGTGAGGAGACAGTAAGCCTCCACATGTGTACTGTGGACCCGCCATCTGTCCTCTCCAAAACAACAATGTAAAATGGTTCATTGAAAACTGCTGCTTTGCGCAAGTCTACTATAGCTTCAAGACCCGCTTCGGTGATAGTGTGAACGTCTGAATTATCTCCTCCGGTATTAGCCGTCTCAGAGTCAGGTGCTGTGCGTTCACCTAAAATATAAGATAAAGTAAATAATTTATTTTTAACAGTAACAGTAAAAATAATTTATTAAAATTATTTATTTTTTCAATCCTTTTTCACATATTTATTTAGTTGTTAACAAATTTATTATGAATGAAAACTCTTTATTGTTCCCTTTAAAGAATGATACAGATGTTCGAATTTCTGTGCATGAACAATTACCAAACCTATTTATTTCCTAAGTTAATATCTTTTTTTATGAAAATCCGATATTCCGATTCGATCTTTGTCATATGTGAAATATAATATATACCCATATTGATTATACTTATAATAATGTAATAGTAATGAAACAAACCAGTAATAAGCTGTTCTTGGAACACGTGTAGTAGCTGAGTGTTGTGCCAGTCGTGCGTGGCATCCGCAATAGCGTGTAATTGTATGATGGCGCCAGGTCGCGCCGTCGATTGCTGAGACACTATTTTGATACGGTCGTGAAGTGGTATACCGCCCTCTTCTAATGTTGATTCTGATGACAGCGACATCGTGTCGTGATGTTGCTAGAGAGAATAAATAAATATATATATATATATATATATATATATATATATATATATATATATATATATATGTATAAAATTTCGTAAAAAAATTGAGTCAATAGCTGAATACGCGTATTATATGTATAGAAGTTCAAAATTTTTGTTTTTCAACTCATGGTTTTTTGGTCAAAATGTGCAGTTTCGTTAATAGAACACTCATATCAAAAGATTTTAGCGATTTCGATTTCAGCCACTAATAGTGACTAGTCACAATTGATTTTGAAATTGCTTCACAAATAATAGGAATTCAATCCAATGATTGTTGTGCTATTACGTTTGTGTGTTAAATTATTTAATTACAGTGACATCGTTGTGTCGTCGCTCGGAGGTGGCGATCTCGGCGAGTAGTGTGCGAGCGTCAATGACGGCTTGGAACACGCGTAGACTTTCGCCGTCGCTCGCCACGAAGCAAGCCGACGGCGAATTAGATAGATTGCCCAGTGTAGTGCTGCCGGGAAATATCATTTTACTTGTCAGTTAATATATACAGATAATAGCTTAATAACATATAATAAATTCGTAAGAATTAAAAAACATAAACATTTTAAAATAATAGAAATAGATTCATATTAAAGGTGATGGTAATATGTAGCAGTAATTCTCTTACTTTTTTTTTAAAGTAGATTTTGTATGTGGGGTATTAATTTTTATGTTTAATATATACAGTAGTTTAGCCCATTTACTTGTGCTTAGTAGATCGCATCGGCATGCGGGTTCTCCTTCTGCTACACTAATCACACACTGTACAATCTAATCTAGACATACCTGGGGAGCAACGTGGGCAGCCAGGCGACGTTGCTAAAAGCGGACAAGTGGGGCGAGTTGACTCGCGCCAATTCAGACACACCACCGGACTTGCCTAATGGGCCCACGCATTCCACTCGCCACATTATCAGTTCGGAACACAGGCCACCCGCTGCAGTATCTTCATCTACTTTCTGGTTTTCTCTTTCATTGTCTAAAATTATAATTATCAATGTAAATCACGACTTGCCAGTAAATAAATACAAATCTCCAAGAGACCAAGATCTACATGATCTACATTTTTTTTTATTTAAGAGTTTCCTTTTGTCGTAGCAACTAATTCATGCATTCCAGCCAGCTCTATTTCGGGCCATATCTTTGACCTCCCTATAAATCTTCATCTAATAGTATATTTTTCAAAATGTATAATGGTAATAGTCAAACCAGTGGAACTTAAAGTGCGTATTTTTTCAAATTTTATTTTAGATCAAAAAGTCCAAAGAAAAAAAATTAATTCTCTTTTTTTGGACATTTGTCTTTTTTTTTACATTTGAACAAAACAGAATTTTATTTTCCGTCAGACAATGAAAATAACTTACCCGATATGTTGTGATGGCTGGTAGTTAACAACAGTGGTAATACTGGATGGCAAGTTATATCGTTAACCCTAAATCTATGACCAGATGCTCTTGACGCGTGTCCTATTGATAATACCTTGAAAAGAAAGAAAATCTTAATTATGAATAATATACAAAAATAATTATTCTGAGGTAGGTTATTGATGAAATCCTCTAGGATCTCAAACTACAAAAAACATGTATATTTTTATAATATATTGGAATAAACTTTACATGGCACATATTAAGATACGTAAGCGATATTTTCACGGATAATAACCCTATGCTGTAGCTCTTAGAAAAACCTGGACAGCGAGTTCATTCCATAACCTAAGCGATCATGAGAGAAAACATCTCTGAAACACTGTACGTAACTATCTAGGCTATAAGGTATGGGGATGAACTTCCTGGCGAAGGAATGGATGGTAGGAAGTGGTGGTGGGCATCATATTGAACTGTACAACATACTTGTGAAAATTTGGATTTATCATCAAACGTGAGTTGCCATAAATTGAGTGTTCCATTGGTATGATTGGTGACCATGGATATGACGGGCGCGGAATCCAACACGTCACCCTCCTGATTCTCAGTCGAGTCCTCAGCTGCGACGCTCGTTTTCCGTTGCATCTCGTTGTTGTTCTCCTCCAGTGGGCCTGCAAAAGTGATAAAATACAATACTATACATACACGAATAAAATATAATTTTCATATTACATTCTAATTGGCGACTCCGTAGCTGGCGTGAAATATATTCATAAAAATAAATTACGGTTTATTTCGTTTTCTGAATAATATTTTATAGAAATTCTAAATAATTTCAAAATTATATCACTTCTTTTAAGTATCTACATGTTTTAATCGCATAGAAGTCATTTTCAACAAACTTCAAAAAGAAGAAGGTATATCAGTTAATACGGTTTGTAACTGACATAACAGAATTCTGTTATATCAGTTACAAACCGATTTGGAAAATTCGTTTTTTTTTTATCCGAAAACATACTTACAGATTGGTCTTAAAGACATTTTATCAAAATCAGTTTAGTAAGTTTTAAATCAAAATAACTGGTTTCGCCAAAATTGAAGTCGGTTTTTTATGGATCACAAGTCAAAATTATTGATGTCTGGCAACACTAATAGACAGTTCTATCGGCAACCCAAAGTTATGGTTACCACTCTCCCTTTTATTGAATACGCATACGTTATCTACAAATAAATTATGAACATCGGAATACAGTGTCTCACTTGCAGCATTTCAATTCAAGTTTTATTCTTACTTTTATGTTAAAGTTTGCACAGGTAAATAGTAACATTAGGATGCAAACATAGACAAACATAAATTAGATAAATTTTTTTATATTAAAGTAAGTAGAAAGCTATAAGTTTTGGTTATTAAGTGAGAACGAAAGTGTTGTTCAAAGCGACCATACATATCTGCAGTTATATCTATAATTATGAATCAATATTAAAATGCTGTGTTATTAATTTTAATAGAAATACTCGCACTGTACTGCAATTTTAAAATGTCTCTGTGTTAAAATGCTTTCCTTTTCATATGTATAAAAACAAACGATAAAATATGTATTACTCAATGTTTTAGTGTATGTTTTACTTTTAAGAAAATGAAAATAATACTACTGCAGTGGGTGACAGGCGTAACAGATATGTATGTATGAAAATACATAATAATAATTACGAAAATATCAATTAAAAAACCTCTTGAAATAAAAAGCTATAGTATAAAAATGTATGGTAATCAAAACGATCGAATAAAATAGTGAAGTAAAAATGTAGAACAAACGCAATCATATGATTTTGATTTATACTAAATTAAAATAATTTTTATGTCCAAATTCATGTGTGAACATACCTGACCTTGTGTGCCTTCGATGTACTAGAAAATGTACATGTGTATGTTAAAAATCCATCTATACATTTAAAAAACAAAATTACATTTTAAGAATAAATTATAGTTATTTGACTGAGAGTATATTACGAGTATATATGAAAAACAATCTAATTACCAAATTGTTTGTCCTTTCGCGTTTTGATTGCATCATAATAAATCAAATAATATTATGTATATTTTCAATTCTTAGTTATGATTTATATCGAGGCAAAGTATTCTTTGATCTATGTCTATGACAAATGTGTAATTAGACAAAATTTTAAGTTGTACACAAACAAATTAGAGATTGCAATATGTAATATGTGCATTATAATACAATTTTCCCTGCACAATTTTTACGCATCTTTAATTTTATATCAATTACCATTTTCCTTTGGCTCAGACTGCTCTTCATTTTGCGGCCACTCATTCTCTTCCTTTTCTTCTTGTACACTCGCTAATGGGGTTGTCACTGCATCTGGATGTTGTTGTTGCCCTATACAATAAATTCTTATTAGTTTTATAAGAAAATAATGGACAAAATTATGGACATCTACTAGCTACTTACCATTACTAAATCCCATATCCAAAAGTCACTTACGCTACACATCGCGTACAGACCAGACAAACACTTATGCATAAAAAATTACTCTTTTTAGGTAGTTGGGTTAAAACAAACCTAAATCTATAAAAATAACTTCTAAATGAAATCGGATATTTATAATTTGGAACTTTAGAATATAGTTGGTGGTATTGATGGATATTTGAATGGAATGTAAATAGAACGGTGACCTTGCCTGCACTACCGGTTTAAGTTAGTATGGTACCACAGCGAATGAAGTGAAGAAATAAGTGAGAATGAAGTCAGGTCATTTGCCCCATGGTGGTGGTGATATGTGAAGTACATACCCGGCACTTGCGGCTTGGTCCGATGACGTACGTAGAGCGGCTGAGCGGCGGCGTGGTAGAGTGCGGCCGGCGTACACATGGTGGTAGCGTCGCCCAGCGGGAACGCGGCCGGGATCCTCGCCGAGAATGACACCTGCGCCTGTCGGATCGCGCCTGCCTGCAGCTCGTCCAGCCACTCGCACACCCTGCAACATGCACACGCTTATCTTAACACTTTGTTGACAGGGTATTCCGTTATAGTTGAAATTTTTGGAATTAAACGACGTGATATAAAACTAAATACAAAGTAATTTTTTAGTCATAAACGCTTTGTAATCCAAACGGTCTTGCCCGTCGTGGTAGGAGGACGTATTTACACGATAGTGCAATGATGAGTTTACTCGTCACCGGTCAGCAACGTTTGGATATGAAAAGACAAGTTAACCAAAGTGTTAAACTATAAAGTAGTGGTTCTAAAGTCTAAATTGTCATCTCAGTTGTTTACAACTTTGACCATTTTATGAATGAGCACAAATATATATGTGATTATATTTTTGTAAGCCCAAAATATTTTTACGCTGTTACAAAGCGTATTTATTAGTTATTATTAGTTACGTATCAATTCTTACTGATTCTTCAATAAAAGTTAACAAGACGCATCAGTTATAAAGCGTATCTGTATTACAATACATGACAGGCAGTGTTATAGATCAAGAGTCCGTGACTGCCACACCTTCGTTATTCTATAAAAGCTAAGTTTCTCAGCGTATGCTGCCAACGCAGAAACGATAGGCTACTGTGAAGATTTTTCAGTTCTCTCTTTACTTATTGATATGAACGAAACGAAAATGAAGTCGCGGGAACAACTAGTATAAAAAGAAGATATGCATTTATAAGTTTAAAAAAATTATTAGATTTTAAGACATGTTTAATAGTTTTATAAGGATAAAGTCATGATTTTATTGTCTTTATTATTGTTATTATAACTGTGCATGCTGCCAACATTTAAATTTACAACTTACCATATAAGAAAGCTGCCATCAACGGGGTGTATAGAGAACAGTAAGTCTGGACTCTGATACCAGTCACGTAGAAGAGACTCAATCTTAGCGTCGAGGGAGTCTGGCAAGTGTGTACATGTGACGTCCGTAGCTATTGAATTTATAGACGTCGTATTCGAGAGACTGGGATGACTGTGGTTACCGTTAGCTGTGGGACAAACATTTAATATTATATAAATAAAACAATATTATACAGCCAGTATAAAAGTCAATATAAAGTTAAGACAATTATTTTATGGAACAATTATTATCTTCATTTAAATATTCCTATTTTAATTCACTCTAAACTTCTATTTTTTTTTGTTCTTAACTCATTTTTACTTTATGTGGTCAGTTATCTCTCCTAATTATGTAGCTCAAGCTGTATGAGCTGTCGCTCAATTATGTACCGAAATGCTTAAAATTAATAGATCAACTTAACTAAAGTAACAATTATGAAATAGTCAGGTCCTTATCTAAGAAACAGTGGGGCCGATTCTAAAGCGTCATTTCTCTAACTAATGTTAATTTGCTAATTTCGCGAATATAGTTTTAATTATCAACATAAACTAAAATTATTTAATAAATTATCGCGGTGTGGCCCTGGCATAGAATAGGCCACACCTTCCTTTCCTGTGGGTGTCGCAAGAGTCGACTAAGGGAGGTTGAGGGATGGGCAGCAGCGTCCCTCTTAAAACATCTCTAAAACCCTAACTACGGTTGCCAAGCGTGGCAACTACTGGCAAAACTCCCCTTATAGGGAAGGCTTATGTTTAGCAGTAGACAATTAACAGCTGACATAATAAAAATAAATTAATTAAAATTATAATAATAATGATTGAATCTATTAGAAAATTTGGTCATATTAGTCATTTTAATAAAGATTTCGCTGTGATATCATATTGAATATTTAATTTTAAAGATAGATTTAAAATAATGGTGCCTCAGAGACGACCCCGTCATTTTTATATTATCAGTTGTTCCTTGAATTGATCATATTTTTATTTCGATTAAAGTATCATTTTAGAATGGAATATTTATTCTAATACATTATATTTTCTTTTATCAGACAATTGAATATCAAACTGTACCTGGTTGTTCATCACTATTGCTGTTATCCTCAGACTGAGTTTTAGCCAAATGATGACTTGGCCGTCTATGTCCTAAATAGCAGCATGAAATAGGCGAAGCAGTTTATAAAAGCGACTACATATAATCTATTAAGCTGGCATTGTAGCGCTTATTTTACTCATCGTAGTCAAAATACTAAATTACATGTTTAAAATAATTTCTGATATAACGAGTTTGCTTTTTTGTTGACAAAACAAATATGTATTACGAAGCAAAAATAGTAATAAAATTAATGTACGATAACGATAAGCGATGACAATTATAAACATAATATGTAACTTGCATGGTAGATTGTTACCAAATTTGATTTACACAATATTCAGGTTAACTATTTATAATCTGATCAAATAAAATATAGGAATCATAAATTATTATGCATATATTATTTTCGAGAGATATCGAGTTCTGCGAAGGAGTATCCATGTGAAATTCAACTTTAGGAATTTAAGAAATAAGATTCTTGTAAAGAAAATTTTATTGATGTAGTTGCCACTGACTTTTTATCATTTAAATGAGGCTGTACATTTAGTCTCGTTAGAACACACAAAACCTACATAGATTGTTTGTGGTTGACATTCGATTTTTATTATGCAATTATTTAATATTTGAAAACTTTTAGCAACATGTGTATATTGCTTAAAATACTTGAAGCATTTCAATTATAAGGCATAATACTGAATAGTTACTAAATGATGATACATACTGGTTTCACTTTCTCCTTCAGGGTGAGTAGGATCGGAACCTGAACCTTCATCTGTATCTTCTTTATCTAAAATCTGAAACAAAAATACAGAATGTGTAAAGTTGAAATAAATATTTTAATATCAAAAATTATTTCCTATAACATTTTATTTTTTATTTTATCTTTATTTGGTCTCCTAGCAATTGTTACACTGATAAGATTTAATATTAAAATTACTGTCTATTTATACTTAGTGTACAATCATTTTAAAGGAAACACAGCTTGCTAATTAACAAATAAACAATAACTTGTCAATAAATAAAATTATAAACATGAAGATATTAGTGTAGTATTACCACGATAACTGGTAAGTTTGCTTGGACTATTTCTTTCCTTACCATATGATATGATAAAACCGCTTTAATAAAAATTCTCTTTTTAAATCAAGATACATAAATATGACTTACAAATATTTTACAATTGGCATTGAATATTATTTACGGGTCATACTTTTTTGGTAAGATCGTGTAATATAGCTTCAGCTTGGCTGGTGAAATGCATCTCCTTATTGTGCAGCCAGTGCAGTATAAACCGACCGCCGCCCGCTAGTGAAGGCACCAGCGGAATATCAGTCTCCGCATTTATTGAAGCCGCCAAGTGGAAGTGCAGACCTGGATAAAATATATTTTTAAATCAAGATACACGTTATAAACTTGTATTTAGTACGAGAGAGATCCAGTAAACTTTTTTACCATGGAGAATGACGCTAACCAATGGACGCAAAAGTTGAAAATGATTTTGTATAATGTTGTACACATTTTTTGTTGCCAGCACAACAATCGTAATGGATCCAATCTTATTTTGATTTTCAAATCCGCAATCATCAAACGTATTACGGTCGCTTCCTACACTTACATCTTAAGCTTTTTTATAATTAATTAATATTTGTCTATGTTTGGAATTCTATTATTACAACACAAAGAAATACCAGTATATTTTTAGTCCTTCGAGCCGGATTTTCACTAAATTACTGTAGAAAAAATAAAAGGTAAAGGTAATTTTGTATCATTTATTTATTTCATTCCGATTATCACTTTAAATACTAATTTTACTATAGGAAATCTCATAGAATCTGTTACCTCATAGACCTAATTATGTACGTTCTAGGTGCAGAAAATACTGTGTTTTTCTCTCTCTATTACATATAGAAATGAAATTATTGAATTGCATCATCACAAAACGTTACCTCCTGTATAGGAACTAGCGTGGTAAGGATTGTGGAAGTCGTGGGCGCTATACGTAGAAGGCAAAGTCGGTATGGGCGCACCAGGCTGCTTCGAAGACTGAGCGTTCCGTCTTATATGGAAACATGTCCTGAAAAATAGACATTTTAAGTAATATCTAGATAAAATATATCATATTTTATTAATTATAAATGCAATTAACATAATAAATAGAATACAAGTAAGGATTTAAGAAATTACTATACCAAATTGTATACATCACACTAGAATCCAACTCACTTCATGTGCTTCAAGCGCTGCATGAAACGGTGTTTGTGTCTATGCGTGGCGCGCTGCCGGCGCGGCGGGGACCGAGCGTGTGATGTCACACACCCGCCCCCCCACTCGTCCTCCGGCAGCAGCGTCTCCGCCCACACGCGACAGATGTTGTCCACGCATGACGTCACTAGAACATTGCCCACGCTGCCCCTGTAAACAGTATACACCCATCATTAAAAAATGTAGCATCTGATCAATATTTAGATTTACACAGTAATCTAATATTATTCTCATCTATAAGGTAATTAATTCGCGGAATCCCGGGACATATTTGTTTGTCATCAAGCAATGTACTGTTGCGAAGAGAGATTGCCATACCAATATTATAAATCTTGAATCTTGAAAAAAAAAAATATCGATTTAACTAAACAATTTGATCCAAATAATCAAAATCAGAAAATATTTTTTCAATCTCTCATACTTAACTAAATTACGCGATTGCGTGGCATGCATGAAATTTCAAATATTTGTTTTGAATTTTTTTTATTTGGGGAAAATTATTTAGTTTTATTAATAATATCACAGATCCTAATACACGTAACATAATGTAACACAATAAGCACCTATTAAATCCTACTACTAGGTAGAAATCTCTCCACAAGGGACTATTAGTACTTTGATTACCACGCAGGCCGGTTTTTTAATGAACAGAGATTTATCATCTCATAAAAAACGCATTAATAGTACATTACTGCAGCGGCCAGCAATTGAGGCAATGATGGACGAACGTGCAAATGTAAGCCGTGACGTAGCCGAGGCACACATACGTGTCCATCAATGCCTAGTTGTGGCCAAGGCTTGTATAGAACTTTTCTCAAACAATGCGCGGAAATCAAAAACACAATTTTACTTTTTAAGTTCAATGACGAATAATAATTTTTCACGCGCCATTATGTTCCTTTGTTTTTTTTTTCTTTCAATAAACAGCTTTCTATTTGCAAGTCATATCGAAAATTAAATAAAACCTTTTATTAGTAACCTCCTTGGTAGCCATGTTTCGAAGTAAAAGGTCATTCCATTTTTAAATTACAGGACAGATATGAGTTTACATAGTAATTTATCTGGTCGCAAAACACGACAGATATGGATTTTCATACAACTTTTGCCGGCCGCTGCCCGCATGTATCTGCTCACATTTCCAAGAATGTTTGAAAAAAATATTATATATTTAGTATTTCTCATTTAAACAATAGTAAAAATAACTCAAATAACATATTGATTGATTCTATATTAAGACCAGTCATTATTTTCTAATTCTATTAACTGATAACTAAGTCACAAGACACAATAGAACTGGCAGAAACAATAAGGCGTAACAGACAACAGTATGACTATTCACTGTACGATTATTCGACCCAATCAGTCGACGGTAATTTATTTCACGATAGAAAAGTTGCATTTCATCTTACAAATTGCATGTTTGTTGCCAAATTTTAAAATAATTGACTAATGCATTACTTTTATTGTTTGGTACTGTATTTTGAGTGAAATTATTCTATGAACACACTCTTTTCTAAATTATTTTTTCTCCCTATCAAATTATTGGTGATTTATTTAGTTTTGATGTGTATTTTATTGTTTCTTACAATTTTTCTATAAATGAGATTAATACATGATATATCTAGTAATTACCTATATATAAAACTGTTATCATGTAAATAGAGCATTAATATTTAAAGATAACAAAATAGTTAAAGGAAATGTCATAATATTATATAATCCAAATATCAGCGAACCCAAATAAATAATCGTAGACAGAATGTAAGTACAATAAATATTTCAAATTTACCTACGTTATATGTGCCCAACTTTAATGGAAACACATACCGTTATGATTATATTTTTGATTAACTAAAGAAATAAATGAATTCGTGTATTTGGAGCTCTATAGCGATAAAATCACTAAAGATGTATTTCGTTTAGTATAATGCAATACTTATACGTAATATTGTTACAGAGTGATGACCGACTACATGTCAAGCATAAACAAAACTTTAGCTATCAACAAGATTCAATAGTAATAAAAAAGATGTTCTCTTACTTGGGCATATACTTGCTAGTTTTCCGCCAGGACAGATGTGTGACAGCACGCGGATGCGCCACATAGATAAATGTGTAGTTCAGTTCAGTCGGCGAATGCTCTCCATGCGTTTGCACAAGCACTGCAATAAATGAAAAAATAAAGTGCTACCATATTTTATCGACACTTTTATTTATTACTCATGTATTTTCAAGACAGACTTAATGCATGTGATTTTTCTTTGTAATGTGATCAGATATCGTATAATTACAATGGTATTGTAATCATTTATTCAAAATATTAATATTGAATAAATATTTTGAATTTTATTTTAATCACCATATTATCTACTAAAGCATATATACCGTCTGTAAGTTGCCAGGTATTGTATTCTACGGTATAGAATTTTAAGACCATTTTCAGTTCCTTAATCGCCTTTTTTAAGAACGTGTTATTTAGGTCTAAGAGATAGCCATCAAAATTATTAGTATGATACAAGGTAAGACGTATAGAACCAAACCCTTACGTGTCAATCCTTGGTAGTGTTATTAAGCAGACCATTGACGATCTAATATATACATTACCGCTCAAAAGTATTTGGCTACCTGCATTTTGTTTAAGATACAAACAATACATTTTAAAGAGATCATTTATTAGGATTAATTGTTTGTATAACACCGCAAAATACTTATCTACAGTACAATCGTAAACAGCTTATTGTTATTTGCCTCCTGGTCATAAAACCATAATAGTGTTATTGTCGAAATTTCTTCGAAGTTAATCTTTGAAGTCGCAATTTTGTTTTCATTTAGTTATTGAGAACAAACACAAGTAAAATATAGAACAATTACTATCCTCATTTAATCACGCTCTTCATAGCTTAAAGAGTACTAACTTTTTTTGTCTTTAACTTCAGTTTCATTTTTCTGAAAAAAAAAATGGGTAAAACGAAGGAGTATTCCGAAGAGATTAGGGCCATAATAATCGGTATTCATAAATCCGGTAAAAGTAATCCTGATATTTCGAGACTACAGAAGACACCAAGACAAACTGTTAACTACATCGTTAAGAAGTTTGCGGCTGAAGGAACGATTTGCAACACACGTCGTTCAGGTAGACCGAAAGCCACAACTTCAAGTGAAGATTTGAATATAGTTATTAATAACAAACGAAATAGACGATTAACTGCCCGAAAATAGCATCACAGTTTAATTGAGATCGTGATAAACCAGTCAGTGTATCCACAATTAAAAGAAGTCTTTATGACGCAGGACTCAAAGGATTAATAATGGTTTCAATACCACTTCTTAAACCTAATTACAAAAAGAAGAGACATAATTGGACGAGAGAATATGAATTCGACAACAGCATATTGAGAAAAGCTCCTCTGGACAGACGAAAAAAAAATTTATAGAACCAAACGAAGCGTTTTCATAAGGCGGCAGTCAAACGAAAAGATGAATGACGTTTGTAATGTGGCTTTAGTTAAACACGGCGGAGAGTCTGTGATGGTATGGGACTGTTTTAGTTGCCCCGCCGTTGGAGATCTTGTGCGAATACAAGGTATTAGATAAAAGAGACAAGAGTCTTTAAAGAACTAATTTATTACCTAAATAACAATTCTACATGATTAAAACACTGAGTTAGATGATTTATTACTTAATTCAATTATAATTTTACATTTCACAATCACTACGATAAGCACAAGTATTCATTTCACGGTTCAACCAAGGGATGCCACCAAAACTTTAAAACAAAGAAGCATATTTTCATAGGGGACGTAATTATTATAAACAAACGAATGCTAACAAATACAAAGGACGTTTACCAGAGGGAGACTTTGTATAAAAGTCGTTTGCGTGGGTAGCTCTATCCCACTCGTGTGTACACTCACAACAGTGAAGCAGTTGTGTGTGAATGGCTGTGTTTCGGTTTGAAGGGTGGGATATGGCAGTGAATTTAGGTACAGAGTAACAGGCGAAACAGTATACTCTGTTATGTCCATGGTACCGCTCATGTCTATAGGCGACGATTACCACTTTCCATCAGGTGGGCCGTCAGCTTGATTGCCATTCTAAGTTGTATAAAAAAAAACGTAAAACGAACACTATGAATTATTGTTTCTGTAATTTAAATATATCGCCATTATCGACCCAACTCAGAGATCCGACAACAGAGTCACCTTGTTTCTTGTTCTGCCATCTGCACGCGGTGTTTCAATTACCAACAAAGGAATCTTAAAAAAAAAAGTTACAAAAAGATATTGGAGGATAGTGCAGTGTCTTGTGGAACCCATTTAATTGATCCGGGGTTTATATTTCAAGAGCATAATGATCCGAAACACACGTCAAAACTATGCAAGGACTTTTTAAAAGAAAAAGAATAACAATAGGTGTTGAAACTCATGATATGTCCTCCACAGTCGCCTGACTTTAACCCCATAGAATTAATTTGGTATCAGCTAGATAGATAGGTGCGAAATCAAGAAAGATTCTTGCGAAAGCAAGAAGAATGGCAGAAGATAACCAAGACAACATTGGAAAAATTAGTAACTAGGTTGCCGAAGCTCTGTGTGGCTGTTATTAAAAATAAAGGTGGATACAAGGATGAGTCCAAAATTTAAAAACTATATTCTTGTAATGCCCAAAAATAGGCAATAAACATGTTAAAATAATTATGAAGTGGTTTCACTCAATCAGACTTTTACAAAATGTACTAGGTAGCCAAATATTATATATACTATACTTTTAAACCGTAATATATGTATTCCCTTAAGTCTGTGCTTATTTACCACTTTAGTATAAAAATAATTATTATTTTAGCAGATACAATGTTGCTTTACTTCTTACATCACCAACAGTCTATTCTTAGGCATACTGAATAGGAATCACTTTGAAATTATAGTGCGTCGTATAATTTTATTACCTTTGTTCTGGTACCAGATCTTAACTAGCCTGTCGTTGATGCCAGATGTTGCGAAAAGGACGCCGTCAGGAGAGAATGCGAGGTGGTGTGCGGGTGTTGCTGTGTGACATCGCCAAACGCAGATCCAACCCTAGTTTTTATGAATTTCTTAATCGTTATTTTATATTTTAATAAATAACAAAATCAAGGATACTTTATTAAACTATTGAAATGTTATATATATATTTTTTATTTAATCCTGTATTTCGGAAGCAGTATACATCAAGAATAAGTAAGAAACTCGACTCGAAAAGTAGGATATTACAACTTTATGAACTTGTGTAAATACATAGCATCATCATCATATCAGCCGTTAATTGTCCACTGCTGAACATAGACTTAATCCTATTGGAGGGTGGTGCTAGTATTTGCCACGGATAACGGGCGACATGGTAATCGCAGTCAAGTTTTAGTAATGTTTTAAGAAGGACACTGCTGCCCAACCCTCGACCTTTAATTTCCCTTACTCTTACGACACCCAAGGGAAAGAAAGAGGTAGACCATTCTATGCCAGGATCATGCAGCAAATACATAGAATATTGGAGGGAAAAGAGATTGTTGGTAATGGAGACTAAGAATCCCATTGCTAGCAAATATATCCAATCAGATCGACCTCCCCGCGGTTCCCCCTGGAAACTATCATGATTAATTCCTGATGAATTCATCATGATGGGCTAACTGGTCTATTTTCATTCTCATCGATCGATTACCCTTCACTGGTGCCCCGCCAGCGTATCCCATTAGCGCAGGCGGGGTTGCCACTCCATTTTCATCCAATAAAGAAAAAAATACATAGAATAAAATTTATAAAAAATCGATAATATACATACAAGTTAAAATAAATTATACCAAACATTTTCAAACTACATTCAAACAGATTAATATGTCAATGTATACTCCCTTTTATATTGAACACTATAGTGTGGAGAGCTCAAGACCTTCCTCGTAAAACTTAGGTGTAGGACTTAAGTAGTAGAGACATGGTTATATTAAATTGTACTATTTTTATTGTATGAAAAGAAAATCACAAGTTGTCGTCGTAGTTACATGCAGAGAATGATAGTGTAATACAAATATGGTAGTCCCAACATGATTATATAATATGTACTTAACTATAATTCGTCTTTTAATATTTGTTGTGTACTAAACAAAATGTCCTCAGCTAGCTCTAAATAATTATAAATAAATATGTAGCTCCTAGTTCCAAATTAATCAGAGCTAATATTATGGATACTATACGATTAATAGACATATTTAAATACATTTTATTTGTATACATATAGTACACTGAAATCGCCCTGACCAAAATACTTGTTTACACAATACAATACAAATATTTGTATTGTGCGGGGATCGACCCATTCGATGGATAGTGAAGTAGTATATTAAGTCTATACAACAATAATGTCGTCGAAATAATGTAATTGCGCACTAAGCAATGAAAACGAAGATAAATTACATTCAAACAAGTAAATAATAGATAATTCTATTACTGCATACAACAATCATGCTTGACGATTCATAGATTATTTAGCTCTCGAATTAAGTTCAATAAGGAAAGTTAAGTATAAATAGAATTGATTAGAAGCAACTAACTATAAATATCCTTAGAGTACGGATAAATAAACTATGTCAGGTGACTTGTGGACGCATTGTTGTCTTTTATCTTATCTCTGTAGTTACAGTAGCTAGCTCCCGTGCATGACTATTCATCTGTGAGACATATTTAAATCTGCGTTTAGATTTTAATTTGACTATGTTTATTATTGTAGTTAGTATAAGACTTAGCTTAATTCTGGTGGACTGGATTTTACGGGCTTTCTACAGTCACACACGAGATTATCACAGTCACTTATAATGAAAAAAAAAAAAAAAACTAGATTTAGGGTAAAATAATTAACATCCTTTTATTTGGATAGTCCAAGAATAAAGTTAATTCATCTTCAGATATTTAAGTAGATAATGTTATTTCAGGAATTTCTATAAAATAAAACCACGTGTTATCCAATTCCTTCCTTACGGAGACATTTTTATTTCTTTTTTTTATATTATAATGTCTTTTCATATATTTTTTTACAATATTAATGCAAAGGAATTACCTCTGTTTCCGATAGAAAAAAGAACAGGATTGTAAAAGTAGAACACTTGGTAAAAAAGATGCAAATTAATTTACTTTCACCCAGTATACACATAACTGCTCAATTTAAATGTACTATGTGTACTATGTATATGTAATAAATGGATAAATTGACTTGACGTATTTCATATGCGTATCTGTTATACTTACAGGTTCTTCTTCTTCTTGTTGTTTAGGTTTATCATCTTTATCGCTGCCGCCGATTTGAAAGGTTACACCAGAATTTGCTAAGGGAAGAAGGAAAGTTTTCAGCTTATTAAACTATCATATATACATATAAGATAATAATACATAAACTTTATCAATAATAATATAATAAAGCAGAAGAGTTTGTTTATTTGAATGCGCTAGTCACTGGAACTGGCAGTCAGATTAAAAAAATCGATTGATGATAATGACAGGTGAGCTTATATCTCGAGGAAGATTATGAGCTATTCAATGTCACAATACGATGACGTTCTAAGCCGCAATAAACAACTAGTTGTAAATACATACACGAGAAACATTAAATTATGACTAGTTTCCTAAGACATTCAGGAGGAGGGTCTTAAATCACTTGAATTTTATTGCATTGTATTGCTTTAAATATCTTGACTAATTTCGATATGATAATAATTTTTTTTTTTTTTGCAAATTGAAAGAAAATCTAATTCAATAATATAATAATAGTAGAATCGATATATTATAAAACTGCTTATATTAAAATTGCAGTTAAATTAATATAGTGATATATATGTATGAACTTCTATCATAAGAATAATAAGCGTTTCAGTTAAAGATATTCAACTTACGTTGACTATCTTCCTGATACAGCGACGCTTGATGCCAAAGCTGCAAAATTTTCCCTCCAGTCAATAGACGAGTGCCCTCAAGGTTCCACGAGAGGGCAGTGATAGGTCCGTCGGCGACCAGTTTACCGGTTTGTACCCACCGGTACTCCAAACCCTGAGAATTACAATCACATGATACACTGAATTGAATAATGAATCTAAGGTGGGACACAGAGTTCATTGTTGCTCAGCAAAGGTCGTTCAAGATTGTTATATAACAAAACGGTCCAATGATTCTGCGGTATGACATCAAAATTGGTGTAGGTAACAATATTGTACCACAACTGTTGTAATATTAACCGCATACAGTCCACAATTGCATTTAATTAAAATAGACAATTGCACAATATTTTCAGTACTCGATGTGACTTACATAATTTAATTATCTTAAATTATATTGCATAAAAAATAACTAAAAAAATATCGGAATTACATTTTCCACCTATAAGTACTTTGCCGACACAGATTAAGAGTATGCTATCCTATGTATGAATCTAGGACACAGACACAAGAACTATTTGTATACCTTTAGATATTTCAAACTATCCAGTCAGTGAATCTATAAAGGATTTGAATGAAATTCATCATATTTTATGGGTAAACCATGTTTTTGAATAATAATGACACATTTTTATCTTAATACACGCATTATCCTATTTCACAAATTATCAAAAATCCATAGACATATTTGCGTAATAATAACAAAACATCGTAGTCGTTAACCTATTTTCATGGATTTCTCGTAATGTATCGTGGCTATGTAGCCTCTGCATAGCGGCAAGCGTAGCAAATACGAGTTATTATTATGTAAATGTCATATCCTTCTTCGTTACATATAATATGTATATATAATTGAACCATTTGTACAACAAATCATAATCTACTAACATTTACGTTGTTTCCAAACCATACTAAATAAATGTGACCAATTAAATAGCAAGTGTTCTAATTGATTGTGGCAGACAATTATAATTTATACTAGGTCGTGTCTAACGCAATGCAGTTTTATAATAATGCCTCTAAGATATTTATTTATATATTTGTACATAAGTTTATTACTATTTTATATTAGTTGCAATTTGTGACATAATAAACAAACGCATAATCAACTTAGAGAATTCCTCTCGCATTGTCAAAGAATTGGCAATGCAAAAGGAATGCTTTCGGTGGCACAGTATATTCTGTGATGTCTATATTCACAGACGACACTTGCAGGGGAAAAGGATTGTTATTAATGGAGCCTAGCGGGGCTGCTATTAGCAATTTTCTTTGCCATGTCGACTCCCACACAGTTTCTCTTGGAAATCACCGTGGTCAATTCCTGATGAATTCATTCGTTCCTAATTAACCAGATTTTTTTTTACTATACACTCCTTTTTTTACCATACACCAATAATATCCCGCCAGTGTATAGCAATATCAGAAGCGTAATTACCATTTCATTATTTTGAATAAAAATTATAACTATCCTTTTTGAAGGCAGTTAAAAAGAATAAACGTAACACATAAATAAAAATGTAACAAACTGGTTATTAACTACGATTAACGCAAGAGAACAACGTCTATAGATATTACTGTATGATGTAGGCTATATAATGTTTTTATCTTTATCACACTAATTAATATGATCTGAAACTCATTTAATATGGGATAGGAGTAATGAACGTAATATAATTTTTAAATGCATAACGCAGTTTCGCCCCTTTTATATTAGCATATAACCTATCTCTGTCTTAAAATTCATTAAAATCCTCTCAGTAGTTTTTGCGTGAAGGAATAACATCCTTACAATCTTTCATATTATTATATTTATAGTAGTAGGTTATTTTATTTGCGGGAAAAAAATCTTGGAAAACTATACAGAATAATGAAACCAATATAACCTTAATCCTTTTTTTAATAATAATTTAATTTTAAGTATGAATACTTTGTTGTTTAATAGTCGCCTTAACGACCAACAAATCGACAATAAATTTGGCATTCACCTAGTATTTGTTATAAAAAAAACTTTTATCTCGGACAATTAATATATTTCGTTGCAAAATTGGTAGGCGGTAGCACTTACGCCTTTTTTATTTATTTTAAACAAACTAGTGCATAAATACTAAGTCTAAAAATTTGTTAACCATTTTCAGACTTATCTAAGAAACGTAAACAAAGACAGTTATTTTTTACCATTATGTTGAAATGCTAAGGTGAATGCGCACTTTTCCGCTCCATCCATCCAGTGAGACAGCCAGTCATTGAATATTACACGCCTATTATTTATAATTTTTTCACATCTCAAAGTAAATTTAACGACGTATCAGAGGGCCCCAGTGATAGCAATATACCCTTTAGGTCGATCTTTACGCGGTCTTTCCTAGAAACCATCGTGTTAATTCATGGTGATTTGTTAGTATTGTATTCGTTAGTTAATTGGTCCAATTGGCCAGATTTCATGGCACTGATACACCGCCAGCATTACAGCGCAGGTGCATCATGTCGCTACAACTAAATCAATTCCCTTTTCTAGTAATTCGCGGCGTTTAAGTGGATAAGTGCACGTTCATCTTTATTGTATGTTATCAATAATCTTGCATCTTTATCTAATCACTATGAAAATCACTAAGCCAAAAGTATATTTTTATAAATTCTACATACTATAGAAATCAATCAAATTGATATGATTTTATTAATCGCTTAAATTAGAGGGAGGTTATGCTTTAATTTTATTTGTGAGAGACCTGGAGATGTAGAAAGGAAGAAATGAATTTTTACACTTGTATCACAAAACTTTAATTGATTTTTTTTTTAAATAAATAAATACTACTCATATCAAATATCTTCAAAAGAGTGGTGGTTTGGTACAATAAAAGTAACAGATGGATTTTTTTTTCCATGAATATAATAAGATATTAAGAAGTACCTTGTAAGAAAACTTCACTGGAGTATGTACTTTCATTCTATATCATTCACCTTGGAGGGCAGTTAATGTAATTATATCTTCATATCCATTAATTTTTTTTCTTGTTGGATATTAAATAAAATTTTTTTAGAGCTCAGCTAGCATGGATATTACTATTAGATTTTTATTGTGGAATACAATTCTCTTAATTCTGGTATGGTAATTCTTAGTAACAACAAAAAACCAAGACAAAACAGTAACAATATTGAAATATCACATCACATATTTTCATCAGTAATATTTTTGTAAACCAATTAAGCTAAGGTTTACAGTGGTATGTATCAAACTATGCCCTCCTCTACCTATAAAATTAGAATATATCCCATTATTACCACACAAATCAGGTTTTTTAAGACTTGTCTTAAATTGGTTTTTTGTCTTTAGTTTCCATGACATTTAACATAGGCATAGTAAGGAGTATTATTACTTATTACTCTGTTAATAAAATTTTTTTCCATATGCAATATTTTAGACTTATAATTGCCAAGGAGCAGATATCCCCGCTGCCTTATTTTTTTTTTTCAAAGATGTAGTGTCAATGATACACACATACATACATAAATATATAGCACACACATACACACACACACACACACACACACATATATATATATATATATATATATATATATATATATATATATATATATATATACATGTTTACATTTTGAAAATTGTATAAAAATGAACACTTACATGGGTGGTAGCAGCAGTGTGTATCAATGGTGTAGGTTCAAATATGCATACTTCAGCACCATAAGCAGCGGCAATCTTTCCCGTGTCAGTACTACAGTCTAGAGATCCAATGCGGACATAGCCATGTATGGCACCTGGTATTATCTGTACCCTTTCAAAGTTAGATGCCAATATAACTATGTTACATCCTGCAGCATATGCCTGTAAAAGAATAATAATATAAATAATTCAATTATGAAATAACAACTGTATCCCATGGCTGTCAAGTTAGGAATATATAGTATATACTATATATAGCTGAAAGGTCATCATAATCTTTTCAATAATTTGAATGATTAGCTTTCGAAACTAATATTACAAAAAGGATTTGTATTTATTTATTACAATCATCATTGTAATAAATAAATACAAAACCTAAAAACAAACTTCAAAAATTATTTTACCTTAGAAAATTAAATTACCAGCAAGTAATGTGATTTGTATTTTATATAAAAAAAACTTAGAGATTTTGTACCTATCTACCCATACAAAACTGAGACAGGATGCTAGTACATAATAATAAATAAACAATTTATTTAACATTATTTATATAAATTGATAGGACAATTATACCTATTCTGTTCTATATATGCTTGCACCAACTAATATACCCAATATTTTTAATTTTCAAGTTAATTTAATAAATTAATATTAATAAATGCTTACAACTTTATCATTGAACAGTGAGTTAATATGTTTATATTATGTCTATTTTTTTAATAACAATAGTATTGATTTCAAATTCAGGCCAATTATATTGTACTGTATTGTAACTAATATCTGTAATAGAGAATATTACTGTTATGGATGTTATATTCTACATTCTAAAAAATAATCTTACTTTATGTGAATTACTTATCAGATACTTTTATAAAAATTAACTAACATCCATTTAACAACCTACATTCTAAAGGTCATTCCATCAATTTCAGGGAATTACATAGTAAGCACTATCTAATCTTTTGTAAAAATCAATATTTTAATAAGTTCGGCTCTTTATACTTATAGATATATTAATTTAAAAATTATAATATTTTCAATAATTTTAGAATAAATGAATGTCAATTAATATATAGGACAAATCTTGAGATAAAATACTATAACTGGTATAATTGTGCAAAGCAAAAAGTGCAAATCGTTCAATTTCAATGATGTTATTTAAATAAACATAAATGAGCCATGCAAATTAATGTTCAAGGATATGAACCACTGTGGGTATCTGTATTGGTATGTACAGCTATGACTAAAGTTTAGGAAGTAAATAGCATAATACTGTACTAGCAAGAAATCTTAGATAACATTTACTGCTTGGAATAGAATTATTTTGTTTGTCAAACTAGGCTAAATTAGATTTTCCTGTGTAAGTTGATAACTTCTAAACTGCAACATTAAAAAAGATGTCAGATCACGAGACCTGGCAGTAACCATACAACAGTCCATAACAGTTATACTTACTGTGAAAGGAATACCCTCTACTGAACCGACAGCAAAACATTGATCTCCTGAATTACAGGCGCCACTTAATACTTGGTGGCAGTTCATACTGAACTAATAAAGCAAACTCTTTATGCGCTATATTCCTTCAGGAGAATAAATTTCCAATGGCACAACTTTATTAGAGTAACACATAATTAATAAAAGAATTTAGTGCTTTAAACATTTCCAGGAATAATTAATTTTCGATATAATTGATCAAGAAATAGTTCACTGTGACACCACACACAGGCATAGACAATATAGAATTCAATAGAATAGAATCTGAGAGAGTGAGAAAAACCAGACGTTGACAAAGACATAGGAAAATGACAAACGGAAAAAGATCAAAATATAAAGTTCGTTTTGAACATTGAATATTCAAAACGAACTTTATAAAATAAAAAACATATTTAGCACATTTTATTTCATATATTGATATTGTAGCATATGTTACACACAGTAAAGCACATATTTATATAAATTTGATTTTTAAATTTACTATTAAGAAACCTAAGTTTAAGAGTTCTTTAAACCTACAATAACATTTTTTTTTTTTTAAATAGAATAGATCTATGTCACTTTATATTATATGGTCATAAATAACTTTATGTATATATATATTTAGAGGTTTTGAACGGTATCATACCAACTGTAAAAAAAAAAATAATAGCAAGTAAATTGAACCTTACTGAAATATACTTTAAATTAAATTTTAAGTAATAGTATTTTACTATTACATATAGTCAAGGCGCCTATGTTTTAAATAATAAATTATTTATTCACATTTTCATTACTTATATTATTCAATCGGAAAATTGGTGAAAATTAACAGAATTTAGTAAATAAATAAATAGTCATTTGGCTAAAAATTTTTTTTAAATCAAATCAAAACCTCAAACGGCGCCAAACGCATTTGTCTTCAGTGTTGCAAGTGATTGCATTACAACTTTCCCAGTTCAGCCCATTATTATATTATATTTTACCGATTTTTATGAAATTTTGTGTACATATTGGGTAGGTCTGAGAATCGGCCAACATCTATTTTCCATACCCCTCAATAATAAGGGTGACCTACTCCTAAATATATTTTTTTATTTTTTTTGACATATATTTTCTAATTTATTATGATTTAGCATTGAAAAAATATATACAAATTCATATTTTTATGCTGTTACGACCATCCCCTGTTTTTTAATCGCGATTTTATATACCGCAATTGGGTTGCAAGATGGCAAGCGAATATAATAATTATAGTAGGATAAATTTTCATGTATAGTTGTCGAAATAATGTATATGGTAAAACAACGTATGCAGAGTCAGTTAGTATATTATATATGTTTATTAAATCGGCAGCTATTTTCAATTATTTAAAAACGAAAACATATTTTATGTCTATTATTATCTCAGCCGTTAAATACCTACTGCTGAACATAGGCCTCCCCCATAGAGAAGGGTTTTGCTAGTACTTGCTACGCTTGGAGGGCAGGTTAGTAACCGCAGTTAGTTTTTGGTAATCTTTTAAAATAACTGAGAAGACGCCAGAAGCCGGAAGGTGACTCATTTTGTGCTAAGACCGGTCTGATATGCTCTGTTCGTCTATATTTAGATATAAATCAGTTTTTAGTAATGTCCGACCAAAATTACTTTTTACGACCGAAACCGAAACTTCCATATACAGGTAAGGTAAAGGCCAAGTTAGCAAAAAATGAAACAATGAATTTAGACCATTATTCTGAACTGAAAGCCAGTGGAAATTCTTTACGGAAAATTTTAATTGATTCCCTCTATTTTTCTCATTCAAAATCATGTAATCTGTGATTCTGTCATAATATAAAGAAATAATAATATTTTATAGTGATATTCTTTGAAATACCAAAAAACAGTAACAGGAAACGTATCACGCGTCGTGTGCGATACAAAATAATATAGACCATAGGGAAATATTGGTTTAATTTAACTAAAAATAACGATACATTGGTATCATGATAGACAATAGTAATTAGAAAGGGAAAGTCACAATCTTAAGTCAATGATAGAAAAACAAACCAGTATTTGTAAAGAGTTTCATATACTACAGTGTGGATCGTAAAATTTCAAATACATTGCGCAGCGCCATAACTAAGAACCGTTTATTATGTAGCTGTGGTGCATTTCCGGTGGGAAAATAATCTGCCATTTGATTCAAACCTGGATCAGGTCTTTTATTTTGGCCAACCTGTCCCTTACACCCTGAATATATACATATAGTCATATTTTTGTGGAAATAAATATAAATAGTCATTCACAATCAGTCAGTTTTTATATAGTTTCTGGTACTTGAACAAGTCATTAATATATAGCATATTATCACATCTTATTTGAAATAAATTATTTATACTCTTTGAAATAAGAAGTTAATTTGAACCTACTACACACAATTTTTTTTTTAATATTATTTATGAATAACATAAAATAAAAGGTACTGGTAAAGGCAAAATAACATTTATTCACTCATAGCTCAGTGCACTGAACACGTGCGATCACAGCGCGGAATCACTTAAGTTGTTTAGACTGCTGCCGTAGTTTCCGCTGTACGACAGTTGAAACCGAAATTAAACCAAAACCTATTTTTTTTTTGCCGAAACTGCACCGAATCTGAGACCGAAAACCTGGTATTTAGCAAAGATTAGTATTATTATAAATCATTATGTACCGTTTCTCCTTTGTTTTTTGCAGGTGTCGTAAGAGACGACTAAGGAAACTTAATGATCGAGGAATGGCCAACATCCTTTTTAAAATATTTACAAAGCCTAACTGTGGTTACCAACCCGCTTGCCAAGCATATGAACTAATGTTAGCAACCCTCTTATGGGGAACCCCTATGTTAGCAATGGATAGTTGTTGATTAATATGATGATGATCATACATCGTTAATCTTGTAATATAAATATATTCGTAATTTTTTTTTAATTATTTTTATTTTTCAATTTAATTTTAATGATATAAAATATTTAAAGAAAAACAAAGTATCTTAAACGGTATATAAAATTCTCCCGTGTACTTACTGTACTGTAAATACTGAAGAACTTAAAGACTGTTTAATGTGGAAATATTTATCTATAATATTTAACTATAGTAGCTATAATATTAATTCATTCATTTCCAGTATATTAGGTAATAATATTTTATGATGGCAACAGAATCAACGATTTACATCACTTGTATTTACATCACATATTTTCAACACCTTGAAAGCGATATTTAACGAAGTAGCATTATTTTAAATTCAGATAAAATAAACCGATGTCTTAACACAAAATATTTATTTATTTTCTATAATGTTAGTAAAACGGAATTCAATTTGAATATGACAGCTGCTACCTAGTTACCTTATATGTCAGTCAAATGTACGGATTTGTACTTATCGTCACCGTTCGTTTGACGTACTTTGATTGTTGAGTGGGTTGTTTTTGTGTATTGATCTGTTTTATAAATTGCAGTGAATTGGACTATTTTATAATTGAAAGACATTTTATATTAAACTTATCTGTATGCTAAAATAATCACATAGTTGTATGATTGTGACTTGTAGAATCTAAATTGTCCAGAGGCCTGTTATAAAGGTAAGGATTTTACTGACATAATTATTCACATTAAATTGCCCGATAAAGAATGTTTCATATAAGTAGTTTAATTATCTTTTTAATTTTAGGATTTATCCTACACTTTGTGCTGAGACAAATTTTGTAGATAGGTATCACTTGACAATTATAGCATCTTGCTATCGATTTATATGCAATATAAATAATTTGCAGTTTTTTTTTTTTTATTAAAAAGAGGCTGCTTTTACTTATTTGTAATTTCTATTACATCTTATGGAGAATGTGATAAATGATATGTAAATTGATGTATATCCATTAAAAATGTCTTAATTAGCATAAAAGATGCAGTAACAAACACAATTGTATTTTTAATTTTAATGAATATACAATATGTTAATAGTATGAATTGAAATTAATATTTATTTGCCAAAACATTTTTTACATGTATGTAACTCTACGAATTACACACTTAACTAATTTTTAAGCCTGCATCATGTAATTCTGAAATGCGTTTTAGCCATGGTGGTGTATTAAATGCTCAGCTGACATATATACATATATGCAAATTATACAATTAGATTGAGCATTTATATTTGTGTGTATACACATATATATACATATCTATCCATCAGTCATCCATAGACAGGAATCACAGAAAATATAACTGATTTTGCAACACAATCAATAAATAAATAGAAAAGAAAACAGGGTAATAGAGTTTAAACTCAATTAATGAACATTTTCCTAGTTATAGAGATGAATTTATAGTTGAAATATAGTTTAAAATAATTGTACTGACTTATAGTGTTTTCATTATAAAAATATTTATTTATAATAATATTACATTGGTTATTTTTTTAATAATAGGGTAAAAAAGATTTAAAAAAAGTAAAATCATTTTGTGGAAATAATAATCATGTAGTGGTTAAGGTTTTTTACTCATAACCTTGTTATTTACTTATAGTATTGAATATAATTTTATATTTTATCCTCTTGTTTAAATTTCAGCACTTTACTATAATTTTTAGATAGGTCTCTGCACCATAGTTAAACAACACAGAATAAACCCTAAGAGTATCCATTGACTTAAAAAATGATTATGGTCTAATAATTGTGGTAGATCTTCTTAATCTATTGTGATTAGAAGTCAGTTAAGAAAAGTTGACTGAAAGAAATCTCTTGAAGGGATAAATCTTCTTTTGTACCTTGTCATTTTGTTTATAACCTGATATTTACATGAATGTATAATGAAGTTTATAATAATGTAAATTCTGATAATCCAGGCTACCACTTAGTTTCACATTTACATAATTAGAGAATTTAGTAAACTTAAATAAATTTTTAAATGTGATATTAGCTTACTTACTACCCTGTGGCTTCACCCGTGATACTATTGTGATATTATAGTTTATAACTTTCCTCAAAAAATTAGTAAAACAAATTTTTCAAATCAGAATGGCAGATTTGTGTGTTCAAATTTTATATACAAAAAATGAACTCGTCTGCTTTATTAGCATTGATGGATTGACTTAAAGTAGTTTTAGGTTAAATCTTATTTTTTAATAATAAGTTAATAATTATAAATTCATATAAAAATATTGTTCTTTTTATCTCACTTCATATTTATGTACTATATATTTGATCTGGTACTGATAATGTTAAAATTAGTTATGACTGTTCCTAAATAATGTTTCATATTGAATGATGTTTTATTTCGGGTTACAATCTTGTTCCTAATTGATACTAATGGTACCAGATGTATGTACATTGAAACATCTGCAGAGCAAATTAAACTTTATTCTAGGCTGTCAACAAGATAGTTTTTCAATGATTTGAATGTAGAGTACAATGAAGTCATTCTTTTTGAATTAATCTTCAGGGTTGTATTAGCCTTTATTAGCTAATATTAGATAAGTAAGTATTGTTTTATCAGACTTGAAATTTTACTTTTTACATTGATATTTAGGTCTAAGGTTTTTATCATTGGTTACCCAAAAACTACTCTTCTACTTTATGAAAATTGATGTGAGTATACTGTGCTGTTCATATCCTCAATATATCGCTACTCGTGAGGTTTAATGTGTTCATAGCCTTTTTGGTAGAGATTGAAATTCCCAAAAGACTTAACGAGTTTTGTGCGACAAAATCTTGGGAAACAACTAGTCTTAATATGAGAATATTTATTATACCTACCTTGTTATTCAGAATGCGTAATATCTCATCACGTGTTATCTCATTTATTATGTTCTGCTCATTGCCCTTTTTTTATTGGATTAGACACGTTCTCATAGTCTGTTTGAGCAGCCTTAGATAAGTAAATCACCACGTTGTATAGGATTATATTTATAACGATAAAATTATGCAAAACGGAAGATGTGCGAGTAGGTAACGGTAACCTTTGTTGATAAATAATAAATCAATAATATACCTACTTCATTTACGGATCAGCCCTGTGATATGAGAAACCTGTCAACAATCATCTTGGGGTAAAATTCTAAACATGTGAGATAGTATAAAGTTGTATCTCTTCAATACTTTATTGTGGCTTATTTGTATATTGTTACACTCAGAGAAACAACGCGGGGGTTCGGTTGTTTTCTATTTATAGTTCACTCCCCCGGCTCTCAATTAACACCCAGTGTTATGTTATTATGTTCCAGCTTTTTGAAGTGTCCTTTATAAGTTTTTATGCGCTACAGTTTATATTATTTTCATTAGCAATGATATTTCGTGACTGAATAATTGGAGAGACCCATAGGTCTGATTGATAACAATCAACAAGGCGTAACACGTTGGTTAAATGATGACGATGATTGATGATTTCGCATATTATTGTTTATTCAGTCCTCCTGAACTAGAAATTAGAATATTTGAAAATGTTTTCCCTCATCTCTGGAATCTTAAAAATTAGGTTACATTTATAGAGCTGTCGAAAGTTACCAGATTTTTTAACCTATTATATACAAATTACAATGTCTATGAGGACAGCCAACATGCCCTAGCCATAGTAATCCCTCCATGATGAACTACTTAATGAAATTGGATCGCTTTCAAGTATCCTCAGGCGGGGAATGGTGAGGTCAAATTCGTAGAAGGCCAGATTCAGAACACTTCCGATTCTTATCTAGAAGGATTCTGAGTCAACCATGTTTAAAATATATATAATAAGGATGAATGTGTGCAAACTCCATTACTCAGGTTCCGTACCCTATTGTTGTGGCAATGTTATCCTTAAATCTATCCGATTTCTCTTAGAGTATAAAGTAAAATTGTATGTATTAATGATGAACAATCATGACGACTAATATCGGGTTTATCAATATCATTCTTGGTGTGTTGTGAATGATACGAATAGTAGGTATTATGTTCCGGGTGTGGGCTGTGTGGTCGCGATGTCTGCATTTGTATCAGTAAATCAGTCTCTTCATTGCTAGAATTACCATGTTACAATATATAATATATTACATGATATTATTTACAAGAAGGTAAAAAGTAACATACTTAAGGAGCCATTAAATTGCTCACAATAATTATGTGCATTATTAAGCATTCCGCTACTTTTTTAGACAATTCGTATCAATTACAATAAAAGTATTTCATATGCTAATGCTGATTCAAGAATCTATATAGCAAATTTCATTTAAATGTTTACTCGATAATTTTTCATATTTATATGTTAGTAGGATATAACCGTAACCGGCGAGGGGGGGGGGGGGATTGTTAGCAATAGAGTTTCACGTGGTTTCCCCTGAAATCCATCGTGAACAATTCTTGTTGAATTCGTCAAGATGGGTTAACTGACCTGCTTCATCCTCACCTATCTTTCACTGGTTCCCCGCCGATGTATACTGATAGCGCGGGTAGGGTTACTATTACATTATCACCCATTAAAAAAACTGTAAATGGCGAGCACGTATGAAAAGATTGATGAATGTGGAAGAAGCGAAAGAGGTTTGTTTGAATCGAAGCATTTGGCGTTCCATTGTTTCTGCCTACCCTAATGGGAGACATGCGTGACAGATATGTATGTATGTATATATGTAGGATATCCAATGTATGGCAAATGAAAAATAAAGTAAAAAATGGTTTATAGGAACTCCCATAGGTTGTTATGCATAGTTGTAAATGAGAACTATTTATTATCCGACTGCTAAAGTAGAAGGATATGTTTAACCATGAAAGACATAGAGCGGTGCATTTTTCACTTATAATACGATCGTAAAGCATATTTGTATAGAACATACATTGTCATTGGTTATGATAACAACGTTTATAATTTCTTATCCAAATATTTAGACTGTAGCGTTCATCGCAGTAAGTACATTTCGCGCGTGCCATATTTCCGTTGTCATTAATAGAATTCAAAATGCAGGAGTTTTTCATTTCTATGTTATTTAAAAAAGTTAACCCTTCTTTGCATACAGGTGGAAATTTCCATCATAACGTTGCCCAAAAATTACATAAGAGAACAATTTCACTTTAGGTTGATCGTGTCTGGATACCTTTTTAATTCCCATTGCAGAAAAAAAAACCATAGCTGTTAAATTTATTTTGTTAACCATTTTTTCTTTAATTTTGAACAAGAATTATATCACCTTGATTTATTTCACCAATAAAAAAAATCATGCAAAGAAGGGTTAAATATATTTTGAATGGGGGAAAGGTATTGTTAGTAATGGGGTCTAATAGCCCCATTGCTAGCAATATGTCGACCTGATAGGGTATCAGGTCGACCTCCACGCGGTTCCCCCTGCAAACCGTCATGTTTAATTCTTGTGGAATTCATCATGGTGGGCCGACTGATCTGCATTCATTCTCACCTATCATCTTCCACTGGTGCCTTGTCGGTGTATACCGACAGTGCGGGCTGGGTTCCCATTCTATTTTCACCCAATAAAAGAAATATATTTTGAATATATTCACAATTTATAGTTATATTTAATGCCTTTACTAATATTATAAATGTGGAAGTGAGTTAATTTGTTTAGCGCTCATAGCGTCTTAAAGACTTTTAGTCATTA